CTGAAATCGTCGTAAAATATTTTTACGAAATAATCATAAGAAATACCAGTTATTATTGTCAATACCGTTCGGATTACATAGATGGTTGTTCATATATTTATAGCCATGGCGACATTCAGTGTCGGTTCGTGAGTTCTGGCTTGGTATTTATGATGATGACCTATTTCAGATTTCAAGTCTTCTTCCATCATGTGTACTAGAAGTTAGTTAATCCAACTATTTTACTATTTAAATTCTGTGGATGTTACTAGCTCTATATATCAATATTTTTTCTGATATACAACGGTGATTTAATATTCAGGATTTCGCTTAACCGTTTCGAATGCAACTTATCGACGACGTTGTATGTCTTCCGTTTCGTGGTCAAAAGAACTGTAAGAAATGTTTCCTCATTTCAATTATGGGCACTAGATTGTGTTCCAGAAAAGTGTTTCGTAATATATATTTATCGCATTCATGCCAGCCTTGCGATAATCGTTCAATTTTATAAGCGTAGTACATTCATATTCGGTTAATTGAAGTGATTAATATCCAAAATTTGATAATAATAATTTATTCCATTTATTCCCACGGTTAATAAATGGGGAGTCCCAAATATATATTCTATTGAGCCAACTTGACTGTAATTTCTGACCCATTATCTGGCATCTGTGAAATCTCTCGCACGCAGTTGTCTTCTTATCGTGGTTTTAGTGAGCGCACCTCCGTCGCTTAGCTCTTGGGATTTGCTATTATGTAAGTTATATTTTCATGTTTGTTGTTATTTATTTAGTCAATATTTGGAGTGATATAAATGGGATTAAATTGTGTGTAATTACTGGAATAAATTGACTCATCGATGTTCATTGCTACTGCGATAATGCAATAAAGTCAAAGCAACAAATGTTGGATGAACTATTTGGGATCGGACATTTAGAGTATTTCTGGTGTTACTCGCACATTGGATCACACGACATCACTCCACTTCATAGTTAGGTGATAGCACCGTTTATTACCTACAAGAACCCATCAACTGTGAGTCAAGTAACATATGTATTTTCAAATCATAGTAACAGTTAGAACCGATGGAACGTTGGGGAATTAATTTTTGTAGGCATGCTTTAAAAATCCTATTAGTGCGGAGCAGTCAATAATGTCTCTTACTGATAAGTCAGTGTGCAATACAGAACGAAAAGTTTAAATCCTGGATAAATTGAGCAACTTAAATTATATATTAGAAAAGAGATGACAAACCTCTGACCCGCGGGTTAAAAGATGACCAACCGTGTTTTTTCCATAAGTGAATTTACACAGCTTACATATAGTGCAAGTGTTTTGCATATGTGGTACATATTTTGTCCCGAAAATGCGCGTTTGTAACATTGCTACAGGATAAGCTGGGATAGTCACCGTACCGGTACTCCGACAGACCTACAGGTAAGTTAACGCGCAAGATTTTCAGGAAATTGATGATGAAAAAAAAAACGTTTTGCTTTTTGTGTCCACATATTTGAGCATAGCTTATGTTATCAGTAGACCTTTATTTTAACCGAAATTGAAAACCAACACCTTTGAGTTCTTTGTTATTTCACCCGACAATGAAAATCTGGTAGCCAAAAAAAAACAAGGGCAGTCGTCGACCATTCTTGACCAAGCCTTTCTGTTCATTTTTGAGTTATTTGGTAATATAGATTTTTAGATCAAATTTTTTGAAGAAATAAAGAAAGGTAGCCTTTAAAATCGAATTTTTTTAAAATTCTTCCGCATTCTTACACCCCACTTTTCCTCCACACTCATTCCCTCTCTATTCTGCCCCCCACCTCAATCTTCCCTTGTATTCTTACCTCCGTCTGTCACTCTCCCACCCCAACACTTTCTCCTTTCCACTTGCATCTCTACCTCCTCCCGTCACTCGCCCTCCCCGAAACTCTCTCCTTCCCAATTCCATCCTTACCTCTTACCGTCAATTCCCTTCTTTTTTCTTCCCCACTGCTCCTTCTTCAACATATCTCACCATTGCATTTTCCACGCTGAACTGATGCTCAATAAAGAGGAGAAGGGGTAAGGGAAGAAAGAGATATAGAGACTTCGCGTCTAAAATTAGAGCTCTTTATACTTAGCTTAACGAATTTTTAATAAATGAGCACCAATGGCTATATTGGGAGTAAATCTTGTTTGCTAAAGAGGCAAATGATGCAAAAAATGTCAAGAACCACTGAGCTAGACGGACCTCGTACGATAGAATGTCGAAGAAACGATCAGTTGTCATAAAAATCAGGAATATTTAAAGGTAATCAGTGCAAATGTTTTAATTGCCTTTTCCTTGTAAACGTAAAAATGTGGCAATGTGTAATGAAATGAATATGTATTTACGTACAGCAATATGTATACCTATGGGCAAATTGTTATTTGGTCTGATTAATTTTTATCATTTGTTTTCAAACGTTTACATTTTTGAAAAATTGAGTCAATAAAATCTTAGCTCATAATCAAATCATTGACCCAAATGAAGATTTATTATATACATATCAACTATTTTTTTCCATTAAAAAATATGTATTCCTAGTCTATCAAATCTTTTTTAACATTTTTATTCCAACTGGTTAAACAGAAGTCGGATGTATTTTGTTAGCCATCGACCTTGAAAATAAAGTGTATGTAAAAAATTATCAAGGCAGAGACAATATCGAGGTTGAATCAGGAACACGGCTTGTACTAAAATGCAAAAACTCTAAGAAAGTATATATATATATACCAATCTAATACGCGGGAATATTGAAATGAACGCCTGCATAAGAACCTATAACCTGCCCTTGAATTTTTCTTTGGGTTGAATAAGAAAAATTTATTGATCCTAATTCTGCTTATTCTTAAAGAGTTTTAAGCAGACTCGAACAACTAAAAAGGTAGATATCAAAGGTATCAGTGACTAAAAAGGTAGGTAGCAGTAGTAAATGAATGAAAGGTAGGCATCGGATTCAGACCATCTCAAACAAAATTTGTCAAACTATTTAATGAATGTCAAAAGTGTTATTATTGCTCGAAGAAATTCTATAGAAAAACGGATAAATGGAATGAAAAATTCTAATACTGAGGCTGAATACGCGATCAAGCAAGATGAATTAAAAAATTACTGCAATGAAATATCTTTGAATATTTCGCATTATCTGGAAAGGCGAATTTTTCCCTCTTCAAAACCAAAGTCAGGCTACCAATGATTGAAATGAATAATAAAACACCATGAACGAATAATGACAGTGAAAGAGCAAATCTTACTCTTAAAGTGCAAACGGAATGCAAGAAACATGACGCAGTACGATTCATGGAACTTGGTAAACACCATGTAAGTGGATATCCAGAAATCTTTTTGTGGCACAGGAATGTACAAACTACACGGTAGTTTTAGAAAATTTGAAATGGAATTGTATCAATGGCTCGCTCTCTTAGCCAACAGAAAAAAGGAACTCTTTAGTACTTTTCTTTTACAGAGGTGAATTATGAAGAGAACAAAATAAGTGTCCTGTAATGTCGAATTCGCTGTACTGCCACCGCCGCAAATCGGCGGGTAAGAAACCTGGACAAAACAATCGGAAGAAAGCAAAAAAATGTCAAAATACAATTTTACTGCTTTCCAACTTGTTTATATGTTATGCAGTGTTTTTCATGCTTGCTTGGTTTAAATTATGCCTTTAACTGATGTTTGGTATCACTAAACTTTTTCACGTTTTTATCTTTATATGCTTTTATATGCTTATAGCAATTATATCGCTTTTCATTTTTGGTTTTTCTAAAGTTTCGGATAACTTTTTGCGTTGTAATTGGTTAATATAAATATTTAGATCAGTCTTCTTCAACTTTTTATTACGTGGTATAGCCAGCTGTCTTGAGATTTTTGTTTACTTCGTATACCCTACAAATTACAAAGGTTAATTAATAAAATAAAGTAGAAAAAAAATGCTAGGTGAAGTCATTGAATAACTCATTATTCAAATACATGGCCAAAAGATATTATGTGCTCTAATTTGACATATAAAGTAATAATTTGCGAATAACCTTGCCAAGCATTTTCTGGGTATTTCTACGCCATTTTTTCACCAATGCGAACAGCGTCTGTTTCAAAAACACAAAACTGAGTGTAGTATAGATTATATTCGACCCATGCCATACCTGTAAACCATCGTATACCATTTGTATTTTGTGTACCCGGGATCTGACTTGGTATATAGTATTCCCAGTTGAATAACACTGATTTAGGTATCCATCAACGTTTTATGCATAACTGATTCCATGCACGCTTTCTCGATATTGCATTTTTGTAAAATTTGCGTTTTTCCCTCTACATCAAAATACGCCTGGGTTAAAATATATTGTGCAATCCAACATCATTATTTCGGAACACTTATATTTTACATACCGTACTACCGTACTAATACAACTCCGTTTAATGCAAACGGGCACATAGGTACGTATTTAACATCAATGACAGGGTATTGTATTGTTTCTTCGTTCATCTGTAAATAAAATTTATTTTGTAACAAATATCTATTGAATTCACGACAGTGCTAAACACGCAGCAGTAAGGCTCAGTTATTAATTAAATGGACAGCAATAATTAGTCACTGATACTTGTGATACCTACCTTTTTAGTCATCTACTACTGTTGCCTACCTTTTTAGACACTGATACATGCGACACCTATCTTTCATTCACTACTGATACCTACCTTCTTAGTCACTGATACCTTTGATACCTACCTTTTCAGTAGGGTCCCACTTGAGTATATAAAGGATATAACACAGACATCATAAGTCATGAAACTAAGCAGCATACAGTAAGAAAAAAAGAGCTCAACAGGGACACCATGTGGAATTAGTAAATCATTGATAAAAACATCACAAATATCACAATAGCAAGTTTGAAACAGTGGGCATTGAAATAGGCTTCAATTAAAGATTTGCGTATATATCATGCTGAATAAAAGTGACTCACCATGGCAAAATATACAAAATAAACTGTATGAAATGACAAGTGATTAAATAAGCTAATCGAGTAAAAATAATGCAATTAATACGCTATTATATTCGACAGATTACAATAGTTGTGGACAAGCAGGCTATGTTGGGAGTGTGAGAAATCTGTCCCCGGGAGGACGAATACTCGGTGGCGAAAGAGCGGCCGAACGTGCATGGCCTTGGCAGGCACTCATCACATCTTACAATAAAATTCTCCTGGATGTATGTACAAATGTTTTTTGTTAAATGGTTTGGTTTGGTTAATTGAATGTATTGTTATTGTGTTTATATAAAAATTATTGAAGAAACATGGAAATAAATTTATGCCTCTTGACGTCAGACTTGTAGGCAACAATTTTCCGTTGATATTGTTTCGATAAAGAAGAAAATTTGGTAAAGAAGAAAATTCAAATTAGACATGTTTCTGTGATATTCATATATATTTATATATATTTAAAAAATCCATAAATATAACTTTACCGAATTCTAGTTCTTATTCTATCTTCTTTGTTATTTTAATTTATTTGACCGCAGGAAATAAAATGATGCTTCAAAGCACATTTATGATTTGATCCAATATTAAAAATGTTGTGTCAATATAGAATTATATATGATATACTCTGATAGCTGAATATTTCAATATCTCAACTGAAAATCATATTTATCTTCTACTTTCCCAGGCATTTGACCAGGTTATGGGAGGAGGAAGTTTAATTAATAGCAAATGGGTTTTATCTGCTGCTCATGTGTTTGAGGCATACAGTGGATTGAGCTGGGAACAAGGAATTATGGTTTCGCTTGGTAAATTTGATTTTTTTAAATACTCCTGAAATTCGAGTGGCGTTTTTGGATATGGCGAGTAAGATTCTTTTGCTATCCTTGAGACTGTGTAAGTTACCTTAGAATTACGCCCCTGACAACACGAGATTGCTGTTGTGAAAATATTGTATTCTGCGCAACTAGTTCACCAATCAATTTCGAATGTTCAGTACCTCAAGATAAAAGAAGGCGATTTATATTGGTCGATTTTGTATTCTTATTTTTGCGAGGCATTTTACTTATATTTTTGAAAAAATACAATTATGGCTTTTGTATCAGTAGGTCAGGCCAGTCCGAAATCTTTAGACAAACCCAGTGTTTAGCTAACGTCTAACAGTACCGATGTGATTTGATGCGCTTATGAGCATTTATTTGTACTTTTGATTTTTGAAACATTTGAATAATTAGAATTTGTGTAAATAGTATATGCATGTTGCTATTGTATTATTCATACTATGTTCATATATTAGACAAATCCTCTCATGTTTATTGAATATTGTGCCGAATAAACAATTGTTCGAACATAAATGAGCCAGGGAAAACATTTACCTAACGTGCATCAATGACACCTGCATAGAAACTTACATTCAATTTTACACTTTTCTTTGTCTGTTTCCTCTCCTTTTATTAAAACTTTTCCTCTGCTATCTTTCTTCATCAACACTTGGCTGACACAACTATCCGGACTGCATGGCAGACAGACAGGTCTTATAAAAGGAGTGAATTCAACATATCCTGGTAAGGAGTCTGGCATTAGCATACGTTTCCCATCTTTTGATAAAACAAATTCTCCACCAAGTTTAATCTGTTGGAAACAGAAAAGAGTTGATTTTTACGATGCAACTATTGGAAGAAATAAAATATTTATATGCAATAAAGCAATTTTATGTCTCGATACCAGTGCAATGTCGTTTTGATAAGATCCAGGTAAATATTTGCCGTTATATTCTGCATACTTATCATGAATGTAAATCTGTTCTGGTTGAAACATTTTCACCGAAGCTTCCAAAATGTTGTATCTGTTCGGTCTTCTGGTGATGCCTTGATTTCATTGAATGAAGTTGTAATGAAGTAAAGATATGATTACAGTTTGGATGAAAATTTTGAAAAGACGATTCAGCTTCATAAGTAAAACAGACAAGAGAGCGATGCTAAAATACATAGACACAAATCTCGAGGATCATAAAAAGAAATAGCAAAATCACAGGTGAAATAAAACCAAAGTCATATTTTTTTAGTTACTTCTATTATTGTCTAGTAATGAAGATTGAAATTGATTTGCTCAGTAGCTTGGAATCTGAAAAAGGCAATTTTTACAACAAAAATACCTATAAAATCAATTTACCGGAACTATCGGAAGGGCCGCATAGTGTTAAAAAACGCACATTATTGCAGTAATTCTAAGGTAACTTACCAAATTTTCTTCTTTATCGAAACAATATCAACGGAAAATTGTTGCCTACAAGTCTGACGTCAAGAGGCATAAATTTATTTCCATGTTTCTTCAATAATTTTTATATAAACACAATAACAATACATTCAATTAACCAAACCAAACCATTTAACAAAAAACATTTGTACATACATCCAGGAGAATTTTATTGTAAGATGTGATGAGTGCCTGCCAAGGCCATGCACGTTCGGCCGCTCTTTCGCCACCGCGTATTCGTCCTCCCGGGGACAGATTTCTCACACTCCCAACATAGCCTGCTTGTCCACAACTATTGTAATCTGTCGAATATAATAGCGTATTAATTGCATTATTTTTACTCGATTAGCTTATTTAATCACTTGTCATTTCATACAGTTTATTTTGTATATTTTGCCATGGTGAGTCACTATTATTCAGCATGATATATACGCAAATCTTTAATTGAAGCCTATTTCAATGCCCACTGTTTCAAACTTGCTATTGTGATATTTGTGATGTTTTTGTGAATGATTTAATAATTCCACATGGTGTCCCTGTTGAGCTCTTTTTTTCTTACTGTATGCTGCTTAGTTTCATGACTTATGATGTCTGTGTTATATCCTTTATATACTCAAGTGGGACCCTACTGAAAAGGTAGGTATCAAAGGTATCAGTGACTAAGAAGGTAGGTATCAGTAGTGAATGAAAGATAGGTGTCGCATGTATCAGTGTCTAAAAAGGTAGGCAACAGTAGTAGATGACTAAAAAGGTAGGTATCACAAGTATCAGTGACTAATTATTGCTGTCCATTTAATTAATAACTGAGCCTTACTGCTGCGTGTTTAGCACTGTCGTGAATTCAATAGATATTTGTTACAAAAAGAATTTTATTTACAGATGAACGAAGAAACAATACAATACCCTGTCATTGATGTTAAATACGTACCTATGTGCCCGTTTGCATTAAACGGAGTTGTATTTAAACGAAACTGATGACGTTACTAAATACAATGGGATACAAAAACTTTTTATTACATTATAATAGTACGGTATGTAAAATATAAGTGTTCCGAAATAATGATGTTGGATTGCACAATATATTTTAACCCAGGCGTATTTTGATGTAGAGGGAAAAACGCAAATTTTACAAAAATGCAATATCGAGAAAGCGTGCATGGAATCAGTTATGCATAAAACGTTGATGGATACCTAAATCAGTGTTATTCAACTGGGAATACTATATACCAAGTCAGATCCCGGGTACACAAAATACAAATGGTATACGATGGTTTACAGGTATGGCATGGGTCGAATATAATCTATACTACACTCAGTTTTGTGTTTTTGAAACAGACGCTGTTCGCATTGGTGAAAAAATGACGTAGAAATACACAGAAAATGCTTGGCAAGGTTATTCGCAAATTATTACTTTATATGTCAAATTAGAGCACATAATATCTTTTGGCCATGTATTTGAACAATGAGTTATTCAATGACTTCACCTAGCATTTTTTTTCTACTTTATTTTATTAATTAACCTTTGTAATTTGTAGGGTATACGAAGTAAACAAAAATCTCAAGACAGCTGGCTATACCACGTAATAAAAAGTTGAAGAAGACTGATCTAAATATTTATATTAACCAATTACAACGCAAAAAGTTATCCGAAACTTTAGAAAAACCAAAAATGAAAAGCGATATAATTGCTATAAGCATATAAAAGCATATAAAGATAAAAACGTGAAAAAGTTTAGTGATACCAAACATCAGATAAAGGCATAATTTAAACCAAGCAAGCATGAAAAACACTGCATAACATATAAACAAGTTGGAAAGCAGTAAAATTGTATTTTGACATTTTTTTGCTTTCTTCCGATTGTTTTGTCCAGGTTTCTTACCCGCCGATTTGCGGCGGTGGCAGTACAGCGAATTCGACATTACAGGACACTTATTTTGTTCTCTTCATAATTCACCTCTGTAAAAGAAAAGTACTAAAGAGTTCCTTTTTTCTGTTGGCTAAGAGAGCGAGCCATTGATACAATTCCATTTCAAATTTTCTAAAACTACCGTGTAGTTTGTACATTCCTGTGCCACAAAAAGATTTCTGGATATCCACTTACATGGTGTTTACCAAGTTCCATGAATTGTACTGCGTCATGTTTCTTGCATTCCGTTTGCACTTTAAGAATAAGATTTGCTCTTTCACTGTCATTATTCGTTCATGGTGTTTTATTATTCATTTCAATCATTGGTAGCCTGACTTTGGTTTTGAAGAGGGAAAAATTCGCCTTTCCAGATAATGCGAAATATTCAAAGATATTTCATTGCAGTAATTTTTTAATTCATCTTGCTTGATCGCGTATTCAGCCTCAGTATTAGAATTTTTCATTCCCATTATCCGTTTTTCTATAGAATTTCTTCGAGCAATAATAACACTTTTGACATTCATTAAATAGTTTGACAAATTTTGTTTGAGATGGTCTGAATCCGATGCCTACCTTTTATTCATTTACTACTGATACCTACCTTTTTAGTCACTGATACCTTTGATATCTACCTTTTTAGTGACTGCAACAAACACCAACAAACACCTATCATTAGCCAAACTTTATAACTTTGTTCACATTATTACTAATTTTATTTTTATCATACCTTCTTCAACGTCTGTAATTTGATTAACGTATTTGTGTAATTTATAAAAATCTTCAACATAAATAAAATTTTCGTGCTTCGACGCAATTTGTTGGAGCTTCTCCCTGACTTCTGAACTGCTTTCCTGTGCGGAGGATGTGATGCTGTAAAACTAGAAAACATCAAAGTAAAACTAAGAAATAGAACAATCCTACTATTGATACACCATTACATACCTCTGGTGGGTTGTAAGCATATTTTATTTCTATTATTTTTCTGGCTTTACTTGGACTTCCTCCTGCATTTTTCGCGCCTGGTAAAAAAAAACAATATTCCTAGCTGTAATAATAAGAGAAAATAATATGACCTACATCTCTATTTTAAGTTTACTGATATTTCTAAATAAGTATGTGGTTTCTGTTATATAACTTATAATGGTGTAATACTAAATATAGCTTGACGATTATCGCATATTTATTTCAACGAATTGTCGAAATAGTTTTTATGAAAAGTTTTTCCGTTTTTAAGTTTGTTTCTTACTATATTCAGAAAAAATATATAACAAAAGCAAAATCACTAATTACAGAAAATTTTTTTTGTATCCACAACAATTTTGCAACTCTCTCTTGTAAAACACATGAAATGATACTGTTAGCAACAACCCATAAATAGAACATATGAATGGTGGCTTAAGGAATATGGATGCAATATATTAGAAAAACAGAATTCAAACTATCCTGTTGACAATTATAGATGAGACTTCAGTTTCATTTAAACTCGTGAACGCCCGGTAAAAACATGTTTCCCTTTCCAAAACATTACCGTCTGTTAAAACAAGACAGTGTCTCTTAATAATCATATCCTTATCATTTTCGTATGAAAACGCAATCATTTGTTCGTCAAGTAATTCTATCGCCGATTGGATATCTGTTCCCTGCATAATAGTTTTCTTTATATTTTCAAAAAAAAAATACAAACAAAAATGAAATGAAAAATATGTAATTTGAACAAAGGAATTAGGTAAATGATCTACATAAGTATCAACAATTTGATTTTTTGTCATAAAAATGTTATACTGTTTCGTCCTTTAATCGAACCAGTCAGCAAGAACGGATTTCGAAGAGATGATGGGGATGATAAACAGCTTGTTTGTTAGAAATATAGTCTCGAATGATGAAGATGCCAAAGAAGTACAGCAAAAAAACACTTTTTATTTTTTCGGTTTCTTCATCAAATGTCACCCCCGAAATAAATAATATATATCCTTAGTATATCAGTTATTTATCAATGATTTATTTTTCGAGATGAAAGTATTGCCTAAAAAGAGATAAATCCGTTGAATTATTTTCATTAAACATTCAATGAGTTACATTGAATATCCTGTATCAGTCATAAATATAGATATTGTACTGTATCTTACAGCGATCTTTTTCTATCTCATTCAGTAGAGTAATCACCTCTTCGGCAGTCTTTCTTGGTTCATTATTAATATTTAGTTTAATCAATGGTGTCGTTGCGAATACAATAATCCCATAGTTAACTCGACCAGTTGTGTCGTTTTGGCTTAACTATAGATAGTGGAAACAGAGTTATTGATCACGAAGTAAGATTTGTTCTGCAAAATGTTTTTTTTTTATGTTGTTTTTGAGAAAGACGCTTTTCTGCTACTAATGAAAAGGTCAAATTTTTAATAAATAAATATGGAAGTACTTTTGGGAAAGTTATTGCTTTTTTAATTGCATCGAAATCCTACATGGAACCAGAAATTTCAAAAATAATTTAACCATTTCATTTTAATTCATTGGAATACTCTATATGACGCATGGGAACACTTGCTATTTTCTGCAAACCTCGGTGTTCAGTTAAAGAGATACCGTAATCGTGAGCCATCTCCGCGTACATATGTCTTCGGGCACCGCTCTCTTTTTTTATAAATATTTTTGATAATTCAGACAAAAATTTAAAGTAGAACGAGACTTTTGGGAAAGCCCATGGTGTTTCTCAATGCACCAGGGCCAACACTCAAAGATAAGTCGATAACAAAATACACTTATATTCTACCTCGAGAATTTAGTTGGATTGTTCTTCCCGAGCTAGAAAAATTTTCAGTTTGTCTGATGTTTGATGTGCTTTGAGACAATTTATTGATGACATCTGTTGGCAAATCACTGTAATATATGAATCAAAGTAGTATATTTGTGATTACGGAATTGAAATGTATTTTCTTACCTACGCAATCAGGCGCGCCATCACCACTCCATTCTTTAACAAAGAGGCATTTTTGTTTTCTTTCTCCGACTAAAACAAGGCCATCCTGGCATGAAAATTCGACTTTTGCTCCAACAACGAAATCATAATCTCCTGCGAATCCTTTCATGTAACCACCGATTGGAATGCCGAGATGTGGACAACGTTCCAGGTTTCTTTTGAAATAAATACTGCGTGGTCATTTATCTAAAAAAATCTAATATTTAAAAATTTAACATACAAGTAGAGTGAAAATGTTGTTTTCTCGCATTTCAAGTCAATAAAAGTTCAGGTAGGTATCATACTTATTCATAACAAACGTAAACCCAAAATATACGAAAATAAATAGGGCTTTCGTTTCTAATCAACGTGCCAACAATTTCCATCGGTTAGAACACCCGTCCGTTTAAAATTTCAATCGATTTCAATTTTAACATAGTCTGATTGGATATTTCTGAAATATTACATACTATTACCTATGTTATCACACACTGTGTTGACGCCGCTCCATTTTCCATCTCCCATGCATGTTCGTATTTCAGAACCCAACAGTCTTTGATCAGATCCACATGCAAACATCAACGTTGCGTTGTAGTAATATGCAGTAGTGTGTTCATAATTAAGGACGCGTCCACCCATCTTTGATATAGCTGGTACTGGATCTTGACATGTTACACCTATAAACATATTATTTTTAGTCCCTTTACCAAATCTCCTTATACTGAATTGTCTACTCGCAATATCGCAATGTTATTTCTCGATGTTTAAGATGAATTTATCTTGCTGTGTATATGCAGAATTAAGCAAAGCTGGCGACTCCATATCACAGAAAGTGCTACGAAAAAATTTAATCTTTCATTTTTGACAAAATTACATACACGATGGAAACGAACAAAACTCACGCTTGCATTGTATCAGTTTTCCTCCCCATTTTCCACTCCCTGTGCACTCTCTAGAACCATCCCCCGCTGCAGTATATGTTCCCTCGTTACAAATATAATGAGCCACGCGTTCAAATCCTTCCCCGGTGTATTCGATGAATGAGTTTTCAGCAGGTGGTGCATCACCACATTCTATCTCTGTTGAATAGTTTAAAAAAATACCTTAAACAATTGCCTAAAAGTATATTAGTACCAATTGACAAGAAATATTCAAAAATATATTTTGTGATATATTTGGATTCACATAGTACCGCCCGCGTGTAACGCGGTCAAATAATAGAAGCATCTATTAAAAATTATAACTCACTCAAGTCGACGCATGTTCTTCCACAGGGGTCGTCACACTGGCAAGTTTTCCCTGCAGCACAATCTCCATCTGTTATACAATCTAAACCGCACGATAACTCGTATTCTTTGATCTTGTCTTCTTCTTTCATAGGACAAGATCCTGTTTAGTATATAATTTAAATTAGTGCGAGTTGATTTGAATTCATGTTCAAATACGTTAAATGAATATTTAAATCAAGAAGATGCACGGTGTGACGCATCGTGCTGAGCGTTAGTAATACGCTTGCACAGCCTGGGAAAATTACGTGCGGAAAGATTACTAGACTCTTCGTATTGTTCACGTGACCAATGGATTGGCAATTGGGCGAGAGGCGTGATTCGTCATATGACTAAGCCGTCTTGCCGGCTTTCCCAACCATGGGATAAATATCGGAAGCTCATAGTAGCAGAAGCGTTGGAGTTCTATTTTACAAAGTTATCCCAACGCTGTCGCATGGTTGTTTTCCTGTATTATCAATTTCGTCTTATCGGGGGCAAAGCAAAAATAGACAAATAATTAATTTCAAGTCGATTTCGAAAAAATACTGTATTATGGTATAAATTCAGGTCAGGAAATTAGTACATCAGATACCTAAGCTTGTTCAAAAACTATATCTCAAAAATATGAACCGACAACAAAGTTCAATGTATTTTTGATCAAATCAAAATAACAATATCAAATAGGAGCTGCAACAATAATAATACCATGTACCTACTTGTGCATAAAATCTCTTTTGTCCACGTTTTATTTTCCCCTCTCGCTCTTCCGTGACAAAATCTAACATTACTAGGAACCGCGAGATACCCCGGTTCGCAGGTATGATAAGCCCGGACATCGTATTTATATGGTCCTACTGCATCTTCGAGCTTGTTTGTGTGGCGACTTCGACGCACATACCGGATATGACGTAGATTTGGAATCATTTTAAGTGGAGGACATGTTCTTACTGAATATAAATATTGAACACGAATAGGGATCAAGTTAGTGCAAAGGGAAAGAAAATGGACATTTTTTATTTATGTAATCAAACGTATACAAAACAAATAATTCGAATAATTTTGAATTTTGCAAAAAAGTAAACAAGTAGAGTGTTTATATTAAATATAGCATACGACTTAATGGCAGGAAAATAGCTTTGCAAAAGACAAAAATTTCATTCATATTCAAATAATTTGAATACGTACAAATGGCAACGCAAGACATTCCACATTCATGATCGCAAACACATTTCTTCTTCTCAATTTTGGAGCAATCTTGTCCTTTTTTACATTTCTTTTTACAATCTTTATTGATTCTGCATTTTTTTCGACATGCTGGTCTTCCAACAAGTGCCGCTTTTTCCAAGTTAGCTTTACATTTCTTCGGACCTAATTAGCAGTGAATTAAATATATAATAAATAAATGACACTTCGTGTGGCGCTTACGATCTGTTGATTCATTTTATTCGGCCAACAAGGCCAAGCGAAGAAATTTCTAATTTTTAATGTCCTCAGCATACCATTAAGTTCACGAGATTAGACATCATATACATCAAATGAATAACTGAATGACAATAGAAATTGCTTCAGGCTAGCGATTTTTCAAACCTAAGTTCAAACTATATGCATTATATTAGCCGAATATTATTATTGCAAAAACTCATTAGCTTTCAGTAGTTGAAAACTTAAAATTAAAACACACAATTATTAGTTGATAATAGTGGTTCAAATTGAATATCCGTAAATCAAAATTATAAAAAATTAAAGTCTCATTTAAAAAAAAAATGAAACCCAAGCAAAAATAAACTAAGGTGAAATAGTTGGTTTCAATCGGAGAGTTTGCAAGAAGAAAAGAACTCTTGTAAAATACACATTAAGAGGTACTCCTGAGGTATGCGTACCAAGATGTCGCATAACCTGAACCTTAATCTGGTACACAACCTGAGTTCAGGTTGTGCGCTATCTTGGTGGGCATACTTCAGGAGGTCCCATTAAGGAATAGACATATTGATTCGATTGTTCTAACAGCCCGATCATAGTTCTGTTTATCTCATGTAGCCTTTTCAACATGATCCACGTTCCTTGTGTAACTATTTGATGTTATGAATAAAATATTATTACTTTCTGATTGATGATCGACATGAACAGGCAGTTTTTATATGTTTTAGTAGCTTGCTAATACAATACACCATTCGTTGTAAATCTTACATTTTGCAAATTCATAACTTTCATCTTCTTCGTGCAGGCAATCACTATAATCGTCACACATGTAATCCCTGCTGATGCAAACTTGACCACTTTCTTTGTGACAATGAAATTTACCAATGGCTGAGCAATTGGAGCCTTGAAACAATGCAACAATAATCGTTAAATTTGCCGAAAGCTGCATAGTTCATTGCAACATATTTGTAGAACGATAATAAATCACAAAATCAAAACAATTTCTTTGAATATATCTAGAAACTCGCGATTATACGATCAAATTATCCCGAAGACGTGTTTCAGTATCAAAGAGGATTAGAATCATTAGAGAACTAATGTACAAGAATAATAATATTTCAATATATCTATTTTGTTATTAAATTAAATATTTTTATAATTGCATGACGTTTTGTAGATATTGCTCCAATTCTGTGACTATTTGTGATTTTTATTTTCAGGTCATAATTAAATATTTTTTTTTGGTTTGGCTGATAAGTATTGCGACCTAATATAATCAGATAAGATAAATGAATAACAACAAATGAATCAGTTAAACAAAAAACGAGAATATCGGTCAGAGACCGAAGACTTATTGATCGAAAACAGAAACTGCGATTTCGATTCGGAAAATTTTGCAAACCAGAACTGGATTGTTTCGATTAGTTTTCAGCCAATATCAAAAAGGTAGGAAACAATAGCCAACTCCCCACGTCGTCGTCGAAATAATACTCGATGAAATACTTTTATGAAGAATTCTGCAAATCCGAACTGGATTGTTTCGATCTCGCGGCGTGTCTCACTAGCGTGAAAACTTGCGCATCGCACACAAACACACATTCAGCGCGTCTCAAAAATCTCTCGTTTTCCAAAAACGTTCTCTCGATTTGCAAAAATCCAGATCTCTTCATCACTAATTAATGAATAACTCGCTAATTATACCACATAATTCATCCAAAATCAATAGGCTTTTGATCCGAGATATGATGAAATGCACATGCAAAATTTGAAGCAGATTTAACCTCGCGTTCGTGAGATATCGCGTGCATCTAACAGACAGACAAACAAACAAACAGATAAATACCTATCAACATACTTACCGATCTTATAATCGTTAAGTAATGATTGAGTTGCTGTTATTGCTGTCCCATGAAGTTATCGTGTTGTCTATTATCAATAATTTCATGTATATTGTTATTAATTTTGAATTTCATCATTTTAATTTACGACTAGTTTTGTAGGTTAACATAATATATCACACAATATGTTTACACATAAACTTACATTCAGCAAACCATTCAGTTTCATCCTCTCCTTTAGCGCAGTCAAATCTTCCGTCGCATTTCAATTCATTCGGAATACAAGCTCCATCCCAGAAGCATTTAAACTCTGAAAATTCACTGCAAATCTGACCTGTAGGTAATGGATAATTTCTGACGAATTTTAACTACAAAAAAGTTCAAACTATTAATATTAAAACCAAATTAAAAAACAATTTGCTTTAGATAAAAAGACATGCTGTATTTTTACGATAAGTTTAGGAAAAGAGTTGTTTAATTCTGTCCCTAATTCAACAAGTAAAAGTTTATGATATTGTTTGAAATTTCACTTACCTTGAACATTTTGTTGGATAAAAAGTATAACAACAAGGATAAGATTATATCCTAATATCATTCTATAAGCAAAAATGCAATATCTAAAAAAAGATAGTTTAATATGTTTATTTGGTAAATTAAGTGGATTTCAAACCAGTAAAAGTGGAAGAGACTGCAATGTTTACTCTTATTCCCATTCAGCATATATGTTGAGTTGTAAATTTGGCCGGTAACTTGGATAGTGTACCAGTTCATATTTCGTGTACTAAAAGCTGTTAAACGCATGTTTTGTTATTATTTTTAATAAATTCCGATTTTTTGGGTTGAATGTGTATATATTTAGTAAACCTTCTTGTAATTATGAAAAGAATTTCTAGTTATTTCAAGAACAGAAAAGCATAGTAGATAAGTTTATACTGACCCCCGTAAGACTCTAGAATAGTATATAGTATATACCCTATTTACAGGAAATAATCCTTTCCTGTCACCGTTGTTTTATTTACATATACTATTGTGGCTCATTTCAAAACCTAACCTCTTCTGTATTTCTCGATGATGCCATTAAAGCAACCTATAAAAATATTGTCATCATTTGTTCCAATCCTGTAAATTTATTAGAAGTAATGAATGAACTTATTAGTTCATCCAAATCTTTCTCAAATAAAGTTGATAAAACTGAAATTGAAGTTTTGAAAGTTTATTCATTTTTTGACACTGTCTATCGCTAGAAGATTGGGAATTCAGATAAAAATAGCATAAATGTTAAGTACATCATTCGAAACTTAATACCATGACACGTCATTTAAAGTAAACCTAACATTTTAAACCCACTCAAACATGTTTGTTGTGAAATTTGTTTTTTTGCCGTATTAAGCTAGCAAGGCTAACGGAGATCAATAAAACATACAAGCAGAAGCTAATATTCCATTGTCAAATACAATTATGAGCAAACCCCTTACATTTATTTGAAACTTGACATTGGAATACTTTCAAAATTTTGAAATGGAAAACTCTACCTTACCTATTTTCTGCGTTTTTAAGTTGTTTTTGATAAATCTGAATCATGCACTAAAAGCTATCGTCACAATAAACAAGTTATTGTGTTTAATGAATTTTTTGTTTGCCCGAGGTTATACTGTGTTGCGAAGTCTCGAAGCATCAGAAAAAATACATGCTGTTCAAATTATATTTCTAAATTAATCAATGAATTGTTGTTTGAAATGAATTAAACAAAGACCCATCGTTCGTCCATCTGCGCGTAAGAATTTGTTAGGAATTTATTTTGACCTTCACAGTGGGATATTTTATTCTGTAGTATTTCAAAAATGTATTTGCGGTGATATTATTCTATTAAAATGTCAACATAAATGCCAAGAATTTAATTGCTTGGTATAGATTTGAAGGCGACTGATATCGTATCTGAAGATAAAATCATTTTTGTCAAAAAAATACGACACCCTGCATTTTTTTTACAATTTTATATGTCCGCCCGATGTATAAAAACGTTCAAATCTTTGAACTGTTGCAAATCGTGCTTTTATGAACCTTCAATGAACATAACGCTGATCCTGTGTGGCCACAGATAAATTGTTCCCTGCTTGCCATCGATATAATTCATCACACTTCCTATCACTGATATATTGCAATAATGAAAATATGTTCAGGAACTATCGTATTTCCCGGAGAATAAGTCTACCCGGTGAATAAGACGAGGACCCTTTTTGAGCCTGAAAAAAAAAGGGTTTTGACATATAAACTCCCAATTAGACGGAAAGTAAAATCGGAAGCTCAAATTACCATGCAACAGCTTCTGAGCGGTCGAGGTGTTTGCGCATTCGTTAAAAATGACCCATAATGTTTTTTCGTGTAGCGTGATATTCAATCCATGACAACTACGGGAATTCAAACTGTATTTCGATCTAATTATGCTCGACTTGACATGGCATTCTGTGGGCATAATAATGTAAGATAAACTGCCTGATTATATTTAGTTTGGATAAATATTTTTGCGCTCTTGCGAATTCGTTATCGCCATGATAAAAATCCCAAGATCTGCTATAATATCCCGGAAAGTACAATTTAATGAAGGGCAATAAATATACATTTATCGTGTATATATCGAACATACATATCCATCATCTCGAAATTTTCAGAAACGAAATGTGTTGTTTCATTAATTTATTAGTGATTAATTTAATCTGCGATTGCGACAGTATAAGTAGTATTTCTGCTCCAGATACCAACGCAATCCGTGGACATAAACATGTACGATTTTATGTTGCTTTGATAAGTATTTTATTCTCATCATTTCAAGGATATCACCCTAGGAAAAAAAACCTTCAGTCAGCGATAATATCCCATAGAATAAAATTTATTTCAAAAAATGAATTAAATATACTTTACATGAATTATTATACATATATTATAGTCGGTCAGGCCCCGTAGGTAGTTGTAGAACACAAAATGTTTTTGCGATCTTTAATCTGTCATGGGCCATCCTAAAATACAACTTAAATGCTGTTTTCTGTTTTTTAGTAATTTATAATGTAATAACTCGTTTCTTACAAGTGCCATGGTTATTTGAGAACAATACAGTAATTATCGTGTCAACGTGGCACAAAACATATGATGTGACATAAAAGATGTTTACGTCTTAAATAAGAGATCACACTGACAAAAACAGTTCACAATTTTCACAAATTGCAATCTTACGTGTATCGGTAATAGCCGTTCACTCGTGATGCACACACAAATGCGGCAACCTCAAATATGATGATATTCACAGCGTTTAAATTCCGGATTCCCATCGCGAGAACGCCGATTTATTTAAGCTGGCCTGATGGGGACGTTATAGGAATGCATTTGCGGAAGATATTTTATGATCAGAATTGAATAATAAGCCCACCCCGAAAAAATGAAAATTATCATACTCGCCCAATAAGAACGAAACCCAAAATCAGGCCAAAAATTTGGGTCTAGAAGAGCGACCTATTCGCGCCGGGAAATACGGTATATGTTTATGACGAGATACAATTACAGGGGTGGCCAACCAGTCAGTGACCATGAGCCACATCTCGTATTTTATTACCGCGAAGAGCCACATTATAAACAAGAACACACATGAACATCAGATGTACCTTCATTCAGCTCTGGTAGAATGGTAGTTCATTGTAATTGTCACTAAATTCGACGCGGGTCACAGATAATGAAGCGGCGGGCCACATGTGGCCCGCGGGCCCGGGATTGAACCACCCTGTAATAAACTATATCTAGTATTAGTTTCATGAAGGTCAGATGGAATGAAAGTATTGCAAAACTTTCTCGACTTTGCGATTCAAATGATACTTTTAATACTAAACATTTCTTTTTGAAAATGGTCTTCTGCATATTATCTATATTAATCAATTCATTTTCAACTGCTACGAGGAACGTCAGTTCAGATTAAGTAGCTATAGACAATTCGAAGTCAATAAGTCTGATTTTAGTAATAGCATAAATAAATAAACTAAAATATAAAAATATTTAATACAAATCGGTTAATTGATGCACGTAATTATATAACTAAGATCTGATTTATTCAAGATGTCGATGCAAGATAATTGTCCGATTAAATGCGCTGCAACAAAGCTGCTTTAGTCGTGTACTGTATTGTTTATTTATGTTTAGTAATAAAGTCTGGATTACTCTGGTAAGCTTTGTATCGATCGCTTCCTTTTTGAACGTGGCGTGGCGGCAGAGATAATCCTATATCATACACATCATACACAGGGTGACTCAAACAGTTTTGTCGAAAACTATTCATTTAAAAAATGCAACACTATAACTGAGGCAAATTCCTTATATATATTAGCATGGTGAAGCTGTAAGAATACTTTTCGCAATAAACAACTTAAATTGTTGCTCCAATGACATCTTTCAATATTATAATCCAATTGAAATATTTTCATTCCACTCTGACGATTTTCATCAATATCTATGACCGCGTCGCGAATGTGATTTTATTCAATGGGTTAAAGTTTCTTCCGATAGACATTGTTTTTCACGTCACCGCAATAAGAAAAATCAATTAGTGCTATGTCATCGAAGCTGCCTTTTCTTCCAATAAAGCGATTGGGATATCTTGATTAAAGTGACCTCTTTCTCCAAAGTAATAACATAACGATTAAAAGGTCCAATTCGTGTCCAATAATGTGATTGTGCTCCACCATGATAGAAAGAAAGTTCATTGTAGCTTTGTTAGATTGGAATTGTGCACCACCCATTCGAAAAACGTCATTTCCTCATTGGCAAGTAACGGACATTCACTTTAGAGATTGCAAAATTAGTGTGACTTTAAAACTATTTATGTAACTAGTAACCCAATATGAATATATATGCTGTCTACAATTAACTCCGGTGAGAATTTTGCTGCAGATTCGTTTCCAATATGGGATTGCAAACGAGGCTTCGAAGAAGTTTCTGCACCATGTAGTTCTGCAGCGGCGTCCGGCCGATTTCTATGCTTCGTTTTAATTAAAGCTAGTGATGAAAAGTTATTTTATTCGCATAAGAAAACCAAACGAAATACAGTTTGGAAATCAGCATTCAAGATACTGAATGCAAGTTGGGATAGTTCGTTGGGGATGGGGATGTGAAAATAAACATCCTGGATTCTATATTTCTTTCTCGTCGGTTTTAAATTAGGTTTGGTCGGTCGTAAATAAAACAAAAACAAGTAATAGTTAAGTAATTTTTTTCTGATATGTTCTGCTTTTTTGGTCTATTACATCTGTGCACTTGATAGTCGTTGAGTAGTCATAACACATACATATACAAAGAGATACTATATACTGAAATTATTGTCAAATAACAATGAAATAGGAATGTTCGCACTATTTTATTTCGTAATTTACCTAATATATCAGTCAAATGCATCTCAACGTAGCTGGACAATGTAACCAACATCTGAATCAAAATAAACTTAATATTTTGACAAGCTTCGAAAACAGCATCATAATTGAAACATAAAGGAATCAGAAATGGTTACAAAATAATATTACGGTATTATCATAACAAATAGGCCTACCAGTTATTATTGTCAATACCGCTCGGATTACATAGATGGTTGTTCAAAACATTTTGCCTACGAACATTCAAGCAGAATTGCGAGCAAGAACGTTATCGAGTGGGTGAATTAATTGCGTTTTTCTACAATCAAGATCAGCATAAAAGCAGTCATATATCATTTCTCATATGTTATATATGTATACATTAAAGTAGAAAAATCGCATATATACAATATATTTTTTGTTCTATTCAATTAAAGCCATGGCGTCCTTCAAAATCGGTTTTACTGGTTTAAATTCTGTGGATGTTAATAGCTCTATATGTCAATATTTAGTACATTTTTTCGATGTACAATGGAGGTTTGAAAATACTCAGGATTTCGCTTTACCGTTACAAATGCAACTTATCGACGACGTTGTATGTCTTCCGGTTCGTGGCCAAAAGAATCCAACAACTGGGAATCAGGAAACATATGTATTTTTATAACATAGTAACAGTTAGAACCAATGGAACGTTGGGGAATTAATCTAATTTATTTTAGTAGTCATGCTTTAAAAATTCTATTACTGTGGAGCAGTCAATAATGTCTCTTACTGAAAAGTCAGTGTGCAATACAGGACAAAAAGTTTAAATCCTGGATAAAATGAGCAACCTAAAATTTATAAGTATAATCTTAGCTCATTGTCAAATCATTTACACAAACGAAGATTTATTATATGCATATTAACTTTTTTTTCATTAAAAAGCATGTATTCTCAGTCTATCAAATCCTTTTTAACATTTTTATCCCAACGTTAAACAGAAGTCGGATGTCTTTTGTTCACCATCGATCATGAAGATGAAGTGTATGTCAAAAACTATCAAGGTAAAGACAATATAGAAGTTGAATCATGATAACGGCTTGTACTAAAATGCAAAAACTTTAAAAAGAAATTACCAATTCAATGCATGGAAAAATTGAAATGGGAGCCTGCATACGAATCTGTAGTAACCTGTCCATGATGTCAGAAGTCGGATGACTTTTGTTCGCCATCGATCATGAAGGTGAAGTGTATGTCAAAAACTATCAAGGTAAAGACAATATAGAAGTTGAATCAGGAGAACGACTTGTACTAAAATGCAAAAACTTTAGAAAAAATAAAGTACCAATTCAATGCATAGGAAAATTGAAATGGGAGCCTGCATACGAATCTATAGTAACCTGTCCATGATGTCAGAAGTCGGATGACTTTTGTTCGCCATCGATCATGAAGGTGAAGCGTATGTCAAAAACTATCAAGGTAAAGACAATATAGAAGTTGAATCATGAGAACGACGTGTACTAAAATGCAAAAACTTTAAAAAGAAATTACCAATTCAATGCATGGGAAAATTGAAATGGGAGCCCGCAGACGAATCTGTAGTAACCTGTCCATGATGTCAGAAGTCGGATGACTTTTGTTCGCCATCGATCATGAAGGTGAAGTGTATGTCAAAAACTATCAAGGTAAGGACAATATAGAAGTTGAATCAGGAGAACGACTTGTACTAAAATGCAAAAACTTTAGAAAAAAGAAGATACCAATTCAATGCATAGGAAAATTGAAATGGGAGCCTGCATACGAATCTGTAGTGACCTGTCCATGATTTTTTCTCTCAGTTAAATATGACCAAATGTTATTGATCAAATTTATGCTTATTCATAAAGAGTTTTAAGCACACTCGAACAAATATCCATCATAGAATTGGATCAATTGAATAAAGAGAAAAAGCTTGGAGGCAACACATATAACATTATTGTGATAAATTGCTAGTAAAAAATGGGAAACAATCAAAGTTTGAAGCATTCATTCTTTTTATAACATATTTGTCGTCTCCAAATGATCCGTTTGAAAAAAAATAAAACTTTAAAAATACCATCATTTTTTCAACAGAATAGTTTGATTTTATTCCCGGGGACAACTCTTATCTTATCGAAGAAGAAAAAAAAATATCTGTTATTCAATTTTCCCAAAAATACAATTTGAAAAATACAAATTTAGTCTTTTCACGCATACTAAGCCGATTGTAAAACAATGTTTTGTAGACATAAACTAACGACCCAGAAACCCGAAATATCAATAAAGAAGGATGGTAGTGACTCCAATGCGACTGGGTAAAGTACGATATATATACTAGTAGTGGAATTTTCTTCTAAACTCTTTTGGAACCATCATAAACGTCTTTCGGTGATTCATATACATGCGGAAGTACGTTTTTAAAAGTCAAGCGCCAAAAGTCAAACATACTGAAAAGCAACTTTTACTCTTAAATGTGTTTTACCTGTACAAGTTTCTTCATCATTTTGACAACATTTATTTTATATTTTATATACATAATCAGCTCGCAATATAGAAGACTCATTTTTTCATATATATAAAATATTTCTTTGCACAAATTCATAAAAGCTGACCGTATGTTATTTGTAAATTCAACTTTTGAGAACGAAATATTTTCCTAAACATCAATATTTGCTTCAATCCAAGGAATGTATCTTGCAACATTTGTGTAATATCCCGGATACTTTGACCCACATCCATATCCAAAGCTTACTATGCCTATCTGAACCCAACATGAAGTTCCGGTTTTAATATTTTTTACCTGGAATGTAATATGAACATTTAGTACTGTGAGTGGTTTAGAAGTGAAATATCTAAAGCATCTAAACTTGGTTTATCAGAAGAAAAATAAAATTGAAAGGAGAATGTGTCCTCATAGCTAATTCTTATTGCGAGTTTGAAATCGATCAGTCCGTTGAATACAAAAAGCAATACTTATCTGACGACAACACCAATAATGTTGCTTTATAAATATGATTTATACATTTGTTATATATATATATATAATTGTTGTAAGTTAGTTGATATAACTTATTGGACACGTGAGTGGACATATGGATCGTTTTAATATTATGTTGTTGTTATTGTAATTCATCATCATTTTCATAAAAAAAATCGCCTTTCTCTTCGAATACTGGAACAATTGCTTTAAAATTGCAATGGTGAAAGATTGATTTTTTTGCTAGAAGGTTATTACTTTTATTTATTCCTAATTTTTCTATGAAGCTTATGAGATCTATTATTTCATCCAAAATTGTATTACTTTTTTAATTATGGGAACACAATTTTTAATCCGCCAAGCGTGACGGCGGATTCTTCCTACTGAGAACTCGGGAAGTTTTTTGAGGGTACCGGTAACGTGAAAGGTAAAGACTGCTTCGCTCTGACCCACGTGTCCATATATTTGAGCATAGCTCTCTTGTTCTATTTTGTTTTCTCTTCGGTGTTAGCACGTCAAAACTGACCTGAATATAACTGAAACCCAAGGGGCCATGTTATTTGGCGCTTATTTCTACTTGGAAACCAGCAATTCTTGTTTTGTTACCACAACATGCGGTCTTTGATCGGTTCTAGACAATTCTAAATGATCCTTCAGTTAAGCTTAAATGAACCGTAAACGAGTATTTATATTTATATTATGTTTTTTTTTAAATATTATGATCACACAAATTATCAACAATAATATACATCCGATCTGGCCTATTAATTGATCAACGTTGAATTTCCAGAAAGTTGTAGCATTGAATCAAAGTAGAAATGATTTTGGGGACTTTGCGCAAACATAGACCCTCATTAGTTATTATACAGTCCGCGACCAAAAGCCGGTCCGCGTAGCATTTTTTCCAGTCGGTGATAACTTTTGTTATCTTGTTCTTTTTCTGTCAGCGTAAGCGCGTTGTTACGAACTTTTCTGTATTATGGGCGTTGTAGTCCGTTGTTAAGTTGGTTGTTTGACAAGTATGGAATTGATTGAACTTAGATGCTTTAGATTATTTCTTTTCTTAGGGCACGATTCCTCGCAAATACGTTTTGTTACTTATGACAAATGTCTAAAATCTAAAAAACTTACACATACGCGTTTCGATTTACAGTGTTATATGAATATTGCTGTATCTCTGTTATAGATGTGACTTCATTGCCAACAATATTTGAATAGCCAATGTAGCTTATTATGAAAATAACTTGCCAACCTCTCGCACAACAGGTCCGCCGCTATCACCTTTGCAAGCATCAGTTTTCCTATTTCTATTTCCAGACTTGCAGCAAAACATTTTGTCTAGATTGTGGGTCCCGGCATTCACCTCTCTCCGCATCTTTTCGCCCATTTTTTCACAGCTCGAAAATAAATTTATATGTGTAACGGATTGAGGTCTGCAGAACCCTTTTTATTATGAGAAAAACTTGGATCAAGTTAAAATTAGACGTTTTCCAATTTTTTTTTATTGTCTATTATGAGAACATACAATACAAAAACAGTCAAGATAGCTGATTATTTAATCGGACGTTTTGTACAATTTAAAAAGTCGAAATAAAGCCGTTTGGAAGTATTTTCGGCATTATTAAATGTTTCCGTTTGTTTATTAAGCATCATTTATCAGATGCGAAAAGAATGTTCAAACAATTAGGACTCCTCCGCAAACAATAAATTTTATCGTTTAGTCTTTGATAAGAGATTCCAATCTATAGTCGACTTTTTTGCGCTTGAGAGATATTAGGCTTACTATATCCGTAACACTGCGACATAAAATTTTGTTGACCGGAAAAAGTTTACAAAATATTTTAGATCTCCTCGAGAAAAATCCAGAAAACATCTATTTCAAAAATATTTTTTTGTTTAGCTTGAAGTAACACAAAGTCAAGTTTTAATGTTATAACCGCACAAAATGAAATAAAACGTTGAAAAAGAAATCATAATTGAGATGATGATTCAAATGCACAAAATGTATAATATAAAAACATCCCATTGGATCAGCGCGCTTCGGTTTCTACAATCTTCCGCATTAATCGAGAAACTTATCAAGCACTACCGCGTTTCAAGAATCCTTATTCAAAGGGGTCATTTGTCTGTAGGTAACAAATCACTCAAAACTATCTGGTGAATGACAAACTTTAGTTTTGAAGTCCAGTGATATATGATGCATAGTGATGCTGCTGATGCGATGGTACGATTTCATATTGTGTTTCAGGTGAAGTGAAGTAAATAGAATTTATCTGCATCCGGTCTATACATACTAGGGTACCACCTAAGATTGAGTTTCAGGTACCTGCTGCGCTATGGGTCCACAAGACTGACTCACAATGTTGGCTTTTATGGTCCCCATTGTTATATTAGATATTGAAAACCGTGACAAACAATCAAAACCATGACATCCTCACCCAGAAAATGCACACAATTTCGTTATAAAAAGTACAAACCCTTGATCGGACGTTGAATAACATATTCATTTAAAAAAGGAATTACTCACATGCTTTTATTTTGTATTTGTAGCAAAGCTTGTAGTAGTTTTTGTGATACGTTCAAGTCTGCATTTTTTATACCAGTATCACACTGGTTCATATGTCCAAATCCAGTTGCGACAACTTTTGCGTTATTGTCAAGTAGTAGTTCCTCTATTAAATATAATACATGAACAGGTATTTAAATAACGATCAAACTCGTTTTACCAGATTCAACATTCTAACTACAGATATGATAACGATATTGTCCCATAAATGTTTTATGTAATTTGATTTTCACAAAACTCGCACGTTTGACTTACTTAGCCTAAAAGGATTGATTTACTCGGCGCATTGATAATTAAATAGGCCCAATTAAAAAAAATAGTGAAACCTTCTTTAAAACATTTTTGTTCTGAGGTCATTCTGTCGTTTATCAATGGTACTCCATTGTCATCCACCAATTGCTCTTTTTTCAAGCATGTTCCTTTGCAAGGTAGACATATGGGACGAATGTGGTATCCAAATGTTAACTGATTGACAATGGTGGGCTTCATGTTTGAATCAAACTCGAATCCGATTTTCATCTGGTAAGTAAATTAATTTACATTATAGGATTTTTTATTGAGAATAATCCCACTCATAAAATTTTTATTGACGATTTTCTCGAGACATCGTCGAGTCGACTTGTGCTATTCTATTGTCATGTACTATTACTACTCTTTTTATTTGTTTTTTCTATTCATTTGTTTTTCTATCGAAAGGTGCTGTAGACTCGACGACAGATCATTCCGTCCCTCACAGCACCTGCCATTTCAATATTTATTTATTACAGATATTTTGTTGTTGATTGTTTGATTTTTGAAGTGACAAATAAAATAACTCTAACTCACTCTCTGACTCTATATAACTGATTTCCACATATTCCGAGTTATCGGAGAAATGTTATTTTTTTAATACTTTTTTTATGAATTTTAAAAATCAGTACCATTAACTCATTGTTTTAATGGTTCTTTGATAACTGGACGCATAATTTATAGACCTTATAGCACCACGTGATTTCTTACTAAAGCAATGTCGTGTTCAAAATTTTCCTCGCCAACATATCCTTCGTGGGGAATGTACTCGGCAATTCCATACATTCTGATAGTAGATTTAATTCTACGCTGTCCATCGGTCAGTCGATTGAATATACCTGAATGATTTATATTTTATAGTTATGTGAAAGTGTAATGACATAAAGGGAGTTTAAACCTAGTTAAGATGATCTTTTGTGATATTTTACGTGGGTAACAATCGTCTTTGAATTAATATTCAATCGAGTATAGAAGATGTTGTTATTGCTGAAAAACCATTCAAATACATTATCGTGTCACTACGTGCCAACCCTGTTGCCCAGAAACCAGCGCCAATAATTGAAAATATGAGAATTTCAATACTGAACATTGGAATCCAATAACAAAAATAAACTTGGCTAAATCGTTGTTGTTGTTGTTGTTGGTTTATTCGCGAAAGAATCAATTTTTCTTGGGCTACTATTCTAATCTATATTAAATGTTTATTTGGTGTGATACTGACACCACGTGGATTTATTGTTGAATAATTATAACGACTGCATGCTTAAAAATTGATTGTGACATGTTATCTATCGGTGCATTGCCCGCTTGTTTACTTAGTATTCATTTAAGCAGCTTGATGAAGTGATTCATAGATCTTTAATTGAATTTGCGTGGTATTTTGTCCACATGTTTAGTTTCAATAATATTTGTATACATATATATATATTTATATAAGCTACTGATATAGCATATCGCATAAAATGCATATAAAAACAATTACATTTATTGAAAAAACAAGCCAAGTTGTATCAAAAGATTTAAGCAGAAGAAATGAAAACTAATTGTGCACTGAAATATTGTAAAGATAATCTTGAAACAGAATTAAAGACGTGATTTGAACGAGTTCCTATTGGCAATTTTAAATCGATGGTCCAATCTGAAGTTACTCTTTTTTTCTGAGATTTCTGCGGTAAAGTGAAATACCTTAGCAATACAAATATAGTAGTAGCGGTAGGCGCTCAGCGTTAAATAAATTACCCGATATATGAGTTATTCGAAGTATTTAGGTTTCCGATCTGAGTAACAAGATAAAAATCACATGAGACACAGGTTTGAATATCTTACCAACAGATATCACATAAGCCTCCAACCAATTATGGATCTGCGATTGCATACCAAGTAAGTGAGCTGCCGTTAGTATCCAGTTTCTATTCAAAATTGAACCTCCGCCCAACATTCCTTTCTGCAATGTCTTAAATAAAAAGCAATATTATTAACCGATTACAAAGGATTTTGCAGAAAGTTCAAACATCCATATCAATTGAATAAAATGCTGTTTGATATAGCTTGATTGATTTATACTACGATAATTAAAATTTACAGTCAAGCAAAATACAAAATTTTACAAGCAAATTTCGAACTAAAGCCTTACCATTAATAACCCAAAAGATCAGAGACACCAATCACAGACGTCGAGAATCGGTAAGCCGGACTCAAATGTTACAATTTGCATGAATGAAAATTCTTGTTAGAAGAGAAATAAATATATTAATCATAATATTCATTATTTTCGCATTGCCACGATTCATTGTTTTATTGTTATTTTTTTTATCTTAACACTTATACAGGTGACTACGCAATGTCGTTTGTTAAGTGCTAATTAAATTAAATTAAATATCTTTCATCTAACCGTCTCCGGTGTTTGTGATTTTTCAGTAATCAAAGCTGGCCAGGGCCAGGCATTCTCGGCCGCCTGTTCACTGCCTGTTGATCTTGCTAAACTCGCTTGTTGTTTTATGCTTTTAACGTCACCAGCTTGGCCACATTTGGTAAAATCTGTAAAATTATAATTTTTAAAATAAAAAAATTAGCTGCTTTAGCTGAATTAAATAGTTTTACTAATTATTGGCCAAATTTTTAAAACAAAAGCAAAATGAACTTCTGTCAAGCATTACTATTAAAATTCAATAAAAAAAAAAACTAGGGGCTCCCGAAGTATGCGAACCAAGATGGCGGACATCGGAATGTAATATGTGTACTAGGTTAGGGTTAGGCCATAATTTTAGGTATAAATACTACGGGAGGCTCTAGACTAGTCTTCGACTGATAATAGGACTAAAATAAGGTAAATTGGAAAAACATTATCGCCTAACCCTAACCTGTTACCCATGTTACGTTCCGATGTCCGCCATCTTGGTTCGCTTACTTCGGGAGCACCAAAAACTCTTTAGTTTTAATATAAGTTCTGTAAAAAATTAAATCGTGCCAGAAACATGTACTTTGCGGATCTACTGTTGAATGAATGATACGTGGATATAGAGTACATAGTTTACAGTTTCAATATAATTTTTTTTACTAATCTGAAATCAACTGGAAACAATAATAGGTTAATTTTTACCCAATTTTACATCAGTGACTTTATCAAGATAACTTGAAAGTTGATAGTAATCTTTTATATAAATATAGTTGTCTCCACTTTTTGACGAGAGTCCAACTAATTCTTTTTGACTTTTACCATCATCTTTACAATCATGACATGCGGTTATGCTGTAAAACTGGGAAAATGAAATAAGACTTCTATTTAACGAAAATTTAATAGTAACAATAGAAAAATGTTCGGCGCTTTCGTAGTATGTGCACCAAGATGGCACACAACCTGAACCCTAATCTGGTACACCTACTGTGTTTAGGGTGTGCGCCATCTTGGTCACATACTAAGGGAGCACCAAATGTTCATCTAACAAAAATAATTTTGGATTACTTCGAACACACCAGATGATAACACATAGATACTCAAACAACCTCTTGAATTGTAATTACAAAAAGGAGTTGGTTTTAAGTGAGTAGTTTGTTGTTAAATCTGACCAGGTTTCAATATAATTTGATGAAACTTGTGGGTATGTATTTCCTAATCACAGCTGTTTTACGGCGTTTGTTTTTAGTACCTTGAGCGAAAGCACATGTCGGTTGTATGACTTTTACTTGCAGAACGTGCTTACAGTGTTAGTGCTAATAACTAGAGCTGGAAATTTCGAATCAAATATTCGAATCGAATAGTAAATTATTCGAATCGGTTCAGAGCAAAATTTCGAATCGCCGCCATCTTTTTTTTTCTATTCGCCAATGGTCGAGGTAAATTTGTCAATTTTTTTTTATTGAAGCCATATTTTTTCAATATAATTCTGACATATGACTATTTTACTGTAGTGAGTTATTGATGAAAACGTGTTTTTTATTGTGTGGGAACGCTCAGCAATCTGCCAGAGTGATGTACTCTGTGTTTTCAGTTATTTATGTGTCTAAAGGAGCTAATAGAATAGGAAAGTTACATACTATTTTATATTTTTCAAGTATTCGACATTCGATTCGATTCGAAAAAAATATTCGATTCCATACTGAAATCATCAAGTATTCGAAAATACCCATCCTTAGTAATAACACAAAAAAGTTTTTTGCGCCAATTGTTTATGATTGGGCATTCTTGCTGTTCAATCGCCACCCTCGGTTTGCACATTTTCCCACTAGTACATGAAGTTAATTTGCGGACTACTGCTGGAGACCTTGATGATACCTCAATATTTGGTTTGAACTGCTTTTCTATGTCTTTTCGTTTTAGAACGGGATCAGTTCCTTGCGTGTGTTTACCTGCAAAATACAAGAAGCATGCGTATGTTTTTCTTGAAAATTTATAAGTATACTTTTCAAATTAAATTTTCACTGATACAAAAAGTCATGAAATTAAAATTGATTCATCGTATTGCATTACCGTCAGTGAAAATAAAACAATGTCTTTTATTATTAGCATTTCCCTTCTGCTCTCTCATAAATGACATAACATCTGCGAGTTTTGATAACGCATGGGCAGTTGCTGTTCCAGATCTTGTTTTTGCTTTGTATTCGTTGGCGGGCTTCAAAGCTGAAAGGTAAAAATGTTGGTTTTTAAAAATTGAAAACTTTTTATTTAAATTTTAGATTGTCCTTTTGTAGAAAGAATAAAGGCAGGTCAAAGATTTCGTAACAAATTTGATTCTTTCGGCCCAGATTTCTTCAAAATCTATAGCTATATAAATTGAAATCTTTAAAACCACCCCAATATACTGACTAGCGAAAAATATTGATATTTCCATATAATAATATACGTACCTTCTATGTAAAGTTTGTCTAGTGTTTCTAATATGTACGTTGTGTTCCTCCGTTCATTCCCCTTATTAGTAATATCCAGTACCGTAAAATTTGATGAGGCAAAAATCATTATTCCAAACATTATATTTCCTTTGAATCCTTCCATCTGAATTGAAAACCAGAGCAACTATGTTAATGAAATATAATCACAACAACTATAATGTAATTGCACGTGAAAAGTAACGTCACTGAGTAGGCTACAATGACTTATATTTGGGGATGAGTTATTTTCTTAGTGCTGGATAGAAATACCCTGAAAATACTAAATTTTCTTAATATAGTTTGGATTAGAATTAATTTCTACACAAATCTGATTTACTCGTTTAACAAGTCGTTTTGCAAATTCCATTTTGTATTTGAAATCCTTCGTTCGGTTCAGAACGCTTTGTGAAACATCGAACAAGAGGTAAATCTCTTGTCCTTCATTTATATCGTTGCTGATAGATCGCCCGAGACTTGTTTGTTGATCAGGCAAATTGGCTAACGATCTTGTCAAAGATCTCATCACGTCGTCGGAAGTATGTGGATACCGATGATCTATAATAGGATAGTATAGGATTCACATATTTATCCCGGGGGAAAGAAAAGCCGATAAGACGGCTTAACCATATGGAGAACCACGGCCTCTCGTTTGGTCGGGTTCCATGTCGGGTATGGAATTAGATAGTTATTTGTTTTCGGAAGCATGGACTTGATAGAAGAGGAAGCCTTAATGATGAATAATAATGATGAAACCAAAATGAAAAAAAAATTCTACTATTATGATTGCTATTGAGATTCGTGAATGAAAATGACACACATTATTTCTTCCGTTACCTAAGATTATTATCGCCCATGGTTTTATGAGCCATCCTGAACTATCCTTTTAGGCGTGGATATTTCAATTATGGTTTCCGTACATTTGAACCCACGACAATTGCACCTGTATACTATTGCACCTATGGAAATTTTTTTGTTTCACGGATATTTTAACCCATACTAACCCTAACCCATGGGTTTTAACACCCGCATATAGATTGAACCCGCGGATATACACATGGGTTCAAATGTACGGTCATCTTCAATTATACGTAATTTGTTAAAATAATATGAATATGCATGAGTTGCAATAGATATGACATTTGCTAAGTAGATGTGCAGGATGTATCAGTATGAAAAAATGTTACCAACGCAGGTAGGAGCTATGCCATTTTCAGACCATTCTTTGAACCATAGACATGTTTGTTCTTCATCTCCATATAAAACTTAACCATAATCACATTTAAATCTGACTGTTGACCCGATTGAAAAATCATCTCCTATAAGTCTTCCGTTTATTGGAACTCCGGGATGAGGGCACCTAAGTTCTTTGTCTGCAATATTTAATTTACCATTTATACTCAATTATAGGGCTTTCAACCACATACTACATTCAGAGCTAATAAAATTGTAAATTACACTCGATCCAATTTACATGTCTTTATGTCTGTTTACATTGTATGTGATGTATTGTAACAAGTCGCGACCCTGACCGTTTTAGATTAATAAAGCATAAAATTTTTTCTTACCACGTAGATCACAAATTGTCAGTGGTCCACTCCATTTACCATTTCCTAAACAAGTTCTATGTTCTGCTCCAAGCATTTTATCATTTCCATGACATTGGAATCTTATTATTGCTCCCACGTATGTTCCACCGTAAGACCTGATTGATCCACCGGTCTCCTGTATACTCGTGCTAGGATCACCACATTGTACAGCTTAAATATGAGAATATTTTTACTTTGAGAAAAATTCCAAACTTTTAAATATATATTGTGTGAGTGATCAGAAAATCGCGAATCTACTTACTGTGAATATGTTAGAGAATGAAAGTTTACCGTTCTAATCAGCCTATTGTGGTATTGGATGCGTGGCGTTTTACAATTTCAAAGAAGATATATAAAACTCTTAGTTATTTTGAAATTGCATTCCGAGAAGTACCGTAGTATTTTCCGTATCTCTTCTCGTGTTTGGTTTTGTAATGTCGCTCTGAATTATATTTTTACGTTTCAGATATTACTCGAAAGCACACCAGTTGTTTATTGTTGATGTGGGCATGGAAATGCGTTTCCTCTGTCACCTTTCACTCATTTTATTATGAATTGTTGTATTTAACTAATTTTATAACTTGCGGCGAGCAGGCAATGAGCGATCTTTTACAACAACCGTCCGAGAAGTCCGTCCACAATGGGATTTCGGGACCAAGCTTAAAAAAACTTGATTGCGCGGCGCTAAGTCAGCTCAGCGTTTCATCATTGCCACATGACCCACGCTTGAAAATAGAGGAGTGTTTTACCAAAATATACATCTTTCTAGATAAGTAGTTGATTCATGCGAGCTTGAGCTGCGAAGTTGAGACGAAAAGCGCGATTCATTCCAATATCTACACCGTCTTGACGTTTATTGATATAACATTGAAATTGCGTGTTATTACCAAACGTCATTTCCGACATCGGGATTAGGAAATTGATTTAAAGCTCGGGATCCAAACCCGAGTTGGAAAAACTAAACAAAACTCAAAGATGTCCTGCCAATAAATACAAATATCTACAAATGGTTTAGTAAACGCATGAAATAAAATCGTTCTTCGGTCCACACGGAATGTTTGAACCACCTTGAAATAGATTCATCGAAAAAAATGAATCTCTCTCCACTTTGATAACAAATATAAATTTATATTTTTTTAAGATTACTTTCTATGTATTATATACTGTCCTTTGATAAAATGAACATTGTAACTATACATACGCATGCAAATAGGCTCATTTCCAATCCATAATCCTGATCCGGAACAGTAAAGAGAAGGAGATCCATATGCCATGTAATAACCGTAATCACAAGAATACCTGGCAACTTTACGTATTGCCGATCCAGTATAATTAATGCTGGCATATTCAACAAGGGATGCCTCGCCACACTCAATATCTGAAAAGTGATTTAGGTATCTGAAGAGGTAACATCGGTATTTTTATTCACTCTAAACAATTGTTACTGCCAATTCGCATACAGCACGAATATAAGAAGAAAATATTTGTACGGGTATTTTATTCATGTCTAGAACTATTTAAAAATATTTATATATGAAGTGCTTAGTCTACTATATTTTGTTTCAAAGGTCACCAGGAGTTGACCCAATTGAAATGACCCAATTAACATTAAATTAAATTAAAAAAATAAAAAAACTTTATTATCGCAACCAACTTCTTTTTATAAAACAACAAAAAAATTGTGTTCTTCACCGACTAATTAGGTAGTCTGTCGATCAAATGTGTGTTGGCACAGAGAGAGCTTTTTTGGGAATTCGATTCCGTATAATTTTGAAGACTTTTAGCGCTTACGCTTTACATAAAATTTATTTAGTTATTAAGATATGAATTTTTTAACAAAAAAATCAGAAAATCGGCCAGCACTACAAATTTCTGATACTGCAGACTGAATGACTCAATATAGAACTTTTCGTTCGAAAGATTTTTTCCCAATGTAGATTGTAGATCAATAAAATGGTCACCTAAAAACATTGTTATGTGGGTATAGAACAGTATTTCCCTTAATAGCATATTATATGGTAGATGATGCCTCATTCTGCACATATGAACAATGAGGACGAGGGTATACAACAGTACAGCAAAAGTTCCGTGGTGAATTCGATGATGTATAAATCTAAACAAACGTCTGAAATCTTCTGAGAGAAAGGCGCTACAAATCACGCCTCGCGCGTCTCAATAATACAGAGTATGTAATTTGTGGGAATCGAACTAAAATACCAATTATTGACCCATAGATTTCTTGAAACAACGAACAATCATGTCTATGTTAAGAATCCAAATAAAAGTAACTTGAACAGGTACGATTGGCATATATATAAATATTACTCACTTGGGTCAACACAAACTCGGGAACAAGGTCCGTCGCAAAAGCATTCCATTCCCGAGTCACAATCTTCGGTAGTAAAGCATCCACTTCCGCATGTTAAACCATATTTTGATATCAAATTTAGGTCAACTCTCTCAAAGCATGGAACTGAATAATGATTTTACTCAATAATTTATATACCGTGATCGAACGCAGAACGTTTCACTGAGCATCAAATTAATCATTGCAGTAAATTAACATGGATCAATTAAAACCCTGCCGTTTTTTTATGGTTCTGTATAGACAAATTATTAATCAAATCAGTACCTAGATGAATATTTTTGTATAAAAATTTCCATTATCCATATCCATACGTTCTAAATTCATATAACCAGATTTAAACACGAGTGCTGAGAAATATCACATCGGATGAACTTACCAGCACATCGTGCAGTGTGTCTTGACCACGTGTTATTTTTGAGACATTTTGGAGGTTCTCCTGTGAGCATTAATCCTTTCTCACATTTGTAGTCAACTACGTCATTGATGAGAGGAATCAACTTGTTGAAAACTGGCAGCATTGTCTCTTCAGACGGTCTCAAATATCGATAGTATGTTGAATTGTTCACACTTGGAACAAGATCCCGACATGACACATCTAATAAATACGCAGGTAGCATAGCTGTACGATTCCCAGTTTATTTTTAGAGTTTATTTTTAATTTTAATTTTTGCAATTTTAGTACGATTTATGTCGAACTATAAGTTAAAGTTTGATTTTTTTAATCTCTAAAATTAGGAATATTGATATTTTTGAAATCTATTATGATTCTCTGTTTTTTCTCAGTTGCTAATAATTTATTAGATACTATATAGTAAAATTACTACACTCAGGATAACGATGTATGTTCTATTTTATGAAAATCTCGTAAACTTGCTACAGTGAAAAAATGTAATACAAATGTAATGGGGACATGGCCAATGGACGCCAAAATTTTCGAAGAACAGTCATGGAGAAAAAGGAATGATTTAGCCTGATGTCTATGTTGTGAGTCATGCATTATTACCCTCTCGTTGTGAATGAATGATGAAGAAATTTCCGTAAAAAGGTGCAAATTCAATTAATTAAAATAGATAATACTTTTAACCGTCCTATTTTTCATTACACCATAGCTTCATTATAGTGTATATTTTGTATGTACCCACGCACACCGGAATTTCATTGGTCCAACGTCGACGCCCACTGCATCTCGGTAGCGGACCAACTAAACGTCGTCCAGGTTCACATTTGTAAGTTATCATGTCCCACAAGTAGTAAGGAGGTTCTACTGGATCGGCAATCTCTAAGTGTTTAAATCCAATACTCCAAATAGTACGTCTGATGTTCCAGTACACACCGTGCTCAACAGTAGGTGGTTCATCTTCACATATTGAACCTATAATGAAGTATGGCATCTGCATTTTAGGAACTACAACTCGCATTTTTCCAAAAAACAAAATTTTTATTATTATTATTTTTTTTTTTTTCAATTTTTTCCATTGTTTGCTAGTAAATAAAACGTTTATTACTCGCTTGCCTTTTTGGTCCCAAATAAGGGCAGGTGCAGGCATCCACAGATATACATATGTAAAAAGCTACTACTTATGGGTGAAAACCGAAAATATGGGGCCTCGTTTAAAACAGTAATGTGTTTTTTGTTACTTTATATTTTCTGTTATTCAATCATGTTTGCTTTGTATCTTCGTGGAGTAACTATATTATCCCTCTTTCTATTTCCTATACCTCTAATGTGCATGTATATCTAAATTGGTTGATTTTTGCGTTTTCGTGTTTGTCTGGATCAATTCTTTAATTTTTTGTGCAAATCGTTGTTCTTATTGATGTAATTTATTTATTTTCTACGATTCTCTAGTCAGATTTTCTTACCTTATCACAATAAAACTGACACATTAGCCTGTTCGGAAACGTTTCACCTGATGATAGTTACGTTCACAAATATAGCAATACAATGACAACTGATCGAGAATCATATGGCATTCCTCGCGTCTATATCTAATGGTTTTTCCAGACTTTTTGGAACATGTCTACTCAATAATACCTACATTGAAATTGATATTATCAACAATATATTTACTCAACAAAATATTTATAGCTTTTAGTTGAAGCAATGTGATGATGCCCTTAAATTTCAAGCACTCACGATGTTTTGTTTTTCACGTTTTGTGTACAAAACTATTTTTCATCCCACATTCACAAATCTTATTCTTGAATTAAACGACAGAAGTTTTTAAAAAACTCTACCTTTGCTCAATTTGCACTAATAAGTTGGTAACTTGGATGACTAAATGAGCTTAAGTGAGTCGTCGTAACTTGGTCTCTAAAATTTTCCATGGTTTGGAAAAGATATAGTTGTGAGTCATTACTTTTTATTTTAAAAATTAATGAAATATCTTACTAGGATTGATGCAACTTAATCCACACTCATCATCGCATACACATTGTTTCAGTAGACCTTTGCATCTCCAAGTCGATGAACAATCTCGCTTGCAATGATATCCGTTTGAAAACAACCAGTCGTCATTTCTATAGCAAATGGACTTTGCTACATCTAGGAAATATAATATGGTGGTTATAATCCATAGCGCTGCGCCTGTAAGAACGAATATTATACAACCCACAAGTCAATTGTGACAAGTAGTAATGAACGTAATCAACAACAGACTGTAAGACAACCAAACAAGAAATGATTACACGTATAATACAACGCGCTTGCAGAGCGCAAGAAAAGGGGACTAAACACATGTGTGAGATGATTAAAGTGTTTGCTTGTAGTGAGATCTAAGGGTTATGAGTTTTTTTTTTTATAGAAAATTTAACGGTATTGAATATTCTAAAATTAGAACACTGGATTCACTATTACGATGCAAAATCAATGACTATTGATTTCGTGAAATAATTTACCACAGTTTGATTCATCTTCACCATGACGACAGTCACTTACTCCATTGCATACCCTGGCTCTTGTTATACAAACGCCGTCATCACACGTAAATCGTCCTTCAGTATCACACATTGATGTTTGGCATGATCCTGCGTTAAAATTTTCATGGGTAAGAATGTTGGATTAGGGGTTCAATGAGGAACAGTGAACTTGAATTTTATTTTTTGGGAGATTGTTGCGTGAGGAGATGATTGTGTGAAATAGTTTTGAAATAATTATTCTACCAATAAAATATTGATAATGATAAATAAAAAACTATGCTTTCAGAAAGAATCATCTGTTGCCAACGAATATGAATATTTTTTTAAAAACAGTTGCTAGATATTGTCCTTTTGTTGTTTCAAACATTGGTGATTCTTGAGCACTGTTAGTAATACTACTCACAGCCAAGACAAGGTCCCCACATCACATGATATCACATCGTTAAATTTTCATAAACAAAGTTATTTCTGTTTTTTGAAAATTTTTCATTGTAATTCCACTCGAAAATGAATTGGCGGAGACAATATAATCTTTAAATGTAAACAGTGAACGGATAAGGTTTATCGAAATGAAAAAGAGAATGGTATTTGACACGAACTGTGTATATAAATTGTGTTGTTATTTTGTTCTTGTTGGTATTTTCCTTTTTATCTTCATGTGAAATCTATTTTTTTATTAACTACTGGATTAATTGAGTGGACTCTGTGGGATTTTTTGTGCGATGACGTCATCGAAAATTGCGCAACATTCGTGTCAATATATTTGAGAATTCCCCTCTTGTTTTGCAATCTGCCGCGCTACATCGAGAATAGCATCGAACATAAATTCCGCATCATGGGCTATTAACAAAAAAACTGAAATTTATCTAATTATTGCATTATTTTGTTCGGCATATGTGAACCTGTATTGTCTAAAAAAAATTTTCACTCTGGCGCAAATAAGCATGGTAATTACAGGCGCCATAACTTATAATAATATTAATTATAATGAAGTAATTGAAGAGACTTCGAAAGCGATCGCCTGTCCAGTCGCTGCCTAGTGTTCTTGTTTTGACATAAGGATCCGTTTGGCACTAGGCACGATTGAATTATGTTGATTCGGGTTACTCCAAATGAGACTTAGTTCAAGGATATTACTATTAGAATTAGCCTGTCTTTATGATAGATTTTAAAGTTAATGGATTGATTTGATTGGATTTCATCGACGGTTTCATGATCAACTACGAATATTTTAAGCCTAAAATAGCTGACAAATTTGGAATGTTATAATTTGTAAATCTTTTTACATATAGATTGCAAGTTACTTTAATGATAAACTGGTTGGACTTGATGAATCATTACATTCGATAATTTTGTTATACTATTGTACATTGCGTATTTGTTTTTACAATGTTATGTAAAATTTCTTGTGTTCATGAATTTGAATACGCTTCACGGGTAGATTTAATTAATATTAATATTACATTTTTAATAATTTGTGCTCATATGGTTTATGTTTGTATTAGAATAATCGTTTTAAATGTATACCTGAAGTTTCATGATTGTGAGGATACTAACATCGGGCATAAAATAACCTCTTTATTGAACTGTTAACGAATTCTATGGCGCAATCCGTGTCGTTTAGGACCACAAAGAATGACTGTTACATAACAGATTAACATGGAATAAGTTGAAATAAATCTTCACTTACCGTGTTCAATAAACAGGAAAACGCAGAGTAGGCTTACGCATATCGTTAACATTTTGGCGTAGAAGCCTATATATTAACCAACTTATCTAAAATATAAATCAGATATAAATATAGGATATTTGGATTTTTGTTAAATCTGTTAAATTTTGTTGAATCTGTTCTTCACACTGCTAAACTATAAATTTACGTGGACCTTGCATAAGAAGCGTTAGGTTAAGTAACGCGCAATTATACCTAAACGTACTGAGCGCAATCTCCAGTGCCTCATATTTCGTGGGGGTATTTTTTTCAAATCTTTTATTTTTGCATTAGTGGATGGCTTATACAACAGATCCAATTGCATGCGTTATAATCACGCCTAATCAAAATTTGAAACTCTCAGCAACAATGTGGCGTTATATTATTTTTTAATGTAGCTTATTTGCCTCAAAAATGATAACGCTACTTGTCGCAAAACTTCTCTGGTCGATATTGGTTTCCCTAGCCGTGCGCTTTCATACAGTAAGCAATACAGGAAAATAGTTGATATACAATCAAGTGAAAATATGGTTCACTCAGTATCAAAGAGACGGTATTATAATTTATCAAATATTTAGCATCCAAATACTGCCATTTATTCAGCGTAATATTCTTCTTATTAATATAACGTTTATAAGAGCTTATATCGTACAGGGTATCTGCAGCAAGTTTTGTATGCTTAGTAACGTAGAAAATTTATTTCTGGCGTTTTTTTTTTGTTGAATTAGGTATAGTTTTTGCAAAATTGCCACAGTCGGGAATTTCAGTAAAAACGTAAAATAAAATGGGTTACTGCCGTCTTTGCGGTCACATAATATGTGCAATATATTATAAATCTTATAAGAAAAACACAGTTTAATTTCACACATACTATGTACATTATTTATTAAATCATTTATTTGCAAAACACAACAGCCTGTTTCAACCAAAAGTTCATCAGGTGTTTCTTATTCAAATAGAATTTGTGTTATGTATATTAAACTGTGTTTATCATGTGACTTACCAGTTTGCAACAAATTACTACTCATAGCTAGGCCCCACTGCTACTACTGGAAAGACCTACCTCACTGTAACATAAGTACTAGAGTGGCAGGCAAGGGTTATAGTCAGCGAAATGAAGCTATTTTTTCAGATTTAAGAGAGCTAGATGACAGAGCTAGCTAGGTTAGAATAATATTTTCTAGACCAAGAGCTAATTTTTTCAAAAGTAAAAAAAAAAATGCAGTAGAACATGATTTGGTGTTCACCACCTTCCAAAACGCCAAGGTATTCGTCAAGAAAGGATTTTTTTTTAAAGTAGGCTAACAAAAATCAAGGAAAAAGGAACTTAAAAGTATTAGATGAAAAAAGGAGCAAGAAAAAGTTTAGTTTTGTTACAAACATGCTTTTTTCAAAATAAAAGTTAGTCAAGGCAGATTCACTTTCAATGGTTGTTTTGGTAACCATTCGTCTATATTTGCGTGTATATGCATGGACATATCAGACAAAATCGCCTACCTCAGCACTTCGCAACAGCGTTGGGAATCTCCCGAGTTGCCCCGCATGAGTTCTCTGTACAGCCCGCATTAATATCCCGCATTAATATAATATAATATGAATTTTATGAATGTTTTCATTCTTTAGATGTAGTATAGGATTTGACGATGAATTCAAGACAGTGCAAAAAAGATCCAGGCAAATTCTGCTACATATGTGGCGAATTAACATTTGCTAAAGGAAGGCGCTGCATTATCAGCCATATCAAGAAATTGTACAAGGCGTACTTTCATTGTCATATAAGAGATCAAGACAAGTCACGGGCTCCTCATGCATGTTGCCCTACATGTGCGAAAACATTGAGCGCATTGTATGAAGTTTGGTGTGCCAATGATTTGGCGAGAACGGTAAGATCATTCTAGTGATTGTTATTTTTTCCGCAGGGCTATACCGGCTGTACAACAGAAAAAAAAGGGTCACATTGTTTACCCAAATTTGCAATTAGCAATGCGCCCAGTGGAGCACTCAAAAGAATAACCTGTACCAAAACCAAAATGTGGAGTTCAAGCAGTGGGGATAAACATTACAGTAATGAAACAGTAGCATTTTCTGATTCAGAAAGCAATAATAAACCAAAACAATTTACTCAAGATGCTCTAAGCATAGACAAAAGTGAACTTCTTGCATCAAATCTTCTTTGAAAAGAGGTGAAAATAACATTTTATAGAAAATGACAATGTGAGTGATGAACATGGCAAAAGATTCCATCAGGATATTTCATTATTAGAGAAACGTTTTAAAGGAAAATGGAACACTGGTATGATGGCAGACTACTGCTGGAATTTAAAAAAGAATGATGATACTCTACACAAGAGGGTTAAGAGGACAAATGTTGTTTAATCTGGTGAATTCGGTGTTTTTGTTTCAAAATGAATAACAATATTGAAGTACATGAAAATGGTACCTAATCCAGAGAAATAAAAGTCAGATTTGGAATCAGCATATTTTTCTTACACCACAACAGGTCTTATATGTTTTGTACTTTTTTCACATCAAATTTGTTGCACAGTGTTATCCGTCGCGGAGGTGGCGAAAAGATTAGCATGAATAATAATATTTATGCTAAAATTAGAAAGATATATTTACAATTTTTCAACAATGTATCTTTGTCTACAATTCCACAATTGCTAATGAATCTCGTCTATATTCCAGAATTTGTCTCCTTCATTTCTTTTAAACCTAATATCAGTAATTCGAACCATGCTTTACTGCGGTGGATTTTAGAATATCAAGTTTTAACTCCATGCTCTAGCTATTTTATTATAACAAAAGAGCTGACTGGGTCTCATCTGTAGAATTCACTTTAATATGCTATATTTTATATCTTATAACTATATCTGATTAATTATTGATTCAAAACTAAGCAGACTTTTATTTTTCTTGTATATAATTCGTTTCTTCTTTTTTATTTGTAACTTCGTAAGAAATAGATTTTTTTTCGTTCTCCCCACATTTAGTTTACATGACAATATTTAGTTTATGTTTGGGATTGCACTCAATCAAGTTAATTGATGAATAGTTTGTTTAAGCATAATAAGATTGAGTTTTGCAAGAATTTATGGTTCTCCAGAAGTATGTGCACCAAGATGGCGGACACCGGAACGTCGTATGTGTACCAGTTAAAAATTAGGCCATAATTTTAGAAAAAAAATACTACGGGAGTCACTTGGCTAGTCACCGAACTTGTAATAGATCTAAAATAAGGAAAATTGAAATAAAATTATGGCCTAAACCTAACCTACTATTCATACTACGTTCCGGTGTTCGCCATCTTGGTGCACCTACATCTGGAATGCCGAATTTATTTTAGTTTGAAATAATAAAAAAAATACTACAAAATATATCTTATTCATGAACAAACCCACACAGGCTCCGTGCTCGATCGGTCGATTGCATTCACCAGGTCGGTCGCTGCAAATCACTTTCGAGAGAAGAAAAACCTCGGAAGTAGTTGATTTTATCAGTCACTTTTCATTTTTTTGAAAACTCTTTTCCGATATCTTTAAGTTTCATCGTCTGCTAGATTCAACTCTATTACCAAGTATCCCGTTGTAACTTCCCATTTTTTGGGGGATTTGAATATAAAACATGGGTATTGTCTAGAATGGATGCTTTCGTATTAAATTAAAAAGAACTTGATTCATGGTATCGAGACTTATCTCTTAGGTAACAAAACGTGGAGCTAGCAGTTTGATAGGAAAATTCCAATCTCCTAGATCTTAAAACTTTCAAATATTCTAGAATATCAGCATAAATATATTATTAAACCTCAATTGTGCTAGTATATTGGTTTCACCTAAATGTGTTCACACTATTAGAACAATTATCAAGAAATTACCTATCGACCATAGGAAAATGCATTGAGCGATTTTGCACTGTTAAATCACTAAGATACAAAAATATTTCTTGTTGTGAACGATTCAGAAGATTATATATTAAAACAGAAGAACAATAATCACTGGAAACATTAAGGATATTTTTTTCGATATCGTTAAACCAAAATCAACGTAAATATTCTACTTTCGGTAAATACTGGCTGCATATTTGAGTGTTAAACATTTTGTTGTAAGGACGGTCGGACGGTCCGATCATAAAGCATTCAGAGGCTCTCAAAGTATGTGCACCAAGATGGCGCACAACTTGAACACAGTATGTGTGCCCGGTTAAGGTTCAGGTGGTGCAGGTTGTTTACCATCTTGATGCACATTCTTCTTGAGCGCCACCACTCACATGCTATACATAAGAGTTGCAAAAGGTCATCTCCAAGTCAATTCCGTCTACTTGAATTTATTAATCAATACACAATTCGAGCTTATACCCTAGCATGACATACTAATTGAATAGCGTTGATCATATTGTAAGAAATACTTATCATGATTTTTTCATACAAAGTGCTTTATTATTAAGTATCTTGTACATATATCAATAATTTTCCATAATACCTCATGATGTATTAATAATCTCAGAAATGACTATATTTACTATATCTTTGAACAGCATTAAATATTATTCTGATGCTTCTACATCGGCGTGGTATCACATAAAAGCTAATCATCGATTCGATTCGGTCTCAGACCGGCGTTTGAAAACTACTGTGCTCGGCTATTCGAATCAAAAGGCAAAGAGCTGATAATGCAAGAATTGCAAATTTGGAAATCCGCAAGATGATATGTTGCCTCAAAAAAGTTGGCAGTTTTACAGAAATATAGATATCGAGGTCGTCTGGAACGAATGTTGATAATTTTAAGCAAACTTGTGCAATAAAATATGCTTTGTCATAAATTTATCCTTCAGTGAAATTCAAACACGCCGGATTTTATATTATTTATGGACTCAGTATACTTGAGTTACATTTTATGAGTAGTCTATGAATGAGATATCGGTCCCTCCAAGTCATAATAATTTAAGACATTTCGTACCTTTATGGAGAAATATCTAAAAGTACCAATAATGGAAGAGTGGCGATAGTTGTTGTTTGTGAGGTGTGGAATCTAAGATGTAACAGTCATTCGAACTTAAATCTGTACAAAATTACACACTGTATTATGAGCTGTCTTAATAAACGTGCCAGTATGTGCAATGAACTGTAATTATTTTTGCACATTTAGTATAGGCTAGGTAATAGGAAGGTTTCATGATATACAACACTCATAGAGTACTTCCGTCGAAGTCTTGAAATTTTAACCGAAAACGCCTTCATTCCAGCTACAATCCTAGTTAATATAATTCAGTTGAGTACAATAGAAGATTGATTGAACATATCTTGAAAAGAATACATTCCTTTCTGATTCGTAATCAATTCGATTGTGACAATATTCCAATAGGGCTCGTTCGCAACCAACCCTCGATAACAGTGCACATTGTGCAAACTTAACATTTCTTAATTTTCAGTGCTATATGGTATTGTTTCCCTTGGAAACTAAACTAAACGCAACATTTTGGACATTTATAGTATCTGGAATCGCATGGGGACAGCATTTTCTTATCTTTTGACTGTTTTCTCTCTATCACAGGATTTGTGATATTTTTGTTTGTTTTATTTTAGCGCAAATGATGTCTTTTCGAATAAGCATAACGGCCAAGTTGAATTTTAACATTTTTTGTCGCCTTGAAAATCGAATTTCGGACCTGGTGATAACAATATTGTTCATATTATTGCAAATTCCATCCTCTAATTATCTTCAATTTTATCAACTCACCGCCGATAGTGCACACTAATATTTTTTTTATCACAGTACGTACAACTTGCACCTTGGTAGCGTTTGCGGCACTATCGATACACTGTGGTAGTTCACTTGGTGCTGGTTTTATTATTAATCTTTATCATTGAAATGTCATGTTTTTGCATCATGAATAAGCAGAATTATGATCAATAATATTTTTTTATATTTGACCCAAAGCAAAATTTATGGACATGTAACAGATTCGTATGCAGGTTCCCATTTTAATTTTCCCATGCATTGAATTGGTACTTTCTTTTTAGAGTTTTTGCATTTTAGTACAAGTCGATCTCCTGATTCAACTCCGATATTGTCTCTGCCGTCAAAATCCTTCACATACACTTTAGCTTTAAGATCGATGGTGAACAAAAGACATCCGACTTCTGTTTAACCAGTTAGAATTAAAATGTTAAAAAAAGATTTGATAGACTAAGAATACATGCTTTTTAATGAAAAAAAAGTCGATATGTATATATTAATAAATCTCCGTTTGCGTCAATGATTTGACAATGAGCTGAGATTTTACGAAATCAATTTTTTAAAAAGGTAAACAAGTTTGGAAACATATGATAAAAATAAATTGGATCATGTAGGAATTTGACTATAGGTATACATATATTGCTGTACGTAAATACATATACATTTCATTACACATTACACATTCTTACGTTCACAAATGAGAAAAATGTATCAACTTAAAACATTTGCACTGATTACCTTTACATATTGCAGGTTTTTCAGACCACTGACCGTTTCTTCTACATTCTATCATGTGAGGTCCGTCTAGCTTGTATGATTTGTTACAAGAAAAACTTATGGACACACCAGGCTCATACGGTGGAGAAGATCCTGTCGGTATTACGGTCATTTTTCCATTTTGCAACCTTGGTAAATTAGGACAATTTGCACGAGAAACTATAAAACAAAAAATATATTGAAAAATTTGTTGATATTAACATTAAAAAAATCGCTAAGCAGTTTGAGTTTTGTGGGTTTTCTATTAGTAACTAGCCAAGCAGGTATAAATTGGCATACAAGAAACGCTCTGGAACCCCAACTAGATGAGACATATAATTAGTTTAATTTTCCAGAAAATGCAAACAGAAAATGTACATCGTCTGTCACGATTTACTGCTCCATTAGAATACTCAATAAATACTACGATGCTACAAAAAGTTTACCGCATTCCGTTGGGATGCTGGTATCCCACTTGCCGTTCACGCAATGTACATTATATTCTTTCGATTGCTCTGGTGGCTTACAACCAAACCTTAAGGATTTTCCGGATAGGACTCTGACAGGTGACGACAATACTCTATCACCAGTCTCATAAAAAACCTCAAGATTTTCAGGAAGATTCTCCAAGACGCATACTTCAAGTTTGTTTGCTTAAATGTAAATTATATACTGTAAATGATATTCTATATAGCATTACATAACATTATAAAAATGATACTCCCAATGTGAGGTCATGTTTTATATTTAAAATTATATGATTCTATTTTTTTCTAATTTTTGAACATGATCAAGTATAAATTCCCTTACAGCAGAGAATCTTAGCACTCCTTGACCAGTTATTTCCACCATTACAAGTTATCGTTTTATCTCCAACTACTGTTTTTTGATCATTTTCGCATTTCATATTCACAGTAACTCCTTCTGATATAGCATCGCTTGATTTGAGTAATTTTCCTCCATTATAAATTTTGACGTCACCGGAAATTCTGTCTAGGTTACATGCGTTCTCTGTCAGAATAAATATAGTTCTAGTATCATTGAATATTATTGAGCACCGTAAAAAAGTTAAACTCAGTTTCGTTGGTGATAGGACAATTTTGAGGAAGTCATGTTTTTGCAATAATTAGATGTTTGTTTTCTGCAGGAGTTTAAGATGCTGCAGAACTCCATAAGCTGCATCGAATATTGTGGTCAAAAATAAATTCGTACTTATCTCGCAATATTTTCCCAGGTTTTCAGGATTACAAAAACAAATCGCTTTTCCATGGGCTAAAATGCTACATCTACCACCACCATTACACGGATCTGGTGAACACGGGTCATTCATGTTCGGCATTGTTGTTGTTCGTATCATTGACGGCTTGGAAGTTATTATATTGGACAATTCTAAACATAAAAAAAACATCAGTAAATACAAAGAAATACCATGAAATTTGGACATAGATAAACACAATTTTAAGACTAAAACAGATTTAAAATTATTACAAAATTTTCTTATGTATGATTTCACAAACTTTACATTAAAATACGTAATTTTTTTCGGGAAAAATCTGGAATCTGATTACGTAAATTATTTTATTCACAATACCATATCCCAATAAATATATTTATGTATTTCCCAAAAATTCTTATTAATGCATAGTTCTTTAGTAATATCTCAAAGTTACCATCGCCTCTTTCACAAGATTTTCCGTTGAAAGGCAGTCTGCAATGACATATGAAATCCCCATCACTGCCGACACGACAATTTCCTCGATCATTACACGGATCAGGATAGCATGGACCTTTTTTCATTGATTCTGTTCCAATATAAATGAAGCAAATCATATGAGTTATTTATTTGATTGCCAAGTTTATTTTAGTATGTTACGTTCTGGGCTGACATTTTATTGATTTTAGTTGTCTTGCTGTATTGCAACGTTTTCCGAACTTTGTAATTGCGTGTAGTACATAATTTCTTTCTTTATTTGGTATTAGTGTTATTTAAATTAACGAATTCGAAACAGAATCGACTATTAACAGATCCGCTGTAGATTTAAAATAGTTGTAATCTGTGTGAGGGGGTGAATAGTTCCAAAGGAAGAATGGGGAACAGAAGAAATGTATCGAAATGGTTAGAAATTACAATCTTGGAGTGACCTGGATTACTTGTACATTCTCCAAACGTCAATTTTAGGTATAGTTATATAGTTCCCGAGCACAGCGCTGAGTCATAACGATCCCATGATATTGCCATCATATCACAATCTAGTGGCTCTCTTTAGTATATTGTTGGAGAAACATGTGTAATTCAATATCTACAACAGATTCGACACGTTTTTGAATGGTGTTGAGTTTGTACTTCGAATTTCGATTTTTTGGATTAGTGATTATTACACAATTATACTTTACCTTTTTGACATATGTATCTTCTTCTAATTGCACATCCATGATCGTTCCAACCAGTTGGGGATATTTCAACGCAATCCCTAGCGGTTCCATCCCTATTTGGCTCATGGTTGTTCCATAATCTTTGATCTCTTGGAATTACAGTCCCATCTTGAAATCTCCATGTATTAGTGTCGTAAATCCCATTAATCCAATAATTGGTCGCAATTCCATCCACATCCAGGATTTGAAGAATCTTCTCACCCAGCTTTCGCTGTACGTCGCGATCCGTTGATTTGGCTAGAATGCTTCCAACATTGGCGCAGTTCATTTTTGCTACATCCCAGGAAACTTTATCCGTTTTGAATAGATACATTATTCCGTTATGATCCAATTCCAAGTCTGTATAAAACATATTTGTATTTATAATTCCGGTATTAAAAGTGTTAATAGCGCTCTAAGCTATTTATTGACAACTTCTGCCCAGAAATTACAGCCGATAACTCGTTTCTAAAGATTCTGTAGTTGGCCGAGCAGTTTCAGTTTCAGTGATTTCTCTCTTCATGGCCACCGAAATCATTTTTAAAATAGAAATTTTACCAGACCATACGTAATGACTGACAAAATTAATCTTGATTTTCAATGTAACGATAAGCATTTGCTTGTTCGTGACTTGTAGCGCGTATTGTTATTGAAAATAATCACATTCGTTGCATTATGAACCTTCTTGTTGTGATTATTACACTGTGATGAACATTGTTGAACAAAATTGTCAACTGGATGGTTGAATTTGTGAATTCCGTATTACAATTGTGAATTTCTCGGTAAAAAAAACGTTTAAATTAAAATTAATTAGTTATATCTAGTTCTCATCCCACTCTATTGGACACAAAAACACTCTAGTTAAATGTTCTTTTACAAATTTTAGGTATTGCGCTACCTTGCGCTAATCCTAGACTAACAAATATTTGTTGGACGCAGCATTTTTTATCGTGGCATCACAAATATTGCATCAAATACGAACTCCAGAAGTCGGGAACTTACAAGGTTTTGTATGTGGATATTCGCTACGAATTGCTTCTTTGCAGAAAATATCTTAGTACATAAAAATCGATTGCACCGTGACAATTTGTCCTATTCGTATATTTTCCAACGTTCTATATTTATTGTTTTTGGTTGCAAAATATATATATATCAATGAAAATCTTGATGATGGGAACTTAAGATTTGTTACAAATTATTATAACCGCCGCCAATATAGATATTATATTATAAATCTGTAAATATCTTACTGGTATTACTTACCTTTTTTGTTATGAACTTGTGAAGTTCCACAATCTGAATTACAAACATCTTCCTGCCAGGTTTCTCCTTTGCAGTCTCTTGACCCTGCTGCCCCATTCTTACAACTACGAGTACGAACTTTCTTTCCAGGTCCACATATCACATCGCATTCCCACTCTGACCATTCTTGCCACATATCTAAGAAAAGGCATTTTTAATACTGTATAAACTTGAATCAAATCGAGATCATTTTTTCTTCTATTGCATAAAAAGTCGCTTTTTATTCGTTTTAAAAATTTAAATCGATGGAATTTCAAAAGATTTCTTCCAAGATTGTACTACAATTTCTATGAATCTTATATTGTTACAACTTCATTTTTGATCCGGTCAAACTAAATCCTGCTAGTCTCTTTCCTGGTTAATACTTACTGGCGTAACCGCACAAATCACCATTATGGCGGTCTCATTTCAGGGTAAATCCAATATTTTCAATCTTCTATGTTAACGTGGTAACCACCTCTTATTTACGACCAAAAGAATATTCATCTAAGTCTAAACTGTTTAGTGTGATAAAAATCGATAAATATATACCATGTTTCTCTATCGTGATATCAATTGAGCGTCCATCAGAATCTTTCCATTGAGTTTTTATCCCATCCGGTTCTATCACGTTTGAATATGTACGTACTTCGTATTGGTGTGATGGTTTACCCAGTGGAATACTATACCCGCCAATGAACCAATTTCGCTTGTTGAGCCCTGGTAAAAAATACTACATTTTATATTTTTATTAATATTTCTGTTCATATTCATTGCCCTATTCATATCGCTTGATGAATTCATACCGACAAGCATGAAGGTACTTCTCTCTTTCAAAGTGTGACCATTTATATTTTTATTATGTACTCCCGAAGTATGTGAACCAAGATAACGGACACCGGAACGTATAGTATGTGTAACAGGTTAGGGTTAGGAGGAAATTTCAGGTACAAATACTAGGGGAGTCACTTGGCTAGTCCCTGAACTCACAATAGAACTAAAGTAGGAAAATTTGGAATATATTATGGCCTAACCCCAACCTAGTACACATACTACGGGTCCGCCATCTTAGTTCACATAATTCGAGAGTACCTTTCATTGTACCTTTTACCATATCTTCTGATACTCTCCATTTTAAATTACCTAATGAATATTGTATATATTTTGACCATAATCCCATTGAATTTCGTTTTTGATATTATATACTGTGATTAATTCCAAACGCTTTGAATGTCAATGAAAAACTATGTAAAAATTTGATAAGTATTTTTTAAATTTCACCTGAATGATATTCATAGAACAGATACATATCGAAATCATTTTCTTTTCTGTATATCTGGCGTTTTTCTTCAAATGTTAGAAGTCCGGACACAGGTTTATATACCCCTTCAATTTTCGGTAAATAATTATTCCTCGATGTTTCAACAACATAATTGTTTACATTTTCTTTCCATTTTTCACAAATAAATCTCGTCTTTTCGCTGCAGTCATCAAAGCGAATTTGCCAAGCCTGGGTTACCCAAGCCTGGTAACGGTAATAATATTTTCCGCAATTGTTACTTGTAGCTCCGCTGAGGTCGAAATCAATTCCGTGTCCTCTTTCAAACTTCTCTCCATTTGACCAGAGCATATTAGAATCAACATTGTGCAAGCCAATCCAGTAGTTTGCGTAGTTTCCCCATGCATTGTCCCATAAAAAATCATTTACCCGCTTGCTCTGTATATTTGCCAAATGGCCTCCATCATTTTCGCATACCCTTTTTGCTCCTTCGTAATTTTTTGGTCCAGAATATTGACGAAAGCAAGAGTCAACCAGTTCTTTGTAACCATCTGGACAATTTTTCGTCCGCTGAGAAATTTCTTAAAGTAAAGTATTGATTCATTGTAAATTGAATTTAGGACATTCTATACATATTTCATTTGTCTTCAGACAAATCAATGCAACTTGATACATTGGACGAATTTGGCTAAGGCTGCACGTTCTGGGCCGTTTTCTCATTATTCACGATTTCCTATTTAAAACAATAAGCAAGATTCATGATCAGAAATTGATTGTTCATAGCAATTACTGCGTTTTCGAAATAGTTTTTTCATATTCTGCTTCTTTGTGCGTTTTTATTCAAACATTCATGATCATAGAATTGCAATTAGCATTCCAGCATCATTGAGTTCTTAAATGTTGATTTGACAAAGTATTATTGCGGTTGTTGAAAAAATGTAATACTGATCTCTTTATCTAATCTTTATTTTATTACTAATTCAATTGATTTCCGTTTAATTTTTGTTAAATATATATACATAATTTTTTCTATAAAACTAATATGACTTTCTATTTTTTATATATTTTTGAACTTGCACAGTTTGATTTTGGATTTTTGATAACGAACACATGTTATCTTTGTCATGTGTAAAAAAGAATAGGACTTTGAAATATTTTCAATATGGGATGCTGAAACACAATTGTGCCATTATGCTTACTGAACATACTTATACATTCAGGTGGTGACGATGAAAGACCCTTTTCAGTACATGTCGCTCGGGAATTTCCACGTGTTCTGTAACCAGCATTACATAAATATGATATTGTTGTACCATATCGAATTTTGGCAGGAGCTTTGATAGTTCCATGCGGGAAAGACCACGGTTTTGAACAAACTATTTCTGAAATAAAAAAAAATATATATATAATTCTTATTCGACAATTGGATAAATGCTTCGGCATATCGCCTGAACGATTATGTTGGAAAGTGAGGGGAGAGGGGTGGTCAAAATACTCTATCAGTAGAACTATTAGAGTTTCAAAAAAAAGCGTTTTGGAAAATGCCAAAACAAGATGATAACCTTGAATTAAATCCAGGTATTTCGCTAACATAAATAAATGATTCCAGCGTTACTTAAAATAGTAGTGAATATACAAATTTACTTTCTGCACAATTGCTACATGTTTTATTTTAAAAGCGATATTATATGAAAAGTCCACTAACCGTCCACTAACCTTTCTCGCATCTTCGTCCTTTATAAAATTGTGTGCATGAGCAATAAGATTCCTTAATTTCATCGATGCACTGCCCATCATTCATGCAAGGATTTTCGTTTTCACAAGGACTGACTGAACCAGTGAAAAAGATAATTTTTTTGTTGCTAAAATATTTTGTTCTCATCCATTGGTTAAACGTTTGCTATTGTGATTTAACATCAAGCAACGTGTATTTTAATAAATGTACAACGTCACAGACGTACAATGTGTTAATTAAATGAATAACAAGCGAGCTTGTTTTTTGGTGATATCAAAAAGTATTTTAATTGCTTGTTTCAGCCATCCGACCTTAAACAATATGTTTATCTTTTTTTTAAGATACCAAGGGGGAAACTTTATATTTACTGTACTTTATGAATATATTAGTATCAATAATTTGTATATATATAGTGTAGGTTTGTATAGTGATGAAAAAACTCTCACGATCATCCAATAATGAGAAGTGTTTATTCTTACCACATTCTTTTTTATTGAGGACTATATCATCCATACTGAATCCAATACTTCCCTTCGCAATTATTTCAAAAACAATCATATTTCCTCCATTAGGTGTTAGAGATTTTTGAAAACCGACCCAACGATTTGCCGGAACAGTAACTTCTCCAGGTGCGATGCCTCCGACACTGTCACATTCAAAAATTCAATGAATCATTATGTTTATCAACCTAACACAGGATCTTGAATTAAAATATCAACTTGATTTCGAATATTCTTTGATCAAACTTGAGACATAAACCGAGTAATAATTTTTAAATGTGCGATTATTGTAATTTACGTTTAATATGCACAGTTAAGATTACCTTTTACCATTCAATTCAATGTAAACGTCGTTATTGGATCCAAATTGATTTTTCACCATATAGTAAAATTGAAGACAATGCGTTACTTTGCTTGGAATGACTGGAGAACGTAATATTGCGTTCTGTAAAGGACTTGACTGTGGTTGAAACTTCATGATATAACCTAATGTGCAAAAAGCATACATTAGCAAAAGTTACTATCTTTTAAATACCTATCCAATGCCTGAGGTTTTTAAAACTTTTCAAATTCCAGCTCCATTCACTTTCCATAATATGGAACACAAGGCAGTGGAAATAACATTTGTCTTTATAAACATTAAATCACAAATAGCAAAATTTTGCCGCTGACTCAGTCAATTTGTTCCCACAGGGCTGTTTTTGTTCACACAAACGATCACAACGCGTCGGAAATTTGAAAGTTGGACAGTTAAATGTCTGTCTCAGCACCAATTTTAAACAATTTTATCATTTTATCAAAATATCAGCTCAGAAATAACTGCTTTGTACGTTCAACTCAAGTTTCGTCTCGTTGATAAATGTGTGAAAGTATAATAATAATGCAATGTAAAAGCTTGTATCGATGAAATTTGATTATGCAAAGATGTCTGAAGTTTCTATTCAGGCAAAATATTTAAAAAAAAATCATTAGTTCATGGTGTTTTCAAAAAAAAACACTTGCCAGGGAGACCAGATCTTGAATCTGATTCAAATACTCTTTTCCATTGAACATCACCTTCGTCAGTGTATCCACAAAGTTCCCTGCCGGATTTATCAAAGTCACAATTAACGTCGACTGTAAAAAACAAATAGTTTTTATTATAACTTAATTTTAATTAAAATAGTATGAAATAGTGGAAGATTGCAAATTCAGTATGATATAGAGGCTAGACATAGCTCAAAACATGCAATGATTGACAACGAATCACGATTGGAGACTAAAATTTACCAATGGTTTGTTCTCATTGCTTGAAAATATCTACTCTTCAAAATTATTGTGAGACCATTGATACAATTTTGGACAAGATACAAAACAAGTCGGTTGGCACTCTAGGTGAACCTCCGCCGATACCAAAGGGTCGCGTCATTGTACGGTTGGTAACGTGTAAATAGGGGATGATATTGCATCGTAAAATGAACGAAATGCATGTCTTCAATGCCCAATTCCTGAAGTTACTGTATATACTGTCGGATTGCACACCAGGAATCTTTTCCATACATCCAAAAAGCTTACCGGAATTGACAATTTAATTTTGAGCAATGCGCGACTCTTCGACATTCTTGCAAGAGTGGTATACTGTGCTCAATAAGATAACATAAGGATAAGATTTACATATTTATCCCGGGGGAGAGGAAAGTCGATTTGACGGCTTAATCATATGGCGAACCACGTCCTCTCACGAAAACGTGTTGACTAAAATTTCCAAAACTTCTCAAATTATGAATTTTTAAAATGTCAAAAGGCTCGTTCGAAATTAATTGTCAGCGAACGTTAGCCAGCTCAAAATTTTGATTTTTGACTGTGTTGACGAGAAAATTGCGACAAATGGCGAGTGAATTTGAAATTTTTCAACTATCGACACATTTTTGTCGATGTTGCCATGGAAAAAGAACATCACCCCCTTATTTTAGACGCTACAGCTGGGCACATGGACGATCAGATGGATAAATAGACAGACAGCATGGACAACTGAGAATAAGGATATTATTGAGCGGAAATCCAAAAGCAAAACAATCCTAGCTTTATCTACCAATATACATTAATTTGTTTGAACATAAAAATTTTACCTTCACATCTAGGAACTTCTCCCCACTCTCCGTTTTCGTCACACATTCCTTCATCATTACCTCTAATAACGTATCCTTGTATACATGTATACTTTACTCTATCTTCAAACTCAAATCCACGAGCATTAGCTTCTCCATTCAAAGGTTGTTTGGGTGCCGGACAAGTCTTTACTTAAAACAAAAGTTGAATAACGGTCGATGTATTGTATTTTTTTTAAACCAGCTGATTACTATAAAGACAAATATGTTAGACTCCGCGTTTTTTCAAATTGGGTATAAGCTCTCTTTCTATAGTTTTCTTAATATTTATTGAAATAAAATACCATATACATTTTTGCCAATCAATACAAAAAATTTAGCTGAATTTGCTCGGTGCCTTTTTTAGTAATAGTGTTTGAAATATATAGCGATTTGGAAAGTGATCCCTCTTTATGACAAGCTGTGTAATTTACTCTGTCTTACTTGTGCAAGTGGGTCGTTCTCCAGACCACCTCCCATTCGTAGAGCAATATAGTCGATATCTCCTTGGATTGGTTATTTCATAACCTTGAAAAATTGAAACATTTGATAAAATTTCCTTCATATTTTTCTTCTCTCTACTTCATGAGAGCGTAAATTATTCTTGTAATAGACTTTTCTTAAATTTATTTGTTTAGACTTATTTAAATTCAAGTTGCACCCAATTTTAAATGTAATGAACATTTACTAAACAATAATTGAAAAGGGGAGCAATAGTATAAAGATTGGATTAATTTTATCAAAGATGACCGCCACAGGGATTTAAATATTAAATGAAATGTACAAATTTTAGGAATATAATACACACACTTTGTTTTATAACGTGGGGGTTAATTAATCAGTTGATATTTTATTTTGATTTTATTTCAGTCGTTTATAACCAAACGTCAGGAATTTACTATCACATCACGGAAATGATCAAGCGGATATTGTGACAAATCGAGCAGAAGGAAACAAATTTGCATGAGTTCCCTTCAAATTTCTTGCATCTATATATAGATTTCGTGTTGGATATGTTCTGCAACAAAGTTACGTAAAGTGATAAATAATAATCGCAGATTTGACAATACAAGCAACTGCAAAATTTGAGAATGTATTGTTAATTCTTTATCATTGACATTTTTTATAGAAGTTCGAAAACTCCAAAATAATGGAAAAGTAAAAATATGCCTAATCTACCTCAAATTTGCCTCAAAAAATGGCCCAATCAAGTTAGGGCAAAATTTCATCGAATGCTCTTGAGAAATACCTTTGTCACATCTATAGACAGCCCAGCTTCCAAATAGAAAATTCTCTGCTTCAACATATCCGTTCAAGGGGCTTCCAGGATCTCCACAACTAACCTTTTTACATAGAAATGTTATAGGTGACCACGTACGATCAGACTGACATGTTACATTTTCATTCCCAGATAGAGTATATCCTGAACAAAATAATATTTATAAAATTATTAAAAATACTCAAAAACAAATATAAATATCCTATAGATTGAGATCTTCATATTCGAAGCAAAAACATTATAGTATTATTCTTATATTTCTTTAGATGTATGAAGGAAATAATATTAAATATTAGAAGGGTTATACTATTTTCTAACTATCTAATGCATCAATTGACACGACTAAAGTTTATATTATTTTAACTACTTTCACCCAAGTACATAAAAGATTATCTAGCCTTCTGTTTGTCATCCAAGTGTAACACCGTTCTATTAGTCCAAGTACTGAGTATTGAAGTAAAAATTTAGTTAATCATTGAATTTTCTTACTGAATCCAAAACTACTAAACATACCGAATCTACACTCGTATGTGACAATGTCTCCCGGTTGGAAAGCACTTTTGTCTGTGTTGGGAAATCCAATACTGTGCCTTGGAGGAAAACTGCATGCATTTTCTGAATTCAAAGTAAATTGGTAGACAATTGCTATTTACAGTATATCAATTTGCCCCTCTGAGATATAATCTCGTAACTTATGCCATATATTTCTAAGAGGCAAATAACATCAATGACGGTAGATACACGGCGCACGTTTTTACGCCAGTTCAGTCTATATAACTAACGTAACAGGTTTATTTCACTTCAAGATAAGTTGTTTTATCATAGCAGAGATTTCCAAAAATATTAGCATTACCAAATATGAACCCTGTGTAGAAATAAATATTTCGACAAGGCTATGTGAATCAATTTTAACAACTTAAATATAACACTATTTTTGTCTTTGTTGATCTTACCAATTCGAAACGACGTGACATATGAATCATTAATTTCAAACATCCAATGTAAAGTATTCATTTTACATTTTTAGCGCAGTGTAGAGGCATTATAAAATCAGAGTAACGTTCAACAAATCAATATGACATTACAATAAAAAAAATTTGGCATACCATTCACACATTTTGGTGGTTTTCCAGACCATTTTCTGTCGGACTGACAAACCGTTTGCTCATCTCCTTGCAACGAAAATCCATCATTGCAAGAATACGTAGCTATAGATCCATAAACTGTACTGGTATATTTGACATCACCGTTATCAATTTTTTCTGGGAGTGTCTCGCATTCCGCTTCTGATTTTTACAAATAATAATTATTTATATGCACTATCTATTTGTTCTTAGTTTGGTTTATTTGCAAATATTTAGATTTTATTTGATTTTTATGGCCATCGACCTTTTTTAGCTAAACTTACGACTTATTACGAAATTGATTATTTTACATCCATTTCGACTGGTACTATATACAAATTTAGATCAGGATGCTAATTTTTTAAATAAATAGGTGGTCGTATTAGTTAAGATTCGCCACCATATTACCTTTGTTGAAGCAGCTCATTCCGCAAACGTTATCACAGTTACATGTTTTTCGTTTTGATTTACAATCGATATCATTTTTGCATGATTTACGGCAACTTCTTGTTGGTGGAACTTTCTCTGCTTCATATTTACAATTAGTTTTGTCGGCTGTAACAATTGTTGACCCAAATTTAGTAAGTATCAGTTATTCGAGTACATTTTGTGCTTCCTCAATCATTTTTGAATCCATATCACAAATAACGTAATTGATGCTAGTTTTATTTTTGATTGACACTCTCTTGATTGGTTGATTTGAGATGTAAGATGTTTGTGATTGTACTGCAATAGCTAGAGATCATAGCTGGTTTTATTACTTCGAGCTTTATTTTTTCTATTCTGCCATTTATACTTTTAAAATACTACCTGCAAACATTAGATTTTCATCGAATAAAAAAATTTTCATTCACTATTTTTCTGCTAGTTATGTAAGAATATATTACAAACGCACCTGCTTGAATTATCCATATATTCACAAGAATTATGAAGAGCTCCAATTTGAACTTCATTATCAACAATATCTCTATGGCAGCTATATTCGTTCTTGACAAAATTTATGAATAGTCAGTAGCTTACCGCCTCACAAATCATGACATCGAACGCCGTATAAAAGGTTTAAAAAATAGTTTTGTGCCTAAGGCTTATTAGGTATATTTTGACATACAAACAGATCAAGACGAGACTTATTTTGCTATGGTTGAAAGTTTCGAGCTTGTTTTTATATTGTGATAGATATTGCGATGTGAAAATATCATAGACCGCTTTATGTTATGAGCAAATATGAAAATAAATATCGTTTCTGAAAATGCCTAATCATACGGTAGCTGATTTTAGAATATTTTTATATCTAGTATTGATTTGTGTTTAGGACATAAAAATGTTTGTTTGTCTAGTTGAAATATGTCGTGACAAAACTAAACTGTGGGAATTTACCTTGACGATGATTTGTCACTGTTTCAATTTGTGTTAGCCTGAAGCTATTTCATATTAATTCTATGACTAGGTTGTGAATAAGCAGATGACAAGAAATGAATATATGAGTATTGTAAAATTTGGTTTTAGACGAAAACCAATGACGAATATTTCAATAAAAAAAGCCTTTAAAATTTCAACTTGTTTTATCAGTTTGTTTTTTGCAATAAACTAAACAGGGCATTTCTTGTTCTCCAATGTTTATATTGATAGATTGATAGATGGATATAGTGCAACGGTTTCAATAATCATTGACAGAAATCCATGATAAAATTTTTTTTATCAAACATGATCGAATTTAATACAGCATTGTACAGCATTGAATATTTAGGGTATAAATTTTTCTAACTCTCATCTTTAATATTGTCTTAGAAATTAAATAGTTCTATTTGAACTTTTATATTTAAAAGATTTAGTTTTTAATGGACAGATTGTGAAATGAAGGAAAAGATTAAATCGTGTTGGTTCATATGTCTATTTTTGGTTCCAAAGTTTTATATTGTTGTTGCTGAAGGTCTGTAATTTTGCTGTTTAAAAAATATATAAACTTAATAATAACAATAATCACTTCAAGTCTACTATAATTTGGTATTTGGTATAAGTTTGATACCATTTCAGTTCATTGGGTTTTAAAAGTTTTCAAAATGAGAACTTCTTCACAAAACAATTCAGGATTAATTTCATTTTTGAAAAATCAGAATACATTTCACAAAATTGCAATGCATCCTTTGCATAATATTCAATTTTGTCTTGGTGAAATATTGACCAGCTTTATATTGAATTCTAGACTGTATAGTTGCTCTTAATATACCAAAGGAAAGTCTTTTGGAATGAAAGATATATGGAAAAAATTCACAGATTTGTGACATTTTTTGATTCAAATCAAAGCGATGCACACTATAACAACAGTAATACTTTTATATTGCCTGGATAAAATTTCAATATATCTTCCAATCTGAAACTTTGCAGATAAATATTGCGAAGCGATCGAGAAATTGCAATACGGAGATATCGTAACATCTAAGCAACCTCCATATACAGTTGGAACAATACTCACATACAAATGCGACAGAGGTTATAGAATTCAAGGCAAACATATTGTTACATGCTTGGAAGATAGAAAATGGTCGGATCCCGCGCCATATTGCATAGGTAGGTTTTTTCACTTACTTATAAACAATCTTTATTTGTTTATAACTTGATAATTGTATTACAAGCGCTGTCATGCAAGCGAGATTTATCTATGATCGAGGCAGAAAGAAAATGCCGAAAACCATGCCAAAAGGATGCTGATTGTAAAGGAGGAAACAAGAGATGCGTCTGTGATGACTGGTGCGGAAAGTCATGCTTTAATCCAAGTGAGTTACTAACCAACCTCAACAATCTGTCCGACCTAATGTGAAAATATTAGCGATATACTTATTATTGATGGCAAATAACAGTTTATTCGATGGATTACCATGACAGGAAACGATTTTTGTTCGAAGTCTTTATCTGAGTGAATTTTTTTTTATCACATATACAATACCGAATATCCGACGCATCTATACAGTCGGTGGGTCTATGGTATGTATAGACTATAGAAGGTTCAAAAGAAAATATCGCACATACAATACAACATAGATTTTCTATGAAGTAACAATTGGCAGACGAATTTAACAATTACACACAACAGAATAAATATTAACTTGTTTACTCATAAATTTGCAATACCAGGTGCCCCGTGCCCGGCTCTACTACACCCTGAAAATGGTTACATAATTGGGAAGGAATTTTCATATGGAAAAACAGTAACATACGGTTGTGACCAAGGATTTGTTCTTACTGGACCTACAACAAGAAAATGCCGTTCCAACCGAAAATGGTCTGGACACGTACCCAAATGCATAGGTGGGAAAAATAAATTTTATATTTAATTTTAAAATAGTTAACTTCCAAATTCAATATTTTTGTTTACTTTACTTGATGCTTATAAACACAATGTAATAATGTAAATTTTGGCATTGCCATGTTTAAATGACTTTTTAGAATACTTTGCAACTCACCCTGGTAAAAAATAGTACGAATTCCTGTTTTAACTGTTCCTATTTATATATATATATAGCGCTGAGTACCTGTGGACAAACTGAGCAAAAAGAAAAAAGCATGCTATACGGAAAAGTGATATTAGGCACAGAAGTACAAATCGGCGCGTGGCCCTGGCAAATTTTATTATTTACCAATAAAAAACATCATACTACCCAGGTGAGTCATTTTTGAGTAACAACGGAGTTGATTTTAATTTCTGTTTATATGAAAATGGTTAAATTAAAGCATAATAATTAAAACGTTTATTGACTCATCTTCAATATTGGGAAATTGCTTTCTTGAGTACTTCTGGAATTATAATAATTTTTAATTTTGTTTGCAAGCTAAAACCTTGATTCTTAAGTCAAAAGTGTTGCAATAATTTTCCATATATCTGGGACATATCAGTATATCTATTATTAACTAATCAATATACTTATAACTGAGTATTTTTGTACTCAGTGCATAGGAACTTACTATCACGAAGGCAGATAAGATATTTGGTTCGATCCACTCTATTTCAGTCAACTCCACATTATAATATACAAACTTCTTTCTATGCAGTAAAAGTATATTATTTCGTTTTATACATAAATATCTTCTTTCTATATAAACAGTAGCTTGTAAACTTACACTAGTATACTCAAAAATATATTTTTATATCTTCACATAATTTATCATCCTCATATATTTTAATTCTTTTTGATTCGGGGACAACAACCCAAATCTGAAGAACTTAGTTTCTGATCTACCGAAAAACATGATCATATATTAGTTGCAATAAATAATAAAATTTCTAATTTAGATTTATGACCCCAATTCGGGATTTGGAGGTGGATCAATAATAAACAACAAATGGATACTGTCCGCAGCTCATGTCTTTTATGAAAGATTTCCAATGGGATTTTTTAAAAAAGATTGGAAGAAAAGATTCTTGATTGCAGTTGGTAAATATTTTTCTTTTACTATTGATATTTAGTTATATAAAAACATAGCTCCTCCTGGCCTTCCATCCATTTCTGTCACAACTACAACAATTTCATAACTATATGTCAGCGTTATCTTCAGTAACTCAATAAACAAGAATATCGGTCGGAGACCGAAGACTTATCGATCGAAACTGCGGTTTCGATTCATGACTCTATAGTGACACCGCGTGTCCCATCACTAATTAAATAATAACTCGCAAATTATACAACGTAATTCATCCAAAATCAATGGGCTTGTGGGACAAGATATGATGAATGCACATGCAAAATTTGGAGCAGATTCAACCTTGCCTTCTTGAGATATCGCGTTCATCTAACAGACAAATAAACAGACAAATAGACATACAGACATACAGACAAATACCTCTCAACATACTCACCGATCTTAAGATCGATAAGTAAAGATTTAGTTGGCGCGTTGTATAGTATTGAAGTAATTTTTTAAACTTATATTGCGCGTCAGGTATGACTAAACATCCAATGCCGGGTGAAGTTATACCAGATCGGATAAACATCTTTGAACCCCAACATCTACATGCTCATGCTAAATTTGATGGAAGCTCATATGATTACGATATTGCTTTGGTAAGTTTATTTATAAAATATATATTTATATCTGGCATTTTATTTTATAGCGATTCACATTGTGATTAAAAAACAACTAAATTGAATACCAAGAGATTATTATTATTTATTACCTGAACAAAATCACTCCAATCTGCTGTTTATATTAAACGCCGTAAAATTGCGATTCACGACTTCTCAAAATAATGGACTATTTTAGTGCATTTTAAATATGTATTTCATCGGAAAGTATATGTGTTAGTTTTGGGGCAATCTGATTTATTACTCTTCTTTGAATTTGTCCAAGAGAGTTCAATGCGTTATGGCCTAAAAATTAGATGACACATAACAATGAAATTAATCTCTACGACTTGCCATAACTAAGTTGTGATCATATATTATAAAAATCATACGACAAAGAAAATATACTTGTATACTTGTAAAAACAACAACACCACAAGTCGGAGTAAGTACGCAAGTCAATGCTAGATACTACGAGAAATACTTCAAAAATTGCATTTCAGTGACAAATATGAACAAAGTAAGAAGTTACGAACGTTTGATCTATTATTCGAAAAACGTTGATTCTCAAATAAAGAATAAGTTACTTTGTTGCAAAACAAGTTTAAAGGTTTATTTTTCATGTTGTAGATTCGAATTGGAAATCGTCTTAAAGTTGTTGGAAATAAATTTGTTGTAGATTCACAGGCAAGTTCTGGATCCTTAACATTTACTCGGTATATTCGTCCTGTCTGTCTTCCCTGCATGAAAGGACACCCGTTTTCTCCAGTTAATATTCTGGAAAGATATGATACAAATCTCTGCAGTCGAAACAGTGAGCAGTAAATTTTTTTATAAAAAGTAGCGATGTAGCAAAATCAAATTCTTATAATTTACTTTAATAATAATCATAGAAAAGCAAACTGATTTAGCTTCACGTAATAAATTTGTAAAAAATCTTTTATAATTACGCATTGAATTGAATTTTTTGGTAAAAGGCTATTACACTTATTTCGTTCAAAAATTTTTTGTGAGTTCCAAGGGGTTCGTTTTTTTATTTTTTTTTTATCAATTCTTTATTATGATGTCATAGAAAAGTGCGCAATTTATGGCTGATACGCATTTGCATTAGTCTTGTATATACAGTGATGAGCTGTAGCCGGAACGCACCGGAACGGCGTTCCGGTTGTTAGACAATTTATTGCATTTGCGTTCCGGTTGTTGAAATAAAATTATGTCTAGAAAGTCTAGTTCTATTACATCTTGTAAACTTACTTATTAACTTACGCCTTGTTACGCCATAACTTTTTTTACATTACAGCAGACAAATATTTAGTGCACAGCAATAACGTGTAATGGATGTTTCGCCGACCTCTGACCCCGTGAAATTTCATCCTATACCTTTCTAATAAACACATTAGTATTGAATTGGTATAAATATTCTTGTAATTTTGAACAGACATATACCAGATAATTTCTTTATATTTCATTATAGTCCTTCGGCTCTATCTTAGGACAGACAAAAATTTGTGGTAGCGTCCGCGTCATGTTGTAAATATATATTACATTTTCACAAATTTGCTGCGTTCCGGTCGTTACGATTTTCCCAGCTCATCAATGTGTATATACATTGTGGTACGTGGTTTCTACTCTGACAGATTGCATACAAGTTTTGGCTTCCCTATGTATATCAATATATATGAGCATCGCTCTCTTGTTTTGCAAACAGTACGAGGAAACAATCCAAACATTCCGGTGAGAGCTGGTGATGAAACAATGGTAACTGGTTTTGGATGGAAACGAAGTTCTGGATTTGTACATTGGGATAAACCAAAAGTGATGCAGGAAGGACGGTTAAAAGTACAGAAAGACGAAAAGTAAATTTTACACATAATGTTCATATTTGGTAATTAGGTCGCCGTAGTTTTGATAAGTTAAAATTTTGAACATAAGTGAATATTCAGGACAATTTTGAATTTTGCTCGTCGCGGCTTACTCATCTCAAAAACTTGTCATATTTAATACAAATATTTGTTCAGTCGACATTTGATCCCGATTGATCTATATATTAATACAATACCGAACTTTCTTACTTGTATAGTATTTCTTCCCAAAAGTATGATCATTCCTCAATACAGTCATTTGTAAGTCTATCATTGGTAGTCTTCCCACATCAATCAAAATCTTATAAATAACTGCATTTATAACAGATGCATCAACAGTGTGAAATTAATGCAAAAAGAAGACAAAAGCGCAAGATACACAGATCGCATGATTTGCGCAAAAAGTGCTGATAAATCTAAAAATATTGATGCCTGCGAAGGAGACAGTGGAGGACCACTTGTGAAACGGGTGTGAGAAATTATTTGAAGTACTAGGTTATAGCAAAAGTTATATTATGACAGTAGATTTTCCGATATTTAATATGCTGCTAGTTATATATATAAATATATATGAAGAAAGCAAAGCTCAAATATATACAACGAAAAGGTAAAACCTCTTTCTCCCCTCATCATCGATTGGCGACATGTTCACAATGAAAAAAAGTCAGTAAAACTATTCATATTTACAATTCTTGTCTGCTTGCGTAATGTTGAAAAATACTTTATTTTCTTCTCATCAATCATTTAATACAGTTTGGAATTCAGCATTCAAGATATTGGATGCAAGTTGGGATAGTTAGTTGGGGATGGGGATGCGGTAATGAACATCCTGGATTCTATACTTCTCTCTCGTCGGTTATGGATTGGGTTTGGTCCGTCCTAAATAAAACAAAAACAGGTATTAATTGTGTGTAGTTTCTAATACATTCTGTTATATTTGTTTGTGTCATAAATTACCTTTATGCACTTGATAGCCGTTGCTGAATAATCATAACACATACCGAATATATATAGAGGTATTAGATACTGAAAATATTGTTAAATACTAATGAAATATAAGTTTTGCACTATTTTATTTCGTAACTTGTCTGATATATTTAGCCAAAGGCTTTTTAACTTGGTTTAACAATGTAAGAAGCAACCAACTCTAAATAAACTCAGTATTGTGAAAAGTTTCAAAAAAAACATCAATAGCATCGAGTCACAACTCGAGATCTATAGTATTCATATAGAATAATTAAAACAAAGAAGAATCAGAATAGTTGCAAAAATATTTTACAAATATTCGTAAAAAATACCAGTTATTATTGTCGATACCTTTCGGAAAACATAGATAGTTGTTCAAAACCTTCTGCCTACGAACATTCAAGCTCAATTGCAAGGAAAGAAGTTTATCGAGTGGGTGAAGTAATTACGTTTTCCTGTAATCAAGGTCAGCATAAAAGCATTCATCTCTAATTTCTTCTATTGGGCAGAGGCGCTGGGATACATTAAAGTGTATAATTGCTTCTATGATAGATATTTGGTATTGTATTCGACGAAGCCGTTGCGATCTTCAAAGTCGGTTTGTTAGTTCTGGTTTGGTATTTATACCGTTGACTTATTTTGGATTACTAGACTTCTAACAACAAGTGTACTTTAAATTTGTTAACCCAATTGAGATTTGGTGTAATTATTTTGAAACACACTTCAATAAACATTATGAAGAAATTTTATGGGTGTCACTAGCTCTATTTGTATACAATAACATTGTTTGAGTAGTTAATGTTAGTGTTCTCTTGGAAGAATCAACCCATCGCGTTTCAAACTTTTAACAAGAGCTAGAATTTTGGCATTATCATTACTGCAGTGTGGAGGCTTCGATCAATGCAGTTCCATTAAAAATGAAAAAATATTTATTTAATTTTGTTTCAGGCTATGCCATGTCGGGCAACCCAGATATAACTTGCCAGTCAGACTTAACATGGTCATTACCTCAATTTTTGTGTACTGTTATTAATTGTGGACAACCGCATATACCAAGAAATGGATATATAAAAGGAGAAAGTTATTTGTCAGGAGATTGGGTCGAGTATTATTGTGATCAAGGTATGGTATTAATATTGTCCAACTCGATGTTTAAATTCGTTTTAAATTTTAGCTTAATCACTTTTTCGACAACCGCATGTACCAATGGTATGATGCAATGATTCAATCATAAACACGTAGACAACATTTTGGTTTCGCACAGATATAATTGCGTTAGGGTTTTAAGTGTATTTCGTTATCTGTTATTTGGATCAACTCGATTGTTTAACTTTACAATATACGAATATATTTACTTTGAAGTGATGACACTTGTTATACATTAGTCATGTTTGGCCATCTCTGAATTTGACGCAGTTATCACCACTTATAAAAACAAAAAACATCTTGACGGGTCGATTGAATTGATTCGAGTATTTTGTGTTTTACAAATTGACCACATGACGGTTGCCCAAGTGCTCTTAACTTTACTAAGAAGCTCCGAGGGTTTCCAGATAGAAGGGAAATATCTCCATTTCCGATATACAATGGTGCTCTTAAATATTCAGGATTTCGCTTTACCGTTTCGAATGCAACTTATCGACGACGTTGTATGTCTTCCGGTGTGTGGTCAGGAGAATCCATCAACTGTGAGTCAGGTAACATATGTATTTTTATGACATAGTAACAGTTAGGTATTTGTTTGTTTGTTACTTATCGATCTTAAGATCGGTAAGTATATTGATAGGTATTTGTCTGTATGTCTGTCTGTCTGTCTGTCTGTCTGTCTGTCTGTGTGTCTGTTAGATGCACGCGATATCTCACGAAAGCGAGATTGAATCTGCTCCAGATTTTGCATGTGCATTCATCTTATCTCGGACCAGAAGCCTATTGATTTTGGGCGAATTATGTCGTATAATTAGCGAGTTATCAATCAATTATTGATATAGTGATCTAGATTTTTGTAAAGCGAGAGAATTTTGAAACCCGCCGAGTGTGTGTGTGCGATGCGCAGTGCGCAATTTACAAGAGCGGATGAATCGAAACTGCAGTTTCTGTTTTGGGGGATCCCCTAACTATCGATCGATAAGTCTTCGGTTTCCAACCGATATTCTCGTTTGTTTGTCTGTCTGTTAGATACACGCGATATCTTACGAAAGCGAAGTTGAATCTGCTCCAAATTTTGCATGTGCATCCATCATAGTTCGGAACAGAAGCCTATTGAATTTCGATGAATTATGACTTATAATTAGCGAGTTATTATTAAATTAGTGATGGGACACACGGTGTCACTATGGAGTACGAGCGCTGTTTCGGGGATCCCCTAACCTCCGATCTATAAGTCTTCGGTCTCCGACCGATATTCTCGTTTTAGTTTTGTTAGAATTATAGTGATATTGAAATTTTAAAAATAATCTAAACAGATGGATAATAAAGTAATTGCACCGGGGAGTAATACTATTTATATTTATTTGTATTTTAGAAGTTTTGTGCTCGTTACCAAGTATAATATCTGGAACAATTAAAGGTTCAGAACCGTTCAAAGTGGGATCGATTGTATTTTTTGTGTGCAACGATGGGTACAAAATATCAGGAAATTCTTTATTAACTTGCTCTGAGAATGGTTTGTGGAATCCTCCTCCACCTAAATGCACAAGTACGATATATATGCAACATATATATATATATATGATGAGCTGAAACGAAGAATATTCAATAATATTTGCTAAATAATATTATGAAATATTCATAACCAATATAAGTTATTACAAAACATAAACCTCAAATAAAAAATTCTGAAAGACCACACTACATAGTTTAATAAAATTGGAAATTGTCTCATCTCGATGGATTCAGACTTTGGCTCCCAAGCCTTTTATAAAACTTTAAATTGATGTTGGAAATATTGATTATTATAACGAAAATGCTTGATATTAATTTCCAATCATGACTCAATGTCAATCATTGTATGCTTTGAGCTCTTTCTATACCCTATATCATATTTGCAATCATCTCTCATTATTTTATTATAGTTTGATTAAATTTAAATTATAATGAAGTACATTTGCCTTTTCAGTTGACGTTAACTGTGACTTTGATAAATCCGACAGGAAACTCTGTGCATACACAAACGAAGGTGATGTTGAATGGAAAAGAGATTTTGAATCAGATTCAAGATTGGGTCTACCTAGTAAGTGTTATGTTTTTTCAAAACACTTTAAACTAAAAAGTTAGTATTTTTTATAGAAGTTTTAGAAATTTTAAAGCCTCAGACATCTCTGTTATTGATTTAAATTTTATCGATTCAAGCTTTTACATTGCAATATTATTATACTACCATACATTTATACACTAGACGAAATTTGAATTGAACATATTCGGCAGTGATCCTGAACTTCGCGTAACAAGCAAAATATTTTTAAAGGCATTGCGAAAAACTAATTCATTTTTAAAATCAATTTGCACAATATCAGCCTTATAGGCAGGGCTGCCATCGTTATGAACCCAAAAATAAGGACGCCAGGAAAACATAATAATGAGGTAACAAAGAACGAAATGTAAATAAACAAAATGTATTCATGCCAGTGCAACCCGTGCCAATGCAGCTCGGTTATAGAATATCTTTTCTAGCATATCAATCATTCGAAGTGATCAATCTAAGTTCCCGGTAAATAAACCTCTGCCCCCAACAATTAAACAAAAATAAGGACACGTGTCTAAATTGAGACGTTTCTTGGAAAAAAGGTCAAAAGTAATTTCTAAGACAGACAAACCTTCAAAATAAGGACAAATCTTATAAATAATAGCGTTATGGCAGATTGAATAATTCATCTGCAAAATTTTCCATTCGTGATTTAATGTTTATAAAGTGAAATAGTATTTTCACTGCCTCGTGTTTCGTATTATAGAAAGTGAATGAGTATGGAGTTTTTGGAACAAAATTTTGGAACATTAGGCAAAAGGGTGACTATCTAAGAGTTTATAACTTTTTCTAATATATGGTTTTCACACATCAGGTTATATCATGACGTTTCCACCCCAGTCAAGTTCTTCAAAGAATGCAATATTACGTTCTCCAATCATTCCCAGCAAAGTAACGCATTGTCTTCAATTTTACTATATGGTACAAAATCAATTAAAATCCAATAACGACGTTTACGTTGGATTGAATGGTGAAAGGTAATCGTAACTGGGCATATTAAACTCAAATTATAATAATCGCAGACTAAACTGATACTCGGTTTATGTCTCAAGTCTGATCAAATATTATTAAGAAGCAAGTTGATATTGTAATTCACAATGTGATGTCTTTCACATAATAATGCATTGCAACTTTTTGAATGTGACAGTGTCGGAGGAATTGCACCTGAAAAAGTTATTGTTCCGACAAATCGTTGGGTCGGTTTTCAAAAATCCCTAACACCTAAGGGAGAAAATAGGATTGTTTTTGAAATAGTTGCGAAGGGAAGTATAGGATTCAGTATGGATGATATAGAACTCGTCAAAGAAGAATGTGGTACACAAACACTTTTCATTATTGAGTTTTAGCGTATACTATATCCATAAAAATAATGGGTGCTAATATATATATCAAGTGCATTATTAATATAGTTTGCTCCATAGTATCTGAAAGAGAATCAAAATCAAAAATGCTTTAAGTCGGATTTCCGTGGTTGAAATAAGCTAATTAGGAGGACTACTTCTTGAAATTACAAAAAAGCAAACAAGCTCCGTTGCTATTTATTAACTAACACATTGTACGTTTGTGACGTTGTACGTTTTTTCAAATACACGTTGCTTAGTGTTAAATCACAATAGCAAAAGTTTAACCAAAAATAAAAACAAAATATTTTGGCAACATAAATCATGTTTTTTTCACTGGTTCAGTCAGTCCATGTGAAAACGAAAATCCTTGCATGAATGATGGGCAGTGCATCGATGAAATTAAGGAATCTTATTGCTCATGCACACAATTTTATAAAGGACCAAGATGCGAGAAAGGTTAGTGGACGGTGTCATACACATGACTTTTCATATAATATAGCTTTTAAAATAAAACATGTAGCAATTGTGCAGAAAGTAAATTTGTATATACTTACTTCTACTATTTTGATTGTGCGTAGAATAATATAACTATGTCGGTCACATATCTGGATTTTATTCAGGGTCATCATCTTGTTATATTATAAAACGCTTTATTCTGTAAGTCTATTCGTTCAACTAACAGACGATTTTGATTACCACTCTACTCTAATTTCCAATATAACCGTTTTAGCAATATGCCGATGCATTTATCCAATTGTCGAATAGGTATCGTAAATATTTTTTTTTTTTTCAGAAATAGTTTGTTCAAAACCGTGGTCTTTTCCGCATGGAACTATCAAAGCTCCTGCCAAAATTCGATATGGCACAACAATATCATATTTATGTAATGCTGGTTACAGATCACGCGGTAATACCCAAGCGACATGTACTGAAAAGGGACTTTCATCGTCACCACCTGAATGTATAAGTGGGTTCAGTAAGCATAATGGCACAATTGTGTTTCAGCATCCCATATTGAAAATATTTCAAAGTCCTATTCTTTTTTACACATGCCAAAGATAACATGTGTTCGTTATCAAAAATCCAAAATCTAACTGAGCAAGTTCAAAATCATATGAAAAATAGAAAGTCATATTAGTTTTATAAAAAAAAATTATATATATTTAACAAAAATTAAATTGAAATCAATTGAATTAGAAATAAAATAAAGATTAGATGAAGAGAGCAGTATTACATTTTTTTAACAACCACAATGATACTTTGTCAAATCAACATTTAAGAACTCAATGATGCTGGAATGCTAATTGCAATTCTATGATCATGAATGTTTAACCCAACGCTGCCGGTACATCTAAGCCCAATTTTTTTTTTCTTTCAATTTATAATTTCTCGTTAACCAATAACGCCTGACACATCACTCAGGGCTCGTTGGAAGCTATGTTTTGTTTTCTACACGCTAGATGTCGCTCCTGGACCATTATTCGTACGACGTCACGCTTATGCTTGAGTAAGCATCAGCTTGTAAACAAACAATCAAACTTTTTCAATTCCTGCCGAACGCGTCATTCTTTATCATAACAGCACTCTCGCATGTTTGGTATCGTTGATTTCCTAGTTGTTATAGCAACAGAATGAGACCGTAAGAGGTCTTATAGCTTACGCCGTCGCATAGTGAAGACGTGTTATGTTTGGGTAGGTCGTGTCTTCGCGTCAGGTTGTGCGACATAAGAAATGTCCGATTCCACTGAATCATTCGCATCTGAATGGTTAGGAACAATTTTTTTAATAAAAACGAACAAAGAAGCAAAATATAAAAAAAACTGTTGCGAAAACGCAATATTTGCTATGAACAATCAATTTCTGATCATGAACCTTGAATATTAGTTTAAATAGGAAAGCGTGAATAATGAGAAAACGGCCCAGAACGTGCAGCCATAGCCAATTCGTCCAATGTATCAAGTTGCATTGATTTGTTTGAAGACAAATGAAATATGTATTGAATGTCCTAAATTCAATTTACAATGAATCAATACTTTACTTTAAGAAATTCCTCAGTGGACGAAAAATTGTCCAGATGGTTACAAAGAACTGGTCGACTCTTGCTATCGTCAATATTCTGGACCGAAAAATTATGAAAAAGCAAAAAAAATATGCGAAAATGATGGAGGCCATTTGGCAAACGTACAGAGCAAGCGAGTGAATGAATTTTTATGGGAAAATACGTGGGGAAGCAGCGCACACTACTGGATTGGCCTTCGCAATGTCGATTCTAATATGCTCTGGTCAAATGGAGAGAAGTTTGAAAGAGGACACGGAATTGATTTCGACCTCAGCGGAGCTACAAGTAACAATTGCGGAAAATATTATTACCGTTACCAGGCTTGGGTAACAAAGGCTTGGCAAATTCGCTTTGATGACTGCAGCGAAAAGACGAGATTTATTTGTGAAAAATGGAAAGATAATGTAAACAATTATGTTGTTGAAACATCAAAGGATAATTATTTACCGAAAATTGAAGGGGTATATAAACCTGTGTCCGGACTTCTAACATTTGAAGAAAAACGCCAGATATACAGAAAAGAAAATGATTTCGATATGTATCTGTTCTATGAATATCATTCAGGTGAAATTTAAAAAATACATATCAATTTTTAACATCGTTTTTCATTGATATTGAAAGCGTTTTTATTAATGTCAGCATATAATATCAAAAACAAAATTCAATGGGATTATGGTCAAAATATAATATACAATATTCATCAGATAATTTAAAATGGAGAATATCAGAAGATATGGTGAAAGGTACAATAAAAGGTACTCCCGAATTATGTGAACTAAGATGGCGGACACCAGATCGTAGTATGTGTACTAGGTTAGCGTTAGGCCATAATTTATTCCAAATTTTTCTACTTTAGTTCTATTGTGAGTTCAGGGACTAGCCAAGTGACTCCCGTAGTATTTGTACCTGAAATTATCTCCTTACCCTAACCTGGTACATATACTACGTTCCGGTGTCCGTTATCTTGGTTCGCATACTTCGGGAGTACCCAATAAAAATATACATGATCACATTTTGAAAGAGAGAAGTAACTTCATGCTTGTCGGTATGGATTCATCAAGCGATATGAATAGGGCAATGAATATGAACAGAAATATTGATAAAAATATAAAATGTAGTATTTTTTACCAGGGCTCAACAAGCGAAATTGGTTCATTGGCGGGTATAGTATTCCACTGGGTAAACCGTCACACCAATACGAAGTACGTACATATTCAAACGTGATAGAACCGGATGGGATAAAAACTCAATGGAAAGATTCTTATGGACGCTCAATTGATATCACGATAGAGAAACATGGTATATATTTATCGATTTTTATCACACTAAACAGTTTAGACCAGGGTTGGCCAACCTTTCTGGCCGAAGGGCCACATTTCGTTTACGAATGATTGCGCGGGCCAATTGACATGGTAGTTATGTTCTAGTTTTCACTACACTGATGATGAGGAAACAAACAAATTCCATACACCAAATTTATAAGAACAGTAAATACGAGATACAGTAAGTCGAAAGTCTTTACCACACATAGATATTTCAATGTCAAGTATGATACCGCTTTCAACCAATAATTTTGTTAATATTTGGGTGATGGACTATGCAGAACAAATTTTTATATGACTGTCAAAATTTAAGTATCTCACGGAGGACTCGATATGATTCATCCTTGAAAAAACTTGCTCGTATGATGTAAGTGCTGTCAAATATAAAAACTACTTTTTCTAGTTTCACAGAAATAAGACATGAAAACAGATTAAAATACATTACAGACAATAAAAATAAGTGCTTTGCGCGCGTTTGACCGACGAGAAAGTTTTCAATAATGGCTCAGATTTGTAAAAGACATTGGGATTTGGATAATACCACGCGTTCCACCCGGAAACCGGACCACGGGTTGGACGACCCTGGTTTAGACCTAGATGAATATGCTCTTGGTCGTAAATAAGAGGTGGTTACCACGTTCACATAGAAGATTAAAAATATTGAATTTGCCCTGAAATAAGACCGCCCTAATGGCGATTTGTGCGGGTAACGCCAGTAAGTATTAACCAGGAAAGAGACTAGCTGGATTTAATTTAGCCGGATCAAAAAAGAAGTTGTAACAATATCAATTTCATATAAAATTGTAGTACAGTCTTGGAAGAAATCTTTTAAAATTCTATTGATTTAAATTGTTGAAACAAATAAAAAGCGACTTTTTATGCAATAAAAGAAAAAATGATCTCGATTTGATGCAAGTTTATACAGTATTGAAAATGCCTTTTCTTAGATATGTGGCAAGAATGGTCAGAGTGGGAATGCGATGTAATATGTGGACCTGGAAAGAAAGTTCGTACTCGTAGTTGTAAGAATGGGGCAGCAGGGTCAAGAGACTGCAAAGGAGAAACCTGGCAGGAAGATGTTTGTAATTCAGATTGTGGAACTTCACAAGTTCATAACAAAAAAGGTAAGTAATACCAGTAAGATATTTACAGATTTATAATATAATATCTATATTGGCGCGGTTATAATAATTTGTAACAAATCTTAAGTTCCCATTATCAAGATTTTCATTGATATATATTTTGCAATCAAGAACAATAAATATAGAATGTTGAAAAATATACGAATAGAACAAATTTTCACGGTGAAATCGGTTTTATGTACTAAGATATTTTCTACAAAGAAGCAATTCGTAACGAAATATCATAATACAAAACCTTGTATTGTTGAAGTTTCCGACTTCTGTAGTTCGTATTTGATGCAAAATTTGTGATGCCACGATAAAAAATCCTGCGTCCAACAATGTTAGTCCAGGATTAGCGCAAGGTAGCGCAATACCTAAAATTTTGTGAAAGAACATTTAACTAGAATGTTTTTTGTCCAATAGAGTGGGATGAGAACTAAATATAACTAATACCAAGAAAATCACAATTGTAATACGGAATTCACAAATTCAACCATTTAGTTGACAATTTTGTTCAACAATTCTCATCACAGTGTAATAATCACAGCAAGAAGGTTCATAATGCAACGAATGTGATTATTTTCAATGATAATACGCGCTGCAAGTCACAAACAAGCCAATGCGTACCGTTACAATGAAAATCAAGACTAATTTTGTCGGTCATTACGTATGGTCTGGTAAAATTTACATTTTAAAAATAATTACGGTAGCCATGAAGGAAGAAATCCCTGAAACTGCATGCTCAGCCAATTACGGAGTCATTAAAAAGGAGTTATCGGCTGTAATTTCTGGGCAGAAGTTGTCAATAAATAGCTATTAACACTTTTAATACCGGAATTATGAATACAGATATATATGTTTTATACAGACTTGGAATTGGATCATAACGGAATAATGTATCTATTCAAAACGGATAAAGTTTCCTGGGATGTAGCAAAAATGAACTGCGCCAATGTTGGAAGCATTCTAGCCAAATCAACGGGTCGCGACGTACAGCGAAAGCTGGGAGAGAAGATTCTTCAAATCTTGAATGTGGATGGAATTGCGACCAATTATTGGATTAATGGGATTTACGACACTAATACATGGAGATTTCAAGATGGGACTGTAATTCCAAGAGATCAAAGATTATGGAACAAACATGAGCCAAATAGGGATGGAACCGGTAGGGATTGCGTTGAAATATCCCCAACTGGTTGGAACGATAAAGGATGTGCAATTAGAAGAAGGTACATATGTCAAAAAGGTAAAGTATACTTGTGTAATAATTACTAATCCATAGACTCGAAATTCGAAGTGCAAACTCAACACCATTCCCTTTCAAAAATGTGTCAAATCTGTTGTAGATATTGAATTACATATGTTTCTCCAACAATATACTAAAAAGAGCCACTAGATTGTGATATGATGGCAATATCATGGGATCGTTATGACACAGCGCTGTACTCGGGAACTATATAACTATACCTAAAATTGACGTTTGGAGAATGTACAAGTAATCCAGGTCACTCCAAGATTGTAATTTCTAACCATTTCGATACATTTCTTCTGTTCCCTATTCTTCCTTTGGAACTATTCACCCCCTCACACAGATTACAACTATTTTAAATCTACAGCGGATCTGTTAATAGTCGATTCTGTTTCGAATTCGTTAATTTAAATAACAATAATACCTAATAAAGAACGAAATTATGTACTACACGCAATTACAAAGTTCGGAAAACGTTGCAATACAGCAAGACAATTAAAATCAATAAAATGTCAGCCCAGAACGTAACATACTAAAAAATACTTGGCAATTAAATAAATCACTTGTATGATTTGCTTCATTTATATTGGAACAGAATCAATGAAAAAAGGACCATGCTATCCTGATCCGTGTAATGATCGAGGAAATTGTCGTGTCGGCATTGATGGGGATTTCATATGTCATTGCAGACCGCCTTTTAGTGGAAAATCTTGTGAAAGAGGAGATGGTAACTTTGAGATATTATTAAAGAACTAAGAATTTTAATAAGAATTTTGGGGAAATACATAAATAAATTTATTGGGATATGGTATTGTGAATAAAATAATTTATGTAACCAGATTCCAGATTTTTCCCGAAAAAAATTACGTATTTTAAGGTAAAGTTTGTGAAAACATAAATTAGATAATTTTGTAACAATTTTAAATCTGTTTCAGTCTTAAAATTGTGTTTATTTATGTTCAAATTTCATGGTATTTCTTGGTATTTACTAATGTTTTTTATGTTCAGAATTTTCAATAGAATAACTTCCAAGCCGTCAATGATAGACAGACGGGAAACTGAGATGGGAGCCTACATACGAATCTGTAACATGTTCATGAATTTTTTTGTTTGGGTTCTTCATAAACAAATCATCATATTCATTATTATCCATCATATTTCTTCTTATTCTTGAAGAGTGTTAAGCTGACTCAGACAAATATGCGTCAAGGTTTTCGATCAAATGAATAGAGAGAAAATACTTGAACGCCTCACGTTAAAGTTTCAAGCCCCAGATCGGTCATCTTCATTGATCCTCATTAGAAAAAGCGAAACTTTGGTAGTTTTTTCAACAGATTCTTCTGTTTTTATAACCGTTGACAACTTCATTCAGTAGGTCGCAGTGTGAAAAATACGATGCCGAAAATAAATTCTTAAATATATTTTTTATTTGAGAATAATTGCACTATTCCAATTGTGCTCGTGAAACCCTCAAGGGTGGTGGCTCTTCAATGACCCACAGATTACGGACTGGGGCTCATGGGCCATGGCTCTTGGTCACGACCCAGTTATTTCTTTACTTATATTACCAGCGCTTAGAATGAAACTAATATATTACGATTATTGGATATAATTAGCTCATGTCTCTTTATCTTAACTGCTTAGGAAATGCATTTCCGGTTCGATGATTATGCGTAGTTTTTTAGATAGCGAAATGTTTCACCAAAGCTAAAACTGGCCATATTAAAGTAAAAATGATATTAATTGTTATAATCCGAACTCTAGTTTGTCTAATTTATTTTGTAGTCGTTTTGCTGGCGAGTAACCGTTTTGCCGGCGAGGGGGTAATAGAAATTTTAGCAAATTATCCAAATTAGAAAAAGGGAGATATTTCATTTGACATTTTTCATACCAAGCGTACTTGCAAATACAAATGGGTTGATTGGCTGTGTATGCAAATCACCTAATTGCCTATATATTCGCTATAGTTAACTGTATATGCATCTTCTGAGCTATATGTACGTTTGTAACCATATCTCTATTTACCTGATCTTTTAAAGTTAAACTATGACGACCTTGCAGTGTCTAGAAAATGTCGTGTCCCACTTGCCCCCCTTGTCCCACGTATTCCACTCGTCTGACGTGTCCCACATTCACCACTTGTCCCACATGTCCCACTCATCTCACTTGTCCCAGGTGTTCCACTTGTCCCACTTTTCCAACTTGTCTCACTTGTCACAGTTGTGCCACGTGTCCCACTTGTCCCACGTGTTCCACTTGGCATTTATGAAATTCGTGGGAGACTAGTCGCTAATACCGCGTGTGATTGAATTTTGACAGAATCGTCGATTATTTTCATCAGCGTGTCGTGATATTTAAGCCTTGAACACCTTCGCCTGACGATGATAATTCATTTTATTGACTCGCACAGAATTGTGAATCCAGTAAGAGATATTATAAATTCACCGGCGAGACAAAGACAAATAAAGGAGTTAATCCGCGGCGAAAAGTTTTTTTGATTGAAAAGCGACAAAACAAAATACTAAAATTAAAACCGAAAACAATATAAGTTTTGTTGTAAGAAGCCCGCGACAGATTAAAAAACGCCCTCTTAGTCATTGTAAATCGCAAAACGACTTAAAAATGAAAACTTGACATAAAAATATAAAAAAAATGGCATAAAATAGTAAAAGCAATCGATGCTTGGAATAAATTAACAATTATCATGGCAGGCGAAATATGAGGTACTACTGTTACATAGAAAATCGGGAAGGAAAATCCAACCGAATGAAAAGAATCACATTAAATAATAAGGTAGCATTCATGTAAATGGGACAATGATTTCTTGGTCGGATATATAATTTCAACATCTGCTCGGGACTAACTTTTGCCTTCCATATTAATCTACAAACTACCGGAATTATTCTTTTATTGCTCTAAATTTACAAAAAAAAGAACGAAAATCGGAGAAAATATGATAAATACCACACAAAGAACTCGGGAAATGAAAAAAAGCAAAAAAATTAATTAGCAATCTATATGGCATGTTTAAAATGCTAGTATACAACAAAACGCAAAATGTGCACAAGTCAAAAAATTTATTGTGCTGGAAAAACTTTATCAATATATATCAGACTTATGCAGATTGTATTATTTTGTAACATATACAATAATATGTTTTTAGGTTGCTACAAAAACGTCATAATAATTTCACAAAATCGAATATTCGACAATAATTTTTTTGATGAATGACTGCGAGATTGTTTGGCTTTCATTCGCCTTCTTTGACCTTTTTTCTTCCTCATTCGGGGGTGGTATATTTATAATAAGTTGTTCATTGATCGATTTACAGATTTTTTCCGATGTATTTATTTAAGGATTCAGTATGCTGTTTACTTTGATTAGAAGACATTTTTGACCAGTTATGGGGCTCCAGAGAAAACGCGCTTTCAAAATTGGATTGCAAATCATATGACCGGTTCAAACGAATGCTTTTCGGACATCAGTATAGGGGTGAGCAAACCAATTCACCCAGAATTAGATCAGATTTATTAAATCATGAAGTTTCTTCTGCTGCCATTCCGCTGTTCTAAGATAAGTGACTGATAATTGTTGTTCGTCCAGTCCCGACCAATGTTATTTTTGTATTTCCATACCTTGTTCTTTTAATAGCGGTAGGAAGCGATTTTGCAAGTATGAAAGCGTACCTGGCCAATGGGTTCCAAATAATTTAACAATTCAGTTTCGGAAAGATCGTATTAGCATTGGTCTCAAGCGCAGCTTTTTGAAAAACGGCTGCTGTTAAAAATGTTTTACCTAGATTATAAGTTTTATTTACCCCCAGAACATTTAATCCATACAAACAGCATTTTCTAATATCCAGTAGTTGATTTGATGTAAAAAAAATATAACGTTGACAGGATGGGATGACAACCCAACTTTTTCATAAAAGAATTGGATTTTGACATATTGATTGATTTTGACTTCGTTTGTACTCAATAAGTGCTACTGGAGGGCACGTATTCACGTCAGAAAATTTTATCCAACTAACACGACGTGAATAACAGGTAGAAGACTTGCTATCAGAATAATATCTCATCAATTTTAAAATAGAATCCACACATGGCTGAGGAGATATTGGCTCGAAAACTTTCTGCTTTCCATTTTTTATTCTATTACAAAAGTTGCCTTTTTTATAATACAGAATTTTCAATTTTTCACCGCCTTGATAATATGTTGCCGTAAAATTTGTATAAGACCATGTTACGCAATCATCATCAAAATTTATTTTATATCCATTTTTAACTTTAGTTACGTTTGTGCTATTATCCTTAGATAATAGCAGATCCTCCGCAGATCTGACTTTGGCCCTTGAGGAATTGTAAACATACTTTGATTGGAAATTTTAGCTTCAAAATATTAATGCAGTCTTGTAAAGCTAGAAATTCTTCATACCGAAGAGGAATTCCATCTTCGTACTCAATCTTTTTCCATATCTGCCGTTTTATGATTCATCCCCAGTTGCACCTTTTCCTCTGCTCCTGTGGGAAAATATTGCGTACCCGTGAGCCATGGGTCGATAACATGTGGACAATTTTATAGAATTTACTTGATCCGCCATTTTTAATTTCTTGGCGTTGACATCCGAAATTTGAAAAACAGTAGAATCGTTCACTATAGAAAGTATGTTAGGGTTATGTTCATGAATATTCTGAGTAATACCGCTTTTTGTATTATTGTGTGGAGACTGAAAAACTTCTCCAAATTTTGCAGATTTTTTTGTCATTGGCAAACTTATTTACAATTTTATGACATGTGGGCCCGGTCGATTGTATCACTTTCTCCGTCGCCGAATATAGGCGTGTCGATATCGGATCGGTATCGGAATATCGGCGATAAATGCGGTATCGGTATATCTCCAATGTATGTATCACCCTTAAAAAACTTGAATTAATAAATATTTTTATAAACAGTTTAAGTAGGACATGGGACACGTGGGACACGTGGAACAAGTGGGACATGGGGGCAAGTGGGACATGTGGAACGAGTGGGATTAATGTGAAAAGTGGGACACGTGGTACAAGGGGGACACGTGAGACAAGTAGGACACGACATTTTTAAGAAACCCGCGACCTTGTCTTTTAATCAGTATTGATGTCAGTGTTCACATAGCTTACAGCAGGGGTGTGCGAAATGCGGCCCGCGGGCCCGCAAAGAAAAATTGTGAAATAAGGAGAAAAACCAATTTTGAATGGTGTGCCCGCGAAACGAGTTTTGAGTTTAATTAATCTGGTGGGTGCGAAGCAATTTCAATCTCTTTGCGTCGCAAAGTCTATATCAGTACAAGAGAGTTATTGTCACATTAGCAAAATCCTATTGCAAAATACACAATCTAATGAAAACGCGTTTCTCCCTTAATTCGTTTAAAAGTCGGCGTGACAATAAATTTGAAAAGCAGTCTTTAGAAAATTCTTTACATAAAGGACGCATTTACCTGTAAATTTCCTAATTCGTTCTAAGTCCCCACAAAACTCGAACATAATATTTTTATAAATTGTAATAAAGGTTAAATCCGGACCAAATACATGTTAGTATTAGATTACTGCATAATAAATAGAAAAGGTACACATGGCAAGAATAACAGAGGAATACCGAATAAAACTATACGAACGATATACATTTGTTGTTTGCCGGTTAGGCTAAACGATAACCGCAGACAGTGGGAGGACGGTGACCGGAGGAAGTGGAAGAGGCGACAAACGTTGATAGTTCAGAGATAATGTAATTTAAATAATGAGCAACATACACATGAAATCCGAAATTTTCAATTTGTTACTAAACTGTCTTCCCTATAACTTTGCTAGCAACAGATTGTACGTACCCACGGGAAACAAACGGGTCAATGGGACGGTTGCCTTCGACTACAATAAAAAATAAAATAATTGTGAAATGATTTAAGTTAAAACATATAGGGCGTTGCTAGGATATGTGCGCCATATTCGGTATTCATATAAACAGGAAAAACAACACTCGAAGATCGCGATATTAGAATATTAAAATCGAATTGAATTGAACAACCCTTTTTCAAGCACTACAATAAATTAACCTAATAAAACAAATATCATTACACGCGTTTACGAGTTTTCAAGTTTACGGTTTTCGGCCTTTCGTATGTGGAAAATTTAACGTTAGCGGAAGCAATATTTTTTGGGGAAGAATTTTGGTAAGTATATGTCTCGAATAATATGTCTCGTAGTTGTTTCATATATATCAAACGAGGCTCGAAGTCATATATACGTCAAATGAAATGTTGAGTTTGCAAATTCCGTAGATACAATTGTGAATATCGCGGTAACTTTTTTAGCCCTGATAATGAATGTGGTATTGTTTTGTTGACACATAACACAAGAAAACGATCAAATTGAAAATAATTTTCTATTATTTGTGCTTGACCTTCTACCAAATGCAATAACACTCAAGTACAAGGTTGTCCTTTTACAAATATTTGGAAATAAGGTTGCATATGTAAACTTATATTGTATACGCGCATTAACGTCATCTTGCGGAAGAGTACTCTAGCATTCGCTTTTAGAAAGCCATGAGTGACGTTCTAAGGCCTAATGGTTGACAATAATGAAAAAATCCGAGAGAGACCATACAAAATGGCCCCAGGAAACTAGACTGGACTGGGTTTAACATAATAATAAAAATAATTATATATCATATTTTTGTCCTTAATTTGATTTTCATGGCTAATAACCCTTTAGTAGCTTACCACCAAATATAAAATACCAAAAATAGTTTTGTGCCTAAGGCCTATTAGGTCTATTTTGACATACAAACAGATTAAGACGAGACTTGTTTTGTTATGGTCGAAAGTTTAAAGCTTCTTTTATATTCGGATAGATATCGAGATGCAAAAATAATATTGATTCCTTTAGGTTATATATATAACAAATATAAATTGGATATCGTTTCTGAAAATACGGGAATACAGATATTTTTAGAATTTTTGTATATCTAGTTTTGATTCGATTAGAACGTAAAAATATATGTTTTTCTAGTTGAGATATGTCGTGACGAAACTAAACTGTGAAAATTTACCTTGTAGATGATTTGTCGCTATTTTAATTTGCGTTAGCCTGAAGCTATTTCATATTAATTCTATGACAAGGTTGTGAATAAGCAGATGACAAGAAATGATTATATGAGTATTGTAAAATTTGGTTTTTGACAAAAACTAATGACGATTATTACGTTAAAAAATTCTTTCAAATGTTACCAGGTTTTATCAGTTTGTTGAATTTTGCAATAAAATACAGCACGGGTTTTCTTGTTCTTCAATGTTTTATTGATCGAGGGATATAGTCCTATACCTACATCGCTTTTAATCATTGACAGAAATACGTGATCATTTTTTTTTTCATTAAACATGCTCGCATATATTACAGCATTGTACTAATAACCTAACTAGTTAGTTAGTTTTTAATGATTTTATTGGATAGATTGTACAATGATGGAAAAGAAGAGATCGTATTGGTTCATTTGTATAATTTTGGTTTCAGGATTTTATAATGTTGTTGCTGAAGGTCTGTAATTGTGCTGTTTTGAAAATATATAATTGCAATAATTACTTCAATTCTACTATAAGTTTAAGGACGAAATTTATTTGGTACAATTCAGATATCGATTCAGTTTAACGGGTTTTCTCAGTTTTTGAAATATGAACTTCTCCACTAAGCAATCAGGACATTTTTTGTTTTCCAAAATTGGAATATATTTCACAAAATTGAATTGCATTCTATGCATATTATTTTTTTTTGTCTCAGTGAAATATTGACCAACGTTATATTGAATATAAAATTATAGTAGCTCTGAATCTACCGCTGGATAGTTGTATTTTTGAAATGAAAGATATATAAAAAAAATTCCACAGATGTTTGACATTATTTGATACAAATCTAAGTAATGCTTACTTTTACAACAGTAATATTTTTAAACTTTGTAGATAAATATTGTGAAGCGATCGAGAAGTTGCAATACGGAGATATCATAACATCTAAGCCACTTCCATATACAGTTGGAACAATACTCACATACAAATGCGACAGAGGTTATAGAATTCAAGGCAAACCTACTGTAACATGCCTGGAAGATAGAAAATGGTCGGATCCCGCACCATATTGCATAGGTAGTTTTATTTACTAATTTATCAACAATCTTTAATCATTTATAACTTGATAATTGTATTACAAGCGCTGTCATGCAAGCGAGATTTGTCTATGGTTGAGGCAGAAAGAAAATGTCGAAAACCGTGTCAAAATGATGCTGATTGTAAAGGAGGAAACAAGAGATGCGTTTGTGATGACTGGTGCGGAAAGTCATGCTTTAATCCAAGTGAGTTACTATACCAAACCTCAACAATCACTTCGACTTAATGTAACAATATTAGCAATACTTATTATTAGATCTCAAATAACAGTTTATTCGATGATTACCATGATAGGGAACGATATTTGTTCGAAGTCTTAACTAAGTAAATGTTTCATCAATTATGCAATCCTGAATCTTTCCCGCATCTATACAGTCGTAGGCAACAACATTTATAGAGGTTTCAATAAAAAATATCGCACATACATAACAACATAGATTTTCTATTCATGAAGTTACAATTGACAGACGCATTTAACAAATACACACAACAAAATATATAATAACTTGCCTACTCATAAATTTGCAATACCAGGTGCCCCGTGCCCGGCTCTGTTACACCCTGAAAATGGTTACATAATTGGCAAGGATTTTGTATATGGAAGAACAGTAACATATGGTTGTGATCAAGGATTTGTTCTTACTGGACCTTCAACAAGAAAATGCCGTTCCAACCGAAAATGGTCTGGATACGTACCCAGATGCATAGGTGGGAAAATAAATTTGATGGTCATTTGATCTTTGACTTAACCTACAATATTGAGCAGTTAAATAAATTTATTTCAAAATATCTGTCTTCATGATTCAATATTTTAGTTTGTTCAATATTTTACGTGATGCCTCTAAACGCAATGGATTAATGTAATTTTTGGCACCGCTCTACCTAAATAGATTTTTAGACAACTTTGCAATAACTATGGTAAAAAAATAGTACTAATCCCTGTTTTAACTGTTACTATTATATTTATATATATATAGCACTGAGTACCTGTGGACAAACTGAGCAAAAAGAAAAGAGCATGCTATCTGGAAAAGTGATATCAGGCACAGAAGTACAAGTCGGCGCGTGGCCCTGGCAAATTTTATTATTTACCAATAAAAAACATTCTACAGCCCAGGTGAGTCACTTTCTAGTAAAATCCCAGTCGATTTTAGATTTTATTTGTATGAAAATGTTCATATTTTTTGAAACGTTCAATGACGTTAATCAAGCTTCGACAGTGGGTATCTTGAATATTTTTGGGATAATAATTATTTTAAAATTCATTTTGGAAGCTAAAACCTTGATTCTTGATTCAAAAGTTTTGCATTCATTTGTCATATATCTGGGCCATATAGCGATACATCTAATATTACCCAATCAATATATCTATAACTAAGTAATTTCGTACTCAGTGCATAGGGACTTACTAACACAAAGACATAAGAGATGTGGTTCGATCCACTCTTTTTCAATCAACTCTACATCATATCATAAGAACTTCTTTCTATGCAGTAAAAGTAAATTATGTCGTTTCCTACATAATTTTTTTTTTGTAAAATACCTTTATATGCTCAAACACTACATTTATCATTTCAACAATATTCATTTTGACATTTTCAATAATCTTGGGAAAACAACCCAAATCTGAAGACCAATGTTTTTGATCTACAATAAAACATTACTATACAATAATTGCAATAGCTAATAAAATTGCTAATTTAGATTTATGACCCACATTCTGGCTTTGGAGGTGGATCAATAATAAACAACAAATGGATATTATCCGCAGCTCATGTATTTCATGAAACATTTCCGATGGGATTCATTAAAAAAGACTGGAAAAAAAGATTTTTGATTGCAGTTGGTAAATATGTTTCATTTATGATTGAATTTTAGTTATAGCTAAGTCATAGCTACTCCTGCCTTCCATCCATTTTTGTCACAACTATACCAATTTTCTAACTATAATTCAACATTATTTCCAGTAACTGAATAAACTACTTAGAAAACAACAAGTTGTTAAGTATAAACGTAAATTTCAAAACTTATATTGCGTATCAGGATTGACTAAACATCCAATGCCTGGTGAAGTTATTCCAGATCGGATAAACATTTTTGAACCCCAGAATCTACATGCTCATGCTAAATTTGATGGAAGCTCATATGATTATGATATTGCGTTGGTAAGTTGGATATACGATATAAATATTTGTTATTGATTTATATCTCCGGCCTACTGGAATAATTTTAGGGCATTTCTGTTATAGTGATTCACATTGTGACAAAATACAAATAAAACGGATACCCAGAGATTATTATTAATTTCCTGGACTATATCACTCTAATCTGCTATTTATATTTTAAACCCTGTGATGTATTTCATTGGAAAATTTATGTGTGAGTTTTGGGTCAATTTAATTCATCGATCTTTTTTGAATTTGGTTCGATGTGTGACGTAAAATGTAGACGACAGATAACAGGGAAACTAATCTTTGCCATTTTTTCATAATTAAGTTGTGATCATACATTATATTTTGAAATCATATAAGAAAATAACTGAATACTTGAAAAATACCACTATAATATATAAGTCGAAATTAGTACCCAAGTGGATGGTAGATACTACTAAATACGTCAAAAATTGCATTTCAGCGAAAGATATAAACAATATGAGGAATTTCTAGAATGTTTAATTCATTATTTAAATAACGTTGATTTTCAAATAGCGAAAAAGTTTCTTCGTTGCAAAATAACTTTATTCATTTATATTTCATGTTGTAGATTCGAATTGGAAAACGTCTCAAAATTGTTGGAAATAAGTTTGTTGTAGATTCACAGACAAGTTCTGGATCCTTGACATTTACTCGGTATATCCGTCCTGTCTGTCTTCCATGCATGAAAGGACACCCGTTTTCTCCAGTTAATATTTTGGAAAGATATGATAAAAATCTCTGCAGTCAAAACAGTGAGCAGTAAATTTTTTTGTTATAAAAAGCAGCGAAGTAGCAAAATTTATTTTTTATAATTCATTTCAACAATATTAATTGAAAAGCAAATTTGACGATTGTATCTTTTGCTAGAAGACTTATTATCTTCATTTACTTCAGAGATATTTGGGTCACTAGGGGATTCGTTTTTATTTGCGTTGACGTCATCAATGATTACGCACTGTATGGCCTGTACGCATTTGCGATAGTCTTGAAGATTGTGGTACCGGTAGCCTACTTTGACAGATTGTACACATGTTTTGGTTTTCTTATCCATATATATGTTAGCATCGCACTCTTGTTTCGCAAACAGTACGAGGAAACAATCCAAACATTCCCGTGAGACCTGGTGATGAAACAATGGTAACTGGCTTTGGATGGAAACGAAGTTCTGGATTTGTACATTGGGATAAACCAAAAGCGATGCAGGAAGGACGATTAAAAGTACAGAAAGACGAAATGTAAATTTTTCAAAAAATGTATACATTTGATATTTGGCTTGCCGTACTAAATATTGCTGGTGTACACGCAGTTTTGCTAAGATAAAATTTTGATTACAGATAAATATTCAGTATAGAGTTCGAACTTTGCTCGGCGCGGCTTACTCATCTCAAATAATATGTCATATAGAATTTAAATATTTATTCAGTCGACATTTGTAAGAAATCTTTGAAGACAAGATCAAAACCTAGCGTTCCAATCAACGAAATGTAACCCCAATTGACCTATCTCTTAATAATTTAACCGACTTTCTTTTTTGTATAATTTTCTTCCCACATTTATGATCATTTTTTTTTATAATCACATGCAACTCTCTCATTGGTAGTCTTTCAACTATGAGTGGAGAACTCGCGACTTTGCATCAAGCAAACTTGTATAAATGACTGCTTTTAACACAGATGCATCAACAGCGTGAAATTAATGCAAAAAGATGACAAAAGCGCAAGATACACAGATCGCATGATTTGCGCAAAAAGTGCTGATAAATCCAAAAACATTGATGCCTGCGAAGGAGACAGTGGAGGACCACTTGTGAAACGGGTGAGCAATATAAACTGGAGGACTATATGTTATATAAAAAGTTGTTATATGACAGTGAATTTATATTTTCCGTTTTTTTATTAGTATTGATAAATATGGTATTTTTTATTTTTGTTTAATAGTTTTGATATTTTTTTTTCCCTTATCTGTTCTTGTTTATATAAGAAGCTAGCAAAGCTCTAATATACAAACACAGAAGTAGGAGTTAATTAAATTTTTTCTACACCAATCATTCAATACAGTTTGGAATTCAGCATTCAAGATATTGGATGCAAGTTGGGATAGTTAGTTGGGGATGGGGATGCGGTAATAAACATCCTGGATTCTATACTTCTCTCTCGTCGGTTATGGATTGGGTTTGGTCCGTCTTAAATAATACAAAAACAGGTGATTGTTATGTATATTTACTAAAATACTCTAGTATCTTTGTTTGTTACATATATATATATGTATATATCGAATACTGAAATTTTGTAAACAGCAATGAAATTTGTACTTTTTTATTCTATTGCGTTATTTGCCTAATATAAATAGCCAATTGCTTTTTAACGTGGCTAAATAACTTATCAGAAAAAGTTGCAAAATAAAACAATGAGAAGTTAGTATTATTGATGTATTTTGAATTACATAGATGGCTGTTTAAAACCTTCCACCTACAAAAATTCAACCAGAATTGCAAACAAGGAAGTTTATCGAGTGGGTGAAGTAATAACCTTTTCCTGCAATCGAGGTCAGCATAAAAGTAGTTATATCTAATTTCTTATATTGTCCAGAATCGCTGGAATATTTTGAAGTGTTCAATCCAAAGCAATGGCATAGATTTTGTAGACACAATGGGGAATTGCAATGGGGATAGACACAATGGGGAATTGTTTTCATGGAAGTTACAAGCTCTATATGGGAATAATAAATTTGTAGTGTTGTTTAGTGTCTGTGCGTTCTCTTGGAAAGAGCAACGCGTCGCGTTATAAACATTTAACAACCCTGATAAAGATTTCCAAATCGGGCTACGAATTTGGCAATATCATCACTGCGATGCGGAGTCTTCGATGCAGTTCCAAGGGGCAAAAAAATTATTTATTTTCTTGATTTTGTTCTCAGGCTATGCCATGTCGGGCAACCCAGATATAACTTGCCAGTCAGACTTAACATGGTCATTACCTCAATTTTTGTGTACTGTCATTAATTGTGGACAACCGCATATACCAAATAATGGATATATAAAAGGAGAGAGTTATTTGTCTGGAGATTGGGTTGAGTATTATTGTGATCAAGGTATGTTATTAATATTGTCCAACTTGATGTTTAAATTCGTTTTAATTTTTAGCTCAAATCACTTTTTTAACAATCGCATGTACCAATGACATGATGCAATGATTCAATCATAAACACGTAGACACCATTTTTCAATTACAAATTAATACAAATAGGGATTCTCTAGATAATAACAGTATTACACTATTTCCATTATTGTACGTCCATGTGAAGCTATCTCTTTCGTATTCTGATAACTGCTCGTGAATCTTACTGGGTCGGGCATTTCATTCAATGGGCTCACATTCAAAACCTGGTACAAGTTTTGGTTGTCATTTTCAGACTTCTGTACTTGCCATATAATATTCTATTTGCTTGTCTTATCAAACCTGAATACAAACGGTTCCCAATCGGCTACTTATTCGTTTGAAATATTAAGATTGCTATATATATATCTGTGAGGACATTTTGTTTTGTGGTTCCGGGACAAGTATAAACATGAGATATTCAGAGTCATCCGTTTGCAGCTGTAGCAAGTATATTAGGATAGTAACTGTGTATTTCAATGCTTTTATTCATTTATTGGTATTAATAAATGTTATTTGTCTATTTGCCCAATTTCATTCCGTCCTGTGTTATTTTTGTGTAATGTTCCCCAGCTCAAGTGTTGAGCGTCTTTGTTCTATCGTTCTTTGATAGTTAGAAATTTAGTCTCATCACATATATACTTGCGTTAAGGTTCGAGGTGTATTTTGTTAGCTGTTATTTGGATCAACTCGATTGTTCAACTTTACAATATACGAATATTTGGCATTACAATCTATTAATTCTATTGTGTGTTTATTATGAAGGAATTTTCTTTGCTAAAGTACGTATAAAGTATTGCGGTAAGGACATGTGGAGTGGGGACATTCCCAATACAGCTATACCACTACAATCAGATTAAACTTTTACTCTGTATAAACAAAGCACATAGTAGATTTTTTCGATTTAAAATATTGCTTTAAAATATTTAGGATTTCGCTTTACCGTTTCGAATGCAACTTATCGACGACGTTGTATGTCTTCCGGTGTGTGGTCAGGAGAATCCATCAACTGTGAATCAGGTAACATATGTATTTTTATGACTTAGTAACAGTTACAATCAATGGAACGTTGACTAATTGAAAGAAAAAAAGTTTCGGTTAAATTTGTTACAATTATAGTGATGTTAAAATTATCAAAATGATTTGTAAACAGATAATAAGTAAATTGCACCATGGAGTTATCATATTTCACTGTATGTGCATTTCAGAAGTATTGTGCCCGTTACCAAATATAATATCTGGAACAATTAAAGGATCAGAGCCGTTTAAAGTGGGATCAATTGTATCTTTTGTGTGTAACGACGGATACAAAATGTCAGGATATTCTTCAGCAACTTGCTCTGAGAATGGTTTGTGGAATCCTCCTCCACCTAAATGCACAAGTATGATATGAATGCAAGAGTGTAGTCGGAGTGATTTGTTAAAAATATTTTCAACTAATGTAAACTTCTTCAATATTTTCATCGCATCACTATAGTAAAGCAATCACATTTCGAATATAAACTAACTTCATCTAAAATTAAATCACAATTCAAATTGTTTATCATTAACAATTAAACTAAGCAACTAACTGGATAAACTAAACATCTATTTAATCTTAGACACCTTAGATTCAACGTCTAGTGAGTTAAATTATAATATTCTGCTTGTAGTATCGTTCGAACCACTATAAGTTTTATATTCTAAAGAATATTTTAAACAATATTTAAGGGAGATTAGGGTTGAAGCACGAAGAAAACACCTTTGAAGTACAATTACGTGGCTTGGTTTAGAACTCAATATAACATAAAATATGAACGACTGAGGTCATATATAAGTCAAACTTGTATTTGCAGGAAAAGTAAACCAAAATTCACGTTGTGAGTATCAACCGCACAAAGTTCCGCTTAATAGATCTTGCCGTAAAAGTTGCAAAACCGATGAAGACTGCCAGTCGTCGAGAAAAACATGTAATTGCGACGACGTGTGCGGTATGACTTGTTTTAATTTAGGTAAGGCTTTCTATTGAAATTTCACACAGTAATTATTTCTTCCAGACTTAGTAATGAAATGAAATCCTGTGCGTTTCATGAACTGCCAAACCTTTACTAGTGATGATTAATTGTGTTGCTGGAGTGCAACTTTTTTTGACATATTCGAAAAACATTTTTATTTGCTATTCAAAATATTGTTCACAACACTTTTTCGAAGCTTGATTTAGAATTTATACAAAATAAAAGATTATGAATATAATTTTGAATCAGACCTATTCGTTCATACTCGATAAAATCTAATGTTGTCTTGAAGGCATTTATTGCACTCGATCTGTACTTCCAAATCGATATTATATATGTATGTCAATACGTCAAGATATTTATGCTGAAATAATAAAAAGGTTGGTTAACGACAAAAACTAAAATGTGTACATTTATTATCTGAAAAATAACGCCAAATCCTACTTAAGAGAAGACTCGTACATTTGCATATTGATGTCAACATTCTTAGCAGCGCATTCATTGCATGTTAACAACATCCAGTCGTAACACAGTTTTTATGTCAAGCTCGAGGCTCCCATGTGCTCCTTCTGAAGGAAATAACATTAAAATTAATCATTTACATATATAGCTATTGGAATATTATATATTAACAAAACAAAAATACAGTTCCTCATTGAGGTTAAAGATTTATTTCAAATCGTTACTCCGCCAGGAAATATTAGTTGAAGTGACTAACAGTAAAAATTGCTGGAAGGAGGTTGAAAGCTGAAATTGATCAACGCCACAAATACGAAAACAGAAATAGCAAACCGAATTAGAGGTCGCGACGGCGAGAGATTAAGCTTTATTTGTATTTTTCAAACTCTAGCAAATATTTATTGCAGATGCGGAGTGTGTACAGTTGCATAAACGTATACAGAATGGAAGAGTAAAATATCTAAATGAAACTCGGTCATCTATGCCGTATAAACCAATTTATGGCTCAGTTGCAGAATATGTCTGTAATCGTGGAAGTATTTTAGAAGGACAACAAACAAGAAAATGCCAATCTGACAGAAGATGGTCCGGAGTGGCCCCGAAATGCAAGGAAAGTATCTTGTTGTGTTGTAAAATAACAGAGTCAGGTCAGAGTCAAAGTCATATTATTTTTTTATAGGTCATATTGCCAGACTGTTTTTCGATCCACATCGCAAACGATGGAATAATAGACACGAAAAGTAAAGATATTGAAATATATTTTCTAGTAGATTTATCTAACAACGTCGATTTGTTTTCACTGCGTGGAAACATTGAATTTGCTTCGAGTCTGGTTGAAAGGGTAAGAGATTTTACTGATCAAATATTACAGGTACATTCAGGCAACAAAGATTGAAAGTATTTTGAAACATCAAAAACACTTATCATTGGCGTACAGCCATAAAAAGCAAATTGGAATTGACATCAATCAATCCATCAATTAAAAGCAATGGCAAGGACAGTAGTTGTTTCATATAATTTTCCACCTCCATGGAAATTTTTTTCTTCAGGTTTTAGTAGACTCTTTTCGATAATAAAAAAAATCCAGGTATAAATATTTAGAAGTTCACACGAGTTTTATAATGTTTAATGATATGCCGAATGGAGTCTCACCAAAACAGTCTTCAATATCAAATCAAAAATCGGAATTTGTTAGTTAGCAACACTTTGGTGTTGTCTTAATTACCAGAAAAGTACTAAATTGAAGTCGATCATTTACGTTTTCATTTAGCTGGAATATTTTGGTTTTGAGATTCAATTATAACAACAACTGCATGTACAATCACTGACAATATACTTACGACGTTACTGTAATACTATGAAATGATCAGTAGAGTTATAGAAAATAACCGCCATAAAATTTTCAGCTCAGTCAAAGTGATATAAAAGATAACGTCAGCTATGGGGTGATTGCGTTCGCTACCAAGGCCAAAATAATAATCAACATGCTTGATTTACCAAAAAAAAGTCATTCAGAAGTAATTATGGCTCTTAAAAATCTACAAAAAGACATAGGTAAGTTCATTTATCGCATCCATATCTTACGTAGTTTATATGTGATTGCTTGCTCGGATTAACAATGATATAAAGTAAATAGTACTCTAGTAGAGAGAGTAGTGGCTTGAGTTTCGAATCAACAAATGGAAGATTGTTTAAAATGTGATTTTAAGTTGATAGTTTTGTAGATACTACATGCTACCAGAGGTGATGAATGATGTTAGTATCAATCACATTAATATCTGCATCAATCATAAAATACCAGAAACACGTAACGAATATGTTACCATTGAGTATTATATTGAATATTGACGGTTTTGATGCAACAACATTTTTATATTATTTAAAGAACTTCATATTTTTAGAATCGATCAGGAAAACTATATATCACGGATCAAATTATGATGAAGCTTTACGATTAATAAACATGCGGATGATTGCATTTTCTTTTGAAATGGACGAGGAGCTAACAACTAGGAGACATATTATTCTATTAACTTCAAGTACATTTGATGAATAATAATAAATTACCTGAATTTGCTTTTTGTTGGGATTGCATGCCTCCAGCGTGAATTATAGAATCCATTTTGTTATTGTCGCAATCAAATATAATTTTTACACTATTTAACTTAAAGTACAATATTCTAGATTATAGTCAATGTGGGCAAGCTTGTGATATCTAGTTATACTGGATTCTATAATTTCATGGGTTATATTCGTTGCAATATTTTTGCAATTGTGCATCCTGCTACGATAGGTGTAGCATTGCTATAAACATTTATTCTTATAAAATATTGGTATCCAAATAGACGATGAGCTTCTACATGCACGATATACAATTTATTGTTAATTTACCACTTCAGATGTATGTTTTACAACATCTGGTTATGCGATGCGCATAGAAAATTCATACTCTCCTAATCCTCCCAAGGTAATATTTTACATTTTGTTTTTCAGTATTTTGGCTGTAATACACTTAGTATAAATAACCAAGTAAAACTGAAAATATTATTTATAAAGTAATTATAAAAAATTTTCGCATGTTTATTATGATTCTTTTACGTCGTCGACTAATGGATGGTAACATTTTCTAAGTCTAGCAGAAAATTCCTTTCTTTTGGTTAACAGTTTTACGTTGTTTCGTCACCGAAAGGATCAATTCACAAAAATGATTTAGAACAACTGACAACGCTAGCTTCAAAAAAGCGTAATTTTATTCTCATCCAAGACTTTTATAAAATGCATCTTTATGTTGACCAGTTTACGGATGCCAGGACAGGTGAAACAAATTTGACTATTTTTCCTTTAAAGATTTTCAAAGTAGCAAGCCACTTTTAAAATGAACCTATTGCCAGGATATTGGTACATACAATGTTAGTTAGTAACAGTTATTTGTGACCAGATCAAATGTATTCACTGAAAGATTTAAAATAGCAAAAAGCAGCGTTTTTGACTTATAATCGTTGGCTTTAGTATGATTTCTTTCATCGAACGATATTATTGTTTCAGTCTTTCATTGTCGCAATCAAATATAATTTTCAATTTATCTAACTTAAAGTACAATATTCTAGATTATAGTCAATGTGGGCAAGCTGGTGACATCAAAAGCATTAAAATGTTGGCTACACGAGGGAGAGTCCTTGGAGGCCAGAATGCAGCTACAGGAGCTTGGCCTTGGCAGGCGCTGATTACTACTTATGACGAAAATATTCTGAGAGTATGTGTGATATGCTCTCTATACTTTTTTGTCAATACTCTTATAGAGTAGAGCAAAAGGAAAAGTCTATTTTATAATTGCCTATTTCGATTTAAATGCTAAGAAATAATTGTTAACAAACGCACTTGATTCGGCACTCCCGTATCATGTAAACCAAGATGGCGGACACCGGAACGTGCCATGTGTACCAGGTTAGGCCATAATTTCAGATATAAATACTACGGGAGCCACTTGGCTATAGTCCCCAAACTCGTTATAGAACTAAAAAAAAAAAAATTGGAATAAAATTATAACCTAATCCTAACCTGGTACACATACTACGTTCCGGTGCCCGCCACCTTGGTTCACACATTATATAAATATTGAAGATAATATAGATCTTTTTCAAATATTGGTATTGGTAAACAAATTTAATTTAATTAATAAGATGCAATTACAATCAAAGTAAAAACAAACCATTATAAAGATGGCGAACTGTACACATACAATTAAGCTTAATAAGCTAAAGATTTTTGACTATTACTAATTGTGAAATGCTATTTTTATTGTAGTAATATTTTATTTATTGTAGGCATTCAATGAAGTGCTGGGTGGAGGAAGTTTAATCAATGATAAATGGGTTTTAACTGTTGCTCATATGTTTGGTACATTTAGCGGAATAAACTGGGAAAAGGGAATTATGGTTTCTCTCGGTCAGTTGTGAATCTATATAGATATATTTGAAATTTGTCACGTCTCCAAATTTGTATTTCTTTGGAGGATTTAATCTTTTGAATACAAAAATACTACTTAGTACCTTTTCATTCTTGCTCTGTGGAAGTTTTTAGTGGATCGCGAAAGCCACTTGAATTATGTTCATTTATATTCATACAAAACACAAACACTAAAATAGGAATATTTATTTACAATATTTTCACTTAAATCAAGGCATCACCAGAAGACCGCAAAGATACAACATGCTGGAGGGTTCTGTAAAAATGTTTCAACCAGAAAAGATTTACATTCATGATGAATATGAAAAATACAACGGCAAATATATACACGAATCTTTTCAAAACGACATTGCGCTGGTGAGGATTAACTTTGAGTGCGTTGCGCCAGTACAGTCCTGGTGTTACGCAAGTTTAGACTCTTTGTTGATATACGTATCTTGTTAAATATATTCAAATATCTATTAGTTTTGCAACTATTATTAGACTTTCAACTTTTCAAAGATGACTTGTTTTGCCAGTATTATATTTAAAATTTATACAATCAGACAATTAAATTTTTGCATATACGGGTTCCTTTAGTTTCTCTAAAATGTTTCATTGGGGTTTTCGATCATTCAAGTTTGAAAACCAATGTTTCGGAAAGTAATGAAATGAGTTTCTCTTTCTCTACTATTATATTATTTTTGAGTTACCGTTTTATATGGTAAAAAGTTAAATTCAATAAGTCAATGATAAACTCAACACTGGTTATTGATTATATTATGAATTTTGTAATTATCTATTGGCTGTTCATTATAATTTAAAATTTACGTTAGAAACTATTTGCATTAATGCATGTTAATGTTATTGTTATTCAAAACTTGAAATATTTGGTCCATATTTGGAAATTAAAACATCTGACACAACTCTTTTCTGTTTCAAACAGATTAAACTTGGCGGAGAATTTCAATTATCAAAAGATGGGAGACATTTACTGTTTCCAGACACCTTTCCAGGATATGTTGAACTCACTCCTTATATAAAACCTGTCTGTCTACCATGCAGTCAAGATAGTTGTGTCAGTCAAATTTTGATGAGAAAAGATAGCACAGGAAATGTTTTGTTGAATGGATATGAAACAGACGAAGAAAAATGTAAAATTGAATGTGAGTATGTCATGAAATCAAAATGAAGGTAAGAATTTAATCAATTAGGGGCGATATCTAACTGTTTGATTTCAGAAAGTTTAAAATGTATTTTTTCAATAGGCAGATTTTCATCATATGGAAAATAATATAGAGACAAATTTTGGGGTAATCTTATATATTTTCTATCTGTTCTGAACGTTAAAATAAATTTGTTTTGTCCGCAATGAAAACATGTAGGTTATATTATTTAATATTATACCTAAATACTTGATACATATATACATGTCTATGATATTGACCATGAAGAGTACAACACATGAATGTTATCATAAAAATGAATACGAGTTTAAACAACAGTATTTAATTATGAAGTATGCTAAAAATGATAAGATTCACCGCGGGAAAGTGTGCATTTTTTGTTTTGATTTGTCACGCTGTTCCAAACCGGTAAGCTCAAATCTAGCTTATTAGGGATGTGCCGTTTTAAAAATGAGAACGCCGTCTGTAACAACCTTTTATTCCATGAAAATTGAGAGTTAAAAATAAACTTGAAAAACTTGTTGATTTCTTTATTTTGTATCTTATTTAGATGAGTTTTTAATGGAAGGAAATTCTGACACTACGATAGCAGTTGTTGCTACAGGATTTGGATTTAATTCAACCAGAAGGAGCGACAGTGTTTATCCTTTAAAGACAACACCGGAGTTACAACAGGCTTTGTTGAAAGTGAATAGCAGAAAAGAGTGAGTTCGTATAAGACGCAAATCAGAAGATTAATAATTTTATATATATCAATTCATTACTAATCTCTTACAGATGCGAAGATGCGGTTAAAATAATAAATCGTCAAATGTTTATTCCTGGATTTGAACAAATTTTCACAGACCAGAGGTTTTGTGCAGTTGGATTTGCGCCAGGAAGAGGAAAAATTATAGACACATGCAATGGAGACAATGGCGGGCCGGTAGTACGGCAGGTGTGTAGTTGATTTGTCGACAAACTCAATTGTATATTGAAATTAAGATAATACTTTTTTTAATACGTTTTTGAATTTCGAAATTAGACTCTGCTGGCGATGTCATCAATATTTATTGTCGGCAATAACAAATATGGGCGATATCCACTCTTTAATCTATGTGAACAATGTCATCAATAGTAATATAGCAAGTTCTTAAGATTTCAAAGATCAGGAAAATGTACTCTCGCTCAGAAAATAAAAGCGACATTGTCGATGAGGTTACTTACGCGCGTATATAGCTCAAAATAGGCATAACCTATATAGTTGAGTTAACTATAGCGCATATATATATGCAATTAAGAGATTTGCATACACAGCCATGTATTTGCATGTAGGATTGATATGGGAATTATTTAACGAGATTACTATTCATTTCAACTTACCTATTGTTGCTAAAGTTACTGCAATAGTGGTTCACCAGCATGGTTCCTAATACTATCGCGGCGAGTATGGCGGTAGAGAGAGAGAGATTTATTTCGGACACTGTAGGTATGGCGAACCACTGACCAACATATCAGCGTTAGAAATGGATAAAACCGGCCTTAAATTAATCTAACAATAACTAAACTATTATAATTTACCGTCAGTTTGGCAGTCAGGGCTGCGATCGCTCAAATGCAAATTGTTAATTTTCGCGCCGGTACCGTATGGTAATTTTCAAAATCCCTAATCTTGCACGTCTGCACCGCTGGGTACCGTTATTCAGCTATTGTCTCCGGCATCGTTCATGACATAACAATACAATTGATCTGCTCATTTCTCTCAACATCGTGTCTCTTTCGGAAGTGCATCTGCAGACTGTTTTAGGGGTTATACGAGAACTAAATGCTACTATGCATTTTGTTTCAGTTTCTCGCCTACGATGTCATTGAAAAAACAGAATCTTTTAGATTAGAAATAAAAACCGAGAAATCTGATATAACAATGGGCCAGTGTGGAGGTGCCTTAATGTGGTTGAAATCCGATCGAAAAATATAACTCTATTAAAGTGAAATTTCCTCCAAACACTCTGAACCCGTAAATGCCGCATCATCCTAACGTTTTTGGTAATTCATATGCGTGCTTACGTACTCTAATTTCATAAAATTGAGCGCCATAAAAGTCCTGATAGAAGTGCTGCATAAATAACGCCCGAAACTACACTAACACCAATAGAAGCTTATTTGGTTTGTTTCACAGGTTTCTTATAGACACAAACATTGATTAAATATCTGTGACCCACTCTCTTCTGTTCCGAGATAAAAATATAATTTTTGACCCATTCATTGAAAAAGATTCGCCATCCCTGGTATAGAGTATATCATCACACTGCAGTAAAACGGATAGAGATGTAATCCATACTATGCACTTTATAGAATTATACATATCATCCACATTATCGAAATAACAGCCATTGGTAGGTGGTGATCCGGATTACGCTTGTCACATCACCTCTGATTATTCTACATGGATTCGCAGGTTCGAATCCCATGCGAGGATTGTTTTGTGCAAGAGAATTGCTGGGATCCTCGCCGCCGTAGGGTGATTTACGTAACCGCTGGTCGGTTACGGCTTCCTACACCATCAAGTCTATGCCTCCGAAAACAAATAAATAACTAATTTTATACTTGATATGAAATGGTAACTGGACGAAAGGCCGTGGTTCGCCATATGGTTAAGCCGTCTTATCGACTTTCCTCTCCCCTGGATTATGTAAATCTTATCCTCATACTAATTCAATTATAATTTACCATGCACATTGCCAATACGGATGTTGCATATATAAAACGTGATTTGACAATGGGTATCATTAGACTATCAATTTTATTTCAATTTTCTCTGGGTCTACAATCGGGCTCTAATTGTTATAGACATTTGAATGTTTTGTTTCAGGTTTTTGATAACTTGACCAAAAAGAGTTGTTTTGTACAACTTGGTATCGTGAGTTGGGGGTATGGTTGTGGTCAGCAAACAAGAATTCAAGGAAAACAATACTTTTATCCTGGATTTTACACGGACGTGACATCTTTGATGTCTTGGATTACCAACACAACGAAGAATCACGTACAGAAGAATAGAACATCAGATTGAATAAAAAAAAGTTCTAATATGACATTGTTTTCAATATCTTTTCTAATGCATGAACTATCAAGACTAAGTCAAAAATACATTATTTCAGTAATTTTTGTGTCGATATCAAAGTTCTGAAAAGTCTCTCTTTTAATAGGCTCTTTTTTTCGTATACAACACCCAGGCCCGTCAGTTTGAATCTTATTAGCACCCGTAAACAATTGCGCACGTCGTGAATATAATAAAATGCAGATAGAATAGTGGACGTCATTTGATTGTACACAAATGTTTATTTATCAGTCGCAGGTCCGAATTCATATATGGATAACAAGGAGCGAGGGTTATTAACTCCTCGAAGAGTTATTCGCGTATAAAACTGAGCCTGAAAATAACGACGAGATGGAATCAATAAACGATATAATCTAAATCTTGATTATGGAACAATAAACAAACTGAATTTTCGTAAATACACTTCCGAAATTTAACAAATGTTAGCATTTATGAAGAAGTTTGAAATAATACATTTTACTTTACATTGCTGCTCAAAACACCATCGCAGTACTTCTCACACTACAAAACAATAATCAAATATCAATTTATATTCTAAATAATACGTTTAAATTATTTTAGGTAGATAAGTCGATTTTTGTGCTTTATCTGTAAATGCACAATAAAGTTGTATTGAGTGACTACGAAAGACCACTTCATCATTTGAATAATTGAAAACTGCACACTCACAAAATACTTGGTGGATAGACGGAATCGTCGTCATCTGTACAAAAAAAAATAAATCAAATAAAAGTTCAATATCTGTTTGTCACGTTCGTTTCAAAATGCTAATAACAAAAAAATACTTTCAACTGGTAATTTCATATTCTATAAACTAAAGGAATTTTGCCTTCAAAATTCATATTTTGGATTAAACTGTCTTTGAATAATTTTATTTTAAATCCCAAACGTACTACCTATTGAAAAAATCAATTTTTAGATTCCGTTGATTCCCATAATTAAAAATGTATTTTATCGTTTGTTTATAATGTTTTGAAACATCTTGTCAGACTAATGGAATCTCAACATATGATGATCTATATGTGTTGCTAAGATTACTCTCGATAACTAAGAAATGATTAATTATTAACGCATCCTCTCTGCATATTTTGCAAAAACAGAAACTAAATGATGGTATTCTCGTTGTTGACGAAACTGTCCGACCACTGTTTTGCGCTGAAAAACCACAGTAACTCATAAAATGTTATATATTTGCTGGAGGCAAAAAGTTTTATATACGTATAGAATAATCGGAGCGGCCGTGAAAATAATAGATTGTTTTCGATAATTCAAAAGTTGTTTTGTTCAGCGCATGTATGACGAAGAGAATGCCTATTACAGTGTATCTGTGTTTAATACATTTGACAGTTATTTTCTTCATTGAAGACGTCTACGGTGAGTTCAACTTATCTATTTCTTGGTATTGAAATGTCATACAGATTGTCAAGAAAAGACAATTTTGTTATCTTGTTTATACAAGAAATTATACAAGAATACAGAAATTATATATTATAGCTTACGCAATAGTTATTCAAAATTGAAGGACTTAAAATAGTTAGGATAAGTGATGGCTAGTCAAAAGAAAGCCATCATGCTTTTCAAATCGGTGTTTCGTGGGTATGATACCAAAATAAATTTTACGAAAGACAATGTGTTCATTTAACGTTTTTTATGGAGTGAGCAGATGAAGATATGGCAAAGTTAGCGTCTTAAAACTACGTAAAAATCAAGCAATATTCAGATTGCTCCAATCAGAATGTAATAATTGGAAAAGAAAATGAACTGAAAATTTAACAAAACACTATTAAGTTTTCACCAATTACTTATGTTGTATCTTCTGTGGTAACATATCACAGCAATATATTGCGGGGAAATCGAGCCAATACAATATGGTGACATAATTGCTTCTGCAAGACCGCCCTATCAAGTTGGAACAACTCTTACCTTTGAATGTGATAGAGGGTTCAAAGGTCAAGGAAAAGGGAGCATAACCTGTATGAAGGATGGAAGATGGTCTGGCCCAGTTCCCTATTGTACAGGTAATTTGAAAATTCGGTACGAAATACATGCAACGAATTACCTTGCGTAACAAGGTTTAGATTGTAGTCACCTTTTTGAAATGTAATACATTGATATTACAGCATACCAATGTAGGAGGGATCTAACAAAAATTGAAGAAGGTAGGAAATGCCGGAAGCCTTGCGATACTGATGCCGATTGTCGAGGTACTTTCAAGAAATGCCGATGTGATGACTGGTGCGGTAAAACTTGTTTCAACCCAGGTAAAATTGTTTTATAACTATTTTTGTATCTTACAGCTCAATAACTGCGGATTCAATTCAAGTATAGAAAAGGCTAACATAATATATGCTGATTGATCATAAACGTTCATGAGATACTTTCACATTTTTATTGCGAATAAATATTTTGATCATCAGCCATCATTGCTCGATAAGGTGTCAACTCAATATTAGCTAACATCCCCTCTTATTACACCATGATTCGATTTGTAAACATGCGATGTAAATCTGAGATTCACAACCTTTGACGCGGACATAGCTAGGACGTATGTTTATATGTTAATAATAATGATATTATTATTTTGCAATGCTATTTAGATGCAGACTGTTCGACTCTGAAAGATCCTGTAAACGGCTACATAATAGGAAAGGAAATAGCATATGGTTACACAGTAACATTTGGTTGTAATGAAGGATTTATTCTTACTGGACCAGCCACACGTAGATGCAGATCTGATAGAAAATGGTCGGGATATGAACCTAAGTGTGTAGGTGAGCAAGTTTCATAGCCATCAGCAAACATTGAAACGGTAACCGTTCTTTCATTTAGCAACTGTAGCTAGCTGGGTCAAACGTATAAATTCATACCCATAACTAAATTAACTGTTGTTCGTTTTTGTACTTTCTGTACGTCATTATGGTTTATTGTTTATTCATAAAACTTAATAACTTTAGCGTTTAGCACTTGTGGACAGCCGGGTGACAAAGAGGACACACCGTTTTCTGGAAAAGTAATAGAAGGCACAGACGCAAAAGAAGGTGCCTGGCCTTGGCAAGCGGTTGTTTTTCACAACGACGAGCATTCTGTCGATCAGGTAACTACTAACTTTTATATCTGCATGGAAATCTAATTAGGTTTAGATATTTACACTTTGTAATTAAATTTTCCTATGATGTATTTTGTATATAAAGTATTGTTTTGAATAATATGTTAAAATTGATATATTTTAAAGATTTACAATAGAAAATCTGCGTTTGGTGGTGGGTCAATCATTGATGACAAATGGATATTATCTGCTGCGCATGTCTTCGGCGTATTTCCTGCAAACTCTGATTGGAAAAAACGATTTCTCATAGCCGTAGGTAGGTCGAATTTTTATTTAGATAATGTTTTGTTTGTCAATAATTTTACCTAATTTCCACTATCAAACGCTACCGCAGGATAACTATCGAACAATACTTTTTCCTGGTATTAACATGGTTAAAATGCTTGTACATGGCACACAATTTCCGAAAGTAAATTTTAGTGGGAAACATGGGATCTAAACAATTTGAAACCATTATGCCATAATATTTATAAAAGAAGGTATTTCATTTTAGGTATGACCACCTACCCGGAGCCGGGTGAGGCAATTCCTGATCACGTTAATATATTTGAACCGGGGGAATTGTATCGTCATCCCAAATACAATTCCATAAGCTTTGATTATGATGTTGCATTGGTAAGTTAATCTAGTTAATGCATTCAAAATTTACTAATTCAAATTAACTAGATTTATTACTTTATTGTTGTTGGGACAAAACCTGTCGAATCTGCAGAGACATATCATGACTTATTACGGTTTCTATGTCATATTGTATGTCCACAATCCTCAGCATTTCTTCTTGGCTATTGTGTCAGTTGAGTTTCTAAATAAAAATTTATATTTATGAACCGCCATTATAAACAAATCTCTTTGCATTGTTCTGCATCAAAACTACGTAACTACTATACTTGAACACGATTAATGCCTGGTAATTATTTTTAGATTCGTATAGGAAAACGTTTGATACGAAAGGAAGGCAAATTTGTGACAGACTCAAGTGCTGATCACGATAAGTTAACATTTTCTCGTTTTATTCGACCTGTATGTCTTCCATGCATGAAAGGCGACCCACTAGGTCCTATTGATATCTGGAAAAACTTCGATAACGAAGCCTGCAACCCAAGAAGTTAGTCATATTTTTGTGACTATGATTTACAATTATGATTATTTGAAAACAAATTTTTTCTTTGAGATATCGAATCAATATATTAATTACATTCATTTTAATCAGAAAAAAGTTTCAGATAGTTTAAGCTATATTTGAGCATTTGACATTGATTTGTTTGCCGATTCTGTTGCTAAGAGACCTATTCATAATGACCTAATTTATACTTGAATAAATTTGGAAAACTAAATCAAAAAACTTGAATTCAAGAACATAATAGAAAAGTGAAGTTAGCTTGTTATACCTAACACTAGACTGTAAAACTTGATTTCTATTGCTGTCTGCATGCTGAATTTTCAAAACCAATTTATTATGCTTAAACTCCGATTTCACGGTTGCTGAACTTTTGAATATATTTTATTTTTATATTTTTAAGGTCGATCCATTCTTCCATCTTTAATATCCGCCGGTAACTTTGTCATGGTTACCGGATTTGGATGGAAACGTAACGCTGGGGAACAATATTCGTTCAGACCAAAAAAACTTCAAGAAGGACTTTTGAAAATAATTGAAGATGCAAAGTATGTTGTTGTATAGAAATGAGGACATAAAACATTCAGCGCCAGATCACCATTACTAAAACGGTGAATTTTGGCATTATATTAGAATTATATTAGAATTCCTGAATTATAAACGATTTCAAATTTTACAATTTGATTTATCTGAGTATTTTTTATTTCTGGTAAATATCAAATGTTTTTATGACAATTATATTTGACATATGTTGCTAAACGGGAGTTCTTGAGAGTACTGAAAAATTTGCATTCAAATTCGCTGGTATTTACATGTTCCAGTTTGCCGTTAGCTGTATTATATAGTGGCAATGTTGGTTTATTGCGGTAATCAAATACTTATCAATTTAATGCATGTAATTTCAAATTTTTTCATCGTACTAAGATGCATTGCAAGTGTAAAGACAATTCAGAAGGATGTTCGAGATGCCAGATACACCGACAGAATGATTTGTGCAGCAAGTGCGGATAGCTCACAAAATGTTGATTCATGTCAAGGTGACAGCGGTGGGCCACTCGTAAAGCAGGTATGTAATTTTTAATATATTTCAAATCCATTGAAATAGAAAGGTTTATTTTCTATTACTAAATGCATGAAAAACTTTCCCCTATATTACTTGCATACTATTTGATATTAAGCTGTGTTACCGAATTTTAGTTTGATCATACTGAACATACAAAATATTGGATGCAAGTTGGAATAGTAAGTTGGGGTTGGGGATGTGGAAGCAAACATCCAGGATATTATACCGGCGTCAAAGAAGTAATGTCCTGGGTCTGGAATGTGATTGATGACACCAGAATAGGCAAGATTGCACTTTATTATTTACAATGGCTTGCGATTTACGCACCCCACACCATCGGAAACTTGTTTTAAAAAAGGCGGTGAAACTAGCAATGCAAACTAGGGTAAAGATAAAATTGAATTTTATTTTTTTAAAAATCAGGTCTGCGCGACAAAGATAGAATATTAATTGAGGGTCTGTGTAATGAACTGTATAGTCAATTCAAAAATATTTTATCTTCAGGAACTTGGTACAATTGGGCTCCATGGTCTCGATGCTCTAAAACTTGTGGCCGAGGAAAAATGAGAAGAGAAAGAACGTGCGCCGAAAAGAATTGTCCCGGTTCAAACCGAGATAAAAAGTATTGCAACACTAACTCTTGTCCTACAGGTACACATCGGTTTTCCTAATATTTCATATCTTGCTTCAATTTTCCATACATTTAAAAAAATACATCTTTTGTATCGTAGCCTACAAATAAACATACTTTTCATAGGTGTACAATGCCCGAATGTTCAATCTCTACCAAACGTGAGAATGGCTTTGAATCCTCCTGATTTGCAATTTTCGGTTGGTACGAAAGTCACATTTTCGTGTTTAGAAGGGATGTTTTTGAAAAGCGGACCCTTGTCCATTACTTGTCTTCCTGATGGAAAATGGTCGGACACACAACTTCCGGTTTGTGAAGGTAAACAGAAAGTAAATCTGAACATCGTTCGTTAATTATCATATTCTTCCATTTTGGCAATTCTGTTCGCCTACTTTAGTGAATATTTGAACAAAAAGTGAAAAAGAACATATATATATCCCAAACTACTGATACAAAAATGTTATTATTTTTTTTTTGTTCAAAAAAAATTATCAGTTGAATGGACAGGATGGTCAACGTGGTCACCCTGTACGGCAACGTGTGGTGGGGCAAGGTACAAGACAAGAGTTTGTCGGCGAGGCAACGATTTTTTAACCAAAGCATTTGGCTGCAAAGGACCTACTATTCTGTACTCAAAAAAGACATGCAATGCTGAAGCATGCCCAACAGGTAAATGCGAAACCATTTGAAAGTACATTACTAAAATAATGCTATGCAGAATATTAGCTAGTTAGCGGAGCAATTCAAAAGTAGCTTAAAAATCTTCAGGAAATAGAACTTTAAATACAACGAAGTTCATAGGGTACAGGAGAATTCTGAACCTCTCAACTCATATTGTATTTCAAGCGTCGGCTTTGTCGGGAATGTTCATAAAAATTAAACGATTCGTCTATTATACAGGAACGTCGGGATGCCAAGATGGTGATTTATGTCTTCAAGGGGACATCAACGTAAACACGAAAAATATTTTGCCACATGTTTCCAACTTGTTCGGAATGTTCGGCGGAAGAAAAAAATGAATTTTTTTATTAATAAAAGTTGAAAATATTCATTTCTGATAAACACAGGTTTTACATCATCAAATTTTTTTTCCAAATGTTGTTATGATATCGCAGTACACTTCATCATGACAACAGCATTTTCATCGATAAAAACGTCTACGCAAGCTCACCAAATTTACCGTACTGTTAACTATCCGATAAAAATATTGATGGTACGAGCAAAACTTTTATTGCCTCGGGCTTATTCAGCAAAGGTTGTTCAACAATTTAAACAGTCAAATTTAATACAATAATTTTGTAGGTCGCACTTTCTGAACTTGTCTACAACCAATTCCTTATATATTTGAAATGTACGTATTATGGCGGTAAAAACATTAATCAGTAACTTCAGCTAAAATCTTCTTACTTGACTTGACCTAGAACTTCTAATCTAAATAAAAATTATACTTCAAGGGAAAGGGAAATATGAACAAGGAAGCAGCAACCCACAAATACGAAAACACAAAGTAGACTATACCGCACCTCCACGCCGTTACATGTATGAAACATTAAAATATGAAATAAGTATAACGCGATATTTAGAATTTTTAGTTAACAAGGAAGGATAGTGAATCATTTCAGTAAAGAATAGCTTTCTGTGTGAGTAATTTAAAAACGTCTAGATAATGGCGAGTGTACTATAAGAAATAATTTAATGCGCCCACTCCTCCAATGCTGTCCCAAGTGACATGGGCACATTTGGTCGCTCATTTAGAACTGGTCAAGCGCACTCACGCCGAACCAATAGGAAGCGATAGAACGAAAAGTTATAGCGGTAAATTGTGTGATATTGACTACATCAATTGTCTCGAGATTTTATCAGCTCAAGTCAATATGATCGCGTAATGATTTGAAGTAATGAATCCTACACAACTGTAGGTATTTAACAAAGGCGTTTGGCTTAAAATCTTTTGTTTGGTAGACACCTTAAACAAATGATAACTTACTGTCACCCGAATAGTAAGACTAAACATGTACTAAATTATGTACCGGTACTGAGTGCCTTCTATACCAAATGCAACTTATCATCGAGAAAAGAGTAAATATTTTAAGATTGTTACTTACCGTACTTAAAATATACTAACATTGTGGTTAAGTAAGAAAAATTCTATTTCCAAAATTGAGCCCTTCCGGATCCGTATGCATATAAATATTGCTGGATTAGTGCAGCAAGAACAAAGATGACTGTTTTAATTCAGTCATTCATGAGTCATATCACGCTAATATAACTGTCTCTTGTCTGAACAAACTTCCATCTCTTTGAACTAGCGTTTTTCGGCGACCATTAATTGACTTATGTTGATTTAGTAGGGTGAAAAAAGAAACCATTATTTACCGTTGAATAAAAATATTTACAATTGTTACAAGTTGTTTGAATATGCTTCTGACCTCAGTCGGACAAAACAATACTAGTTATTTGCTTGATCCAAATAATGTTTGAATTGACAAAGTAATTTCACATAGGCCACTGATTACAACATCTCCAGAAAACATGTTGGTAATACGTAAGTACAATATTATAAAAGGTATAAAATGTGTACAGAGCAACACATAGTAACGTGTAGTTTTTTGAACCATCTTTTTATCCTACCATTTTGACTTGGTTGGTGGAGAAATTACGCAATCCATGTTAACAACGCAAATGTTTACTCCAGTTATACACATTTGGGTAGTAAAGATGAAAACGTTTTAGAGACCAAACATTGCGACCATAATACACCAATTTTTTTAAATCCGCTATCACAGAAGTAAATAATTTAACCGCCCGTCTTAATGGTGTCTTGTAATGACTTTATTCCACCATTTTTAGGGGCTCTTGGAATTTTGCAAGTCATCTCTTCTAAAAAGAATAACAAAACAACTGGAAGATAATTTAAAATTGGATAAAAATATTTGGCAGATATATTTAGGCCACTTAGGCTATACCCTTCAACACATTTAAAATAAAAAAATATTTCATGTATTTCAAACCATTCGGTGTTTGAATCCTTACATTTTCTCATCTCGTTGGCTTTAAACAAGTTATTTCTAAAAGTACATATTGAGTTCGAGATTGGATTTATTTGTGAATGACAAGAAACTTGACTGCATTCCATACTCTTGTCTTGTCTCACTTGGCCTAATTAAATTTGAATCTGACTTGACAAAATTCAAATCATTTAAAAAATATACGTCTCCACTTGTCCTGGATAGTTGATAAAGTGATAACGAACTTGCTCTGTATAGTAGTTTGCAAAATCATTTTTTACCTTTACATTGTCTTGCCCTCCCACTCCAACTTCCGTTTGGATTACACTTTGAAATATTTCTTCCTTTCAAAATGTAACCTTCGTTGCATTCAAATGCTATTTGTGCCCCCCTGGAATAATCCCTGCCTATTACTTTTCCATTAACTGGTGTGTTCGGAGGAACACATGCTTCTAAAAAAAATTATATATAACTCATATAAATATGTAATATCAAAAGAAACGACTTGCACGATGAGAGCTATGTAAATCTCAATTTTTTGTCAAAAGTTTGTGGAATAGGGGTTAATTGATTTTTACACAAATCTATCACAGCATACTCAAGACTCAGTACTCTTCACACTTTAGTCATGGATGACAACTTTCTCATTAAAATAGTATTTGTTATAGCAATCATGTTCATGAATGTTTTATGATGTGACGTCGTCAAATTGCTAATCTGAACTTCAGAATTCAAGATGGACACACTAACAAACAAAACAACTTTACATACTTATTTTGCACGTTCGAGGTTTCCCGCTCCACTTCGAAGTAATTTTGTTAACAGTACATATAGAAATCGGTTCGCCATTCAATTGATAACCTGCTTTACACTCAAATCTAATCTTGCTGCCAAGTGAAACTGAATCACCAAATACAATTCCGTGAAGTGGTGCCTTAGGAGTGGGACATCTACCTTCTGCAGCGACATAACATAGTGGAAATATATAAACGTTAAAGGATTAAAGTTGCCGACGCATTCATTTATTGAAACACGTTTACATAGAAAGATTTAATATCGATATAATCGTTGTTTTTTTGTCTTGAATTGGCAACACAATTCGGACCTCTATCAAAATTTAAAAAAATGCCAAATTGAGTGTACGAACAATAACTCTGCCCGGTAATCATATTTTTGAAGAAAAAAGTTACACCTACCAGTGCAAGTTGGAGTTGGTTCCCATCGGCCATTCAATCCACATGTAACTAGATTATTACCAGACATCATAAAACCGTCATTACAATAATATCTGACAATACTTCCAACCGATCGTTTTTTGTCATATACTCTGAATCGTCCATTTTTTATCGGATTTGGCTTGGGACAAGATGAGCGCGACAAATCTGGGCTAATGGTAGTATTTCCTTTAGATGGCGGCATCGTTGTAGTCAATTTTTCTGAATGGTATGATAGACAATATAGAATTTAAATTAATAAAGAATATCACGAGGTAAACAACTTTTCAATAATATAAACATTATTTTGTCAACTTGTTTTATATAAACGACAATTCTCTGCTAAAGAATTGGTATGATTCTTACGCATTTCAGCTTTTTCAAGTATCCAATCAATCACGGTGGCCACATTGGTGTAGTAACCGGGAAGACGTTTGGAGTTACCAACAGATGATGCGCAGCCCAACCCCCAACTGACGATACCGAGCTGTGTCCAACAAACTTTGCCTCCTGATATTTCCGTCTAAAGTTTCAAAATTACAAAATCCTATTCTATTGTCATTTCATTCATTGAAACTTCTGTTAATATGTGTAATCATCACCTCATAATTCTACATGGGTAGATTTACAACAAAAACAGCAAGCTACAGTGAGTGGTGTTGTTTATGCGCATCATGAAACGTCGATCGGTGAGACCGAGTTTGTGCGTTTTTATATTTAGGATTTATTCCAAAATTCCAAAACGAGTACTTGAGATTAATTTAATTACAATATAACTTTCAAACGCAAATCGTGGATTAAAGTTACTAAAAAGTGTTTTGGGAAGTTATGTTAAATCTGGGGCTGATATGTACATTAAGATTACAATGATTGGTACTCACGTAGTATGTGAACTAAGATGGCGGACACCGGAATGTAGTATGTGTACCAGGTTAGGGTTAGGCCATAGTTATATTCAAAATTCTTTATTTTAGTTATATTACGAGTTCGTGGACTAGCCAAGTGACTCCCATACTATTTGTACCTGAAATTTTGGACTAACCCTTACCGGGTACACATGCTACGTTCTGGTGTCCGCCATATTGGTTCGCATACTACGGGAGTACCCAATGAGTTTTATTTTTATCACAACCAACCTTTGCAACCAACGGACCTCCGCTGTCTCCTTGGCAAGCATCTGAAATTTGACTGGAATCAGAACCTGTGGCACATATCATTTGTTTTGTATAAGTTGCAATAGCCTCGTTTCCCACCGAAGCGAAAATTTCGTTAATGAATTTCACACCGCTTTTGTAGCTGTAAATAAAAAATATAAATTTATAATAATATTTAGTACAATTATGCAATAAATCAAAGTTCGGATAGTTTGCGCAAAAGTTAAGTTCCACAAGAAAGTATTCACTTAGCTGATATAGGTTACCTATATCAGTGGTCGGCAACCTTTTTCAAGTGACGGACCGGTAAAGCCGGACCAAAATTTTGGCGGACCACATTTATACAAACGAACTAAGCCTATGCAATACATTAACGCATTATGAAATTTATGTTGACAATATACTAAAAACGACGGTGATGCTATTTAACGCGATATCTGTATCTGATATGGTCGACATTTATTTATATTATTTCGTTTTTGTAGTTATCAATATTGAAAACCAGGCTTCATATTAATAAGATTTTGGGGAAGTTAACAATGCCTGTATCATTTTGTTGGGGAGATCTTATTCGGACTAATGAGATGCATTCTTATACGGGCGTAGAGACCAGCATTATTGCGACATACTGACATGGCAGTTGTTCATGAAGTCAGACATGCTGCTCAATAGTGTTGTGCAGTGGTCGGCCAACTTCATGTACTTGCGGGCCAAATATACACTTTTCCGGTAGCGCGCGGGCCGCAATATTTCTATTTCCGCCTTCAAACAATCGCTACATTAATTGAACTTTCCTTATTATCAATGTGAAAGATGGTGTTTTTATGGCAACTTGTCGTCCAAACTTCAAATGATGATCAGACAGGCGAGTACGAAATTTATTCTAAGTGTAATGCATTTTAGATAAAGCTGCTCAAGGCCATATATTCTTCCGACCGTGCACATTACACCTTTTTCACTAGCGCACAGATGAGCTGTGGCGCAATCCCGGGTCTCGGGGTCGAATTTTCGACGACTCGTTCCGTAACGAGTTTAACATTAAAACCCTTAACAACTGCGATGCTGACTGGGCATATCGAGCGAACCGGGTTTGAAATGCGCAAGGAAGAAAAATATTTTTCCGTCCAAGCACTTTGGAATGCTCGACCATCGTCGCTCCGTTTCCCAGACATTTTCAATTTTTAAAAAATCAAAATTAACTCGAACGATATACAACCAACGCTACTTATTACAAAACAAGCACCGTACATCAGCACTTGTTACCACATAAATCCGTGTAGAGACAACAATAAATTTAGAATCATATTTGGTTTTATGTATTGAATGTCGGGTCGTTCGAGGGCCGCAACAAATTAGCTCACGGTTCGCAGTTTTGCCGATCCCTGGTGTTGTGTTTGTTTGGTTTAGTGTTGTGTTGAGTGCTGTTTTTTAGTCGTTGGGTTTGTGGTTAGATTGTAGAGGTTTTATTATGACCTTTTTCGTTTTTGTGTCACCTCTCTGCGGACCGGCAGTAACCTTTCCGCGGACCGGCGATGGGCCGCGGCCCGGTGGTTGCCGACCACTGACCTATATCACCCGGCTATAGTTTATTTTTAGATATTTAATTCTGAAGCAATTTACCCAGAAACAAATTTAAAGAAAACCAACCTGTCATGATCCAGTAATTGAAGAACAGTTTGTTGCAAGATTTTCGGAAAATGGAAATTAGATGACGTCACATTTCTTGGTAAAATTGATCCGAATCCAGTTACCGTAACTAACATACTCTGATAATTTATATCAGCACTATTTGGAACGTTCCCTTAAACAAAGTAGAAATGGTATTTATTTATAGGGGCTCCCATTCGCAAGCACGTATTTATATATACAAATTTATATACGTAAAAGCTAAAATTACTCAAAGCTGAACAGCCCTGAGGTGGGCATATTACTCACATTGCTGTTTACAAAAGTTTTCCTTCCGTGCTGTGTCTGTGCCGCAGGAACTGGAGCAAGGCAAACAAACCGGTCGAATACGTCCATCAAAAGGAATCTCTTCCAAATCTCTATATGGTACCAATCTTCGTCTGACTTCTTGAAGAGCGTTACCAAATTTTATCTTAAATATACACATATTGTGTTGTGTGAGAAGTATATTATTTAATTTTCCAAAGTTCTTTATTCAATTTTATTTATTTGAAATACTTTATGCTGAGTTTATTATGGCATAATAAAATATTACGGTATTTAAGTAGGTTGGCTACCATTAACACAGGCTAAGATTGGAAACGTATACACATGTTTTACGCATACAACTCACCAGTGCCACGTCGTAATCGTATGTTAACCCATTGTACCGCTCATGTCTGATCACAAATTCTGGCTCAAACACTAAAGTCCCTTTGGGTAGAGATTCTGCAATTTCGGGAAATCTTGTCATGCCTGCAATAATTTATACATGAATGAAAATGTATAACATATATCTTGCTATTCGTACTATACTGCTGCCTTGTTTATTAGGATAGGATAGGATAGGATTTACATATTTATCCCGGGGGAGAGGAAGCCGATAAGACGGCTTATCCATATTGTGAACCACGGCCTCTCGTCCAGTTACCATTCCAAGTCGGGTATGGGATTAGTTTTACTGTATTGTTTGTTTTCGGAAGCATGGACTTGGTGGTGGAGGAAGCCGTAACCGACCAGCGGTACGTGAACCACCCAACGACGGCGAGAAGTCCAGCAATCCTCTCGCACATAACCATCCCTGCATGGGATTCGAACCTGCGAACCCACGCAGGGTAATTAGAGGTGCGTTGGCGAGCGTATTCCTAATGCTTAGCCCGTTGAGCCACACCGACAAGTAAGGTCGTAAGGTCGACACGTAAGGTCTTGAACAAGTATCCCGTCTCTGTGTACTGTTAAATTATTATGCAGAAACTGCTTCATTTTTGATGCAATGAACATATATAACTATGAGTATCAGCAATATATAGTAGGATGAGTGGAAAATTTCAAAATTCGCTACACAAATTTAGTACCTTCGCTCAAAAAGGGAATTAGTATAACCTACTGGTATATAAGGTTTAGGATGTCCAAATGAGTAGATTATCTTTGTATCGCGGGGTAGTTAACTCACTTACCCAAGATAACGAGAAACCCTCTCCAGTTATTTGTAGCAAGAGATTCAGCAAAGATCCCATCGAATATATGACCAGCCGTTAAAATCCATCTGCTATTTATAACAGAACCTCCACCCAATATATTCTGAGGACGAATCTTAACATCAAAAATATTTACATGTATACATATATATACTCAAAATATCGATATACTTTTGAGCAGGATTTGGAGATAAGAAGTTAAGCTCAAACATTATTTATAAATTTTACTACAAAGCGCATATTAATTTTTTAGTAGATTTCGCAAAATTTATATTAATTTGACAAAAATCATTAATTCCGTATTGTATTGATTGGTGTAACTTTGCTTTCTCAGATTGTAAATTTATCCAACTGCAAGTACTTAGGAATAGACTAACAGTATGGTATATGTAAGGTTTTTTTACTTCTTGTTACCTGAAATACCATACGTTGTGGATTTTTAACTAGTGCTGCTTGCCAAGGCCAAGCTCCGTCTATGGCGTCATTTCCTCCAGCAACTCTTGCTACTAAAATTGAAGGCAATCTTCTGCCGCAAATAACATTTTCTGTTAAATACAAACAACAGAAACTTTCGAATAAATATAAAGAAGGAAATAATATATAAGATCATGACGTGATAATGATTTTCTTTAAAATACACATTGCATATCTCTTGAATATTGTTTAGAAAATGTCCGTCTTCAAATGGAAGGAAGTATCGTTTTTTTTAAATAGCATCAAATGATTTTGATGTTTTTTTCATATTTTATCAGTATGCAGACGTGATAATTACCTTTTACTGGTTTTGTTTCCTCGCTCCACGTTTCAGTTGTCGATAATGTTGCTTTTGTCGTTTCCACTAACCCTTTCCTCCCAGTATCTTGAAATATAATACGACATTCTATATCGACATACTAAATCAACATAACTTGAATATAATAAAATACTTACATTCAGGACAATCCGGTATATTAGAAGACCAGTCACATCTTTGAATTTTTTCGTTAAATGACAACGAACCGGCACAACTTAACTTTAGTCCTGTACCTTTCAGATATAATAAAACAAAGTTATAGGTAATAAATCCTATTTTTCATTTAATAAATATTACATCAGAGCTATACTCGGATTAACAGAATCTGCGTCGGCGAAAAATCTTTTGAATGTTTTCTAAATTCGGATCTGGTATTACCAACAACAAAATGAATTATAGTGGTATAAACATTTGATCTTTTTATGCATGTACTTGTCTTCTTTAACTATTCTCAGAAAATAATATATCAAATGAATACAAATCTAAACTTGTGAATTAAACCAAAACTATATATATTATGATACACTATATCACAAATATGTAAGAAAATCATTCAAAATATTTACACTCATATAAAAATGTGGAGTGGCAACTTTTGATCAGTAATTTTCAAATACATAGCAGATAATAAAAATAACTGAAAATACCAATACCATGAACACATTGATAATAATAATTGTGACAACCACCGCTAGGAAGATACAGTTCCTCATGTGCATGACCATGACATTTGTTTTGATCTAAAAATAATTTATGTACTGCATATAAATATTTATACTTGAGATTTTACTATCTTGATCACCCACCATCTTGTTTTTGTACAAAGTAGAATATGTCAGAAAGACTGATCTCAAATTCATTATTATGGAAAGTTCATTCGTAAATTCTGGTAGTTTTAACTTTATATATTGCTTTATAATCATAGCACTATTTTTAATATTCAATTTTTATTGACAAAATATTAAAATTCAAACGATATCACATCTTATCACTCAATATTGTTTTCAATTGGCAATGTGTCATTGTAAATTAGATTCAATCCGGTAAAATGAGTTGATTTTATGTCACAATAAGAGACGTGTCAATATAATGAGCGCTAGGTAATTTGCAGTCTTTATGGATTGTAAATTTGTGCCTGAATTAAAATGTAGACAAACCTATATTTCCATCCGAAATCTGAATCAATCCATTTCCAAGTACGGTCATTGAAATGAACAATATTCCGACTATTGTATTGTAATTCTTCATGTCTATATCGGTTTTACTGAATTGGGCAAACTATGTTGAATGAGTTAACATTGTTGGCTTATATGATTAAGCAGATATTGTTATAAAACTGCTTAACACGGAAATGATCATTTTTATTCAACTGGAACATTGGGTAAACAAAGTAATACTGTAAATCTATTTTAAAAAGACTTTCTGTTGTACTTTAATATTTTCTTCCTAATTTTTCTGATTTTAAAAGTTTTGTAATTATGGCACTAATTTGTTACATATTACAAACTTCTTTTTGTGTTTTTCTTAAACATATATTTTACAAAATAATGTGAATCTGACCATAATATACAATCGAACTGATTTCTACTATACAGCGTCTAACATTTTTGAAATTAGGGCAAGCCCTTGTAAAAATGTGACATGCAATCTTTCTAGAAGCAAGCTTGCACCCCAGAAACATTGGAACGAAAATTCATTTGCTATCGCAGTCCAAGAGGGAACTTCTCAAAGTCACTAGTATAAAGGTTGGCCACTTTTTAATCCCGAGTTTTAGACAACGGTTCCAAACTCACAATGCTGTGCTAACGATACAGTATATTTTCAAGCAATTTAACACAATCTTCAAAGTTTTCATATATGTCTCCAATATTGTTCTACGTTATTCAATCCATTAACAAATTAAATCCTTGCAGTTTTGCAGAAGCAGGTAATATTAGAACTTATTAGAACAGATTCTCAGTCGTGAAGTACCGTATATAAAAGCTGGTATCCAACTAGAGGTAAATACTTAACTACATACTAATAGCACGAAACCTTTAAGCAACTACCTCGCGCTTTTTAATTTCTATATCCGTATATAATGTTATAAAAGAATTTGATTTTTATTTAGTTGTGCTTTGCTCATACATATTTTTTGTATATAAATCACGATTTTTTGCCCTAGGGGAATATTGCCATTTTGCCTTACTACCAAATTAACTTGGCCAACTCATCATGTTACATAATAAATATTTCTGTAATTTTGATGACTATAACGATTTTACATAATTTTGTATTTCATAATCTTGTATTTCATGTATAATAATGAATACTTTGTTGTGAATTACATTATATATACCAAGGTTTCTAATATTAATTTTTGTAACTAAGATGTCAGGGATTTAACCTTCGGGAACAGTTATTATAGGTAATTATGGTTTTGACCAACATATTAAAAAATGCTCACTAGATAGAGAAAAGAGAGGCATTTGAAGTGGGCATTCAAACCACACAATGGCCAAAGTATTCCTCTGGGACAGGGGTGTGCAACCTTTTTTATAGGCGGGCCAAATAAAGGTAACTGGGTGAAGCCGCGGGCCAGACTTAGAAACTCTAACTACGAATGTCTCTAGATACAAAAAATTTGTAGTTTTTTCCGGCATTTCTCTGTACTTTCTCCTTACCGTGTGTACCGTGAAGAAATTACTACTTGCGAATGGGTTTTCGTAATTTGAACGACATTAATTTGTCCCAAGCCCCTTCATAAGTAGAAAGTTTCGTAATTACGGACGCTCTTTACCTGAAAATGCATTAATCCGTTTCAAAACCCCACAAAACTCGGACATAATATGGTATGACTGGGTTAAACAAAGGTTGTGGAGAGTGGGAGAATGGCGGCCGGAGGAGGTGAGGGGAGGCGTTAAAAGTTGAAATCTAAGAGAGAACGTAATGTACGAAAATGATCACACGCACATGAAATTTAAAATTAGAATTTAGAATTTTATTTTGCAGTTTTTTTTTTATATTTTTTTAGTTATAACTGGTACGCGTATTGTAGTCTTCTCAACTAAAACTGAGTGAGACTAATTGTACGTATCCGCGGGAAACGAACGGGTCAATGGTATGGCAGGTAGTTGATTAGCGTGTGCCAGGGCAGGCACCACGGCCTCTAATTTTTATATTGCTCACGGCATCATTTGTTGATTTAGCGAAACGCAAATTTAATTACGTAACATCGTCATTATCAAATGAGTGAACCTGATTCCCAAATTCCCATCTGCCAATAAAAGAGAATTAGGACCGGAAATCTTCTTTTATTTTGCGAGTCGGCGCTGATTTAAATATTTCATGTGGGCTGTTAGGATTTTATGTTTGATTATGAATTAATACCGTCAACCTAAACTGCGCCGCATAGATACTGCATAATATTTAGGAGCTATTTTATATGCTCTAAATTGCAAGAAATGACTTTCAAGGGCGACTGTAATTTACTGCCGCGCCGCATACGACTTCCGTCGATTACAATAAAAAATGAAATAATTGTAAAATGTTTTCAAATCCAAACGTTGACGGCGGCGCTAAGATTTATGCGCCATATTCGGTATTCTTACAAATACGAAAAACGATAATCGAAGTTCGCGATATTCGAATATTAAATTCGAAATTGGCATCCGTGCTTCAAGCACTGCATTAAATTAACCTAAAATAAACAAATATCACTACACGCGTGTTTTCGTTTATGTTTGTGGAAAATTATACGTTAGTCAATATATTTTCACGAAAACAATTCTCCTAGCTTGGATTTTTCGTATGTAGGCTATATAGAGTTTTTACTGTAGATGCAAGCACAAAAAATTGTTTTATTTTGTTATTGATTTTACGGCATTGTTCGGGGTCCTGGCAGAAATGTTGAGTTAAAACGCAAAAATTTCTTAAAACTGCTATTTCAATTTATTGTCACACCGACTTTAAACAAATTCAATGAAAAGGAAACAAGCTTTTATAACATTGTGTATTTTCCAACAGGATCTTTCTAGCTAGTTTCGCTGACAGTGACATGGCAGTGGCACTCAAATCATGGTATATGCTTTGTGGCGCAAGGAGATTGAAATTGCTCGCAAGTTCCAGATTATTTAAACTAAAAACTTGTTTCGTGGGCACATCACTAAAAATTGGCACTTCTCCGCGGGCCGCACAGGTAAACTTTGCGGGCCGCATTTGGCCCGATGGCCGCAATTTGCACACCCCTGCTCTAGGATGATGATGCAGTATTGTTCCTGTTGAGAAAATTTGGTGATGACTATGCCATCCACATGATATCATGTTCAATGGTGGATTGTATGCACTGAAAGACATTGAAAGATAAAAAAAAAGTAAGGATATAAGCACTAAAAGACACCCAATATAACATGAAGAAAAACAGCTAACATATATCAATTACAAAAAATTGAAACGCTTGTAGTGTGAATCCATTCATCAGTGTAGCAATTGAGTCATTGCATTGGCTTTTCTCTTCCCAGGGACAAATATATTCCTATATTGTCTGTCTTCAACGTAACGTGTTTTGAGGTATTGCGTCGCAACACTGTGAAAAACTAGCGTATCTTTGATATTTCCAATATAACATAAATCGACGTAGAAAATAGTGTTCCATCATTTTTTTATTCAAAGTTTTGCTCAAAATTACCTTCGGTTTCAGGCAAGTCTCGTCTGTGGTTTTACCTAGAGATGTACCGATGTATTGGTATCGGGTATCGGTATCGGCAATATCGGCTAATTTTTTGGTATCGGTAGTGTATCGGTATCGGCTAAGTTTAGACCGATATTTCCGATATATTTAGCTTCTCAATATGATTCAGAATGTTTTAAAAAATAGATCAGAATACTAATCTTGGAATTTTTATTTTTTTTAATAGATCGTGATCTATGAGCCATTGCACGTTCCCACACCCGCTGACCTGTTTTAAGCCATTTATCAGTCAAACTGGGTCAATCAATTTGAGTATTTTTGCTGCCGAATTTTTATATTAAAATTTTTAATATTACATGGTAATTATGAAGAATTATATCAATCCAATATTAGTGGATGTTCCGATGTGTAAAATTTAAAATACGACGTTATATTCGCACAAAATCCTACGCACATTACTCAATGTATCAGTTTCATACGATAAGTAGGCTAAACATTTATTTATTTTACCAACTACCGTAGCCAAATCCTACTAACTTTCTAATAAAGGACTGAGATTACTAGCGCCCGTGCTCAATGCATCTGAATCAATTAACGCATTTGGATCCCGAACATCTACTCTTAATATGTGATATTTCTCTTTTTTGATCCGAAAGTATGTGCACTATTAATAATGCTCCAAGACTATTGTTTTAAACCGTCTGCCCTGCTCAATTGAGGTAATATTTACATAGTATATATCGAAATATCGGTCGTTTCGAATATCGGCGTATCGGTATCGGCTTTTTTAGATGGTAAGGGATCGGTATCGGCGATAAAAATGGTATCGGTACATCTTTAGTTTTAACTATAAGAGATATGTTCGAATATCTTGTTGGGGATACCTAATGTTTCAGAGACGGAGCGTTATGCTAGAAAGTTGTATTCGTATATTTTGCTAGATGTCGTTCCTATTCATTACCATACACACGTCGATATGGTAGCATCTTTTTTTCTCCAGATTTTGTGAATATAATGGCCGATGAAGCAGCCACAGCCCAGAACTGAGACTGTAGACAAGCTGAAAAATCTTTAGGTTTTAACTCCTTAGTGCAATTCCTGCGATGTTCATTTATCTCCTTTCTAGTTGATTGCATATAATAGAAGTATTTTGCTAAAATAAAGGGAGAGCTCAACAATAATTATCCTTACATGTGAATCAATGTCACGTACAGTTTGTTTGAGTCAGCACTCGCGACTATGGAAGTGCATCCCGTCGTCTGATGGCATTATTACATTCAAAATACTCTTTTATGAAAAGCGCTGTAATTTACATGTTGAATATAACTGTTTCGTTTGTAATTGATTCATACTATACACAAAAATACAGCATCGTTTATACAATAAATTCTTATTTGCAGAAAATTAAAAGGCAGAGAAAAATAAACCAATTAGGACATATGATGTCCTATAATTTTGGACGCTTTTGTCTTTTAAAAATACAATCTCATCTTTTTGAATTTCGAGATTCTGAAAATAAAAAACATTTAATATAATATTTCAATGTATAAAGCCGTGTATTTGTTTAAATAATGAAAAAAATAAATGTTAAAATTGACTTTCGGTCGAAAATAAGTGAATACCTATTAACATTGCCATTTTTGAAGGATTGGATTCGTTTAATAGGTAATAAAATGCATGCTAAAATATACGCCTGAACTAAGAACTTACGGCAAAACAGAAAATGATCGCTGCAGCAATCTCCAGTAAATACGCACAACTCATGGCACTGGCATGCAGCCTCCTCTTCATAATAACAACCCGTGACACATGATGTCCGACCTGCAACAAATTAATGAAAATGTATAAAATGGATGGTTAGTTGGAAATTTATAACTCTTTTTAAAATGATTATTTTAACTGAAGAAAAAATTTAGAATCATGACGTCAAGGCGCTGATTCATTAATAGGCAATCTAAATCACAATCTTTTAAAAACTAACCCGTGTTCTTTTTTCCGGTAATAATAACTGTATTTTACCGAATATTAATTAAAAATAAATGTGCTTGGAATTGAACGCCTTTTTAATAGAGTCTATAAATTAGTAAACTGCAAACTTCACCTATAATACAGACTGGAGAAGGCGGTAAAAATTGTCCAGAACTTTCACATCCTGAATATTTGGAGCCTTTTAATATATATCCTGGAGGACAGCCGAACTCTACATATTGACCAGTCAGATAAAAATCGCGAGGTTTCAGAATGAATACCTCTCTTTCTAGCTTTGGTCTGTCGCAACCTGTTACAGCTGAAATGAAAATTGGTTAAAATTGTGAGAACTGAAAAAGTGATGAAAACACTTTACAGCATGACCTGTATCACCACCTCATATATGATCTATAAGTATACCCACACATGCTAACTTTGTTGCTTCAATAATCAAACAATAAATATCTCGAACGTATTTAATGAGTGTTTTTTTCATCATTGAGTGTATAATTCATTTCTCACCCTCACAAGAAGGATAATTCCCCCATTTTCCTTCTTTTCCACAGGCGACTGAACTGTTTCCACTTAAGAAATACCCTTCATTACAACTAAAGCTGATGGAACTTCCAACGGCAAAATGTGTTTTTCCACCGTCTTCAACAATTCCATTTGTGAGTGTCGGTGGTTTAGGACATGTTGTTTGTTCTAGAAGTAAACATTTCTAAAATTTCTGTTTGCAAGTATAATATTTAAAATGCCCAACTGAAAACTGCTCAATTTATTTATACCTGACCATGATAATATTTGTTGGGGATATATATTTGAAATGCTTCTTCTGCCAACAGAATATGTTTAATATAATATGCCTGTTTGTGACTCTTGTGAAAAAAATTGCAGCACATTTGGTCACTAACTTTGGTGTCAAGGTTAACTCGCCAATTAATTTTCATCAGCAAAATTCATCGTTAGGAATTGATGTTTTATAATTATGTTGATATTTTAATATTTTTTTGTCTCAATATGAGCAGAATAAATATACAACATGACATTTCAGGAAACTAATCTCTTGTTGAGAGAGTAATTAAAAAGCTACTTTGGCAATGCAGCAAATTTGGGCTGCATGATTAAAATTTAGGTTATGTCGATTCATTTTTACGTCTTCCATATTATGGTAGTCAACGTTGCACATTTTCGTACCAAAAATAGCCTTCAACATATGCTACACAAATATATGCTTTCTATCTACATAACTATCAGTCCCTTCTTGCATGCAGTCTTATTAAAATACACAAAAAACATTGTTTTTTTGTTCATACTATTTTTTTCATTTGTTCAAAATTTAAATAATAGAAGTTGCAAAAACTAATTAGCAATGATAATATTATAGCAGGACCATCTATCGCAAATTTTTATTAACCAATACAAATAGGGATTTAATTATTCAACAAATACAATGGATGGCATGTACAACCGCAACGAGTAGAAATGTGAGTACTATATAAAATGCAATTTTACGCACGTCTTCGGCATTGTGGAGGAGGAGAAGAGAACTCATGGGTATTTAAACAACGCGCCCAAAATGAGCCAATCAGTTCAAATCCTCTTTCGCAATAGTAAATTACGTATCTTCCAATTTGGTACACTTTTTTCGGCGATCTTATTCCACCATTCTTTGGTGCCTCCGGTGAAATGCAATTTGGTCTTCCTGCAGAAAATAGAACGTAATCAATTTCTAACCACTCAATTACTATAAATTCCCATACGGGACGGTACTGAGATATTATAACTCAAACGGAAAAGGCAATAAAATAAAAAGATAAAAAACAACCCGAAGAAACGACAGCAAGTTCAAAAGCAAACTAAGAAAACTTTACAAATGATCCATACAGAATTTTCCTATATCAATTAGATTAGAGTCTATAGAGTACAGACCAGGGGTTCACAACCTGGGGTTCGCAAACCCCCAGGGGTTCACAAGAAGATTTTCAGGGGTACTTGGATGGACAGCTGTCGAGTTTTCGTGTGTTGCTTTTTTTATATATTTCATTACTACTTGTTATGATTGTGACGCAACAATGTGAAATTTACGACTTTGCAGGCAAACTGTGAAATCTCTTAATACAGTGTGCTGCGAGAATTGCAGAAAGTGATATGCATATTGAAACTTGGGAGAGATTTTAAGAATACATTAGTTAGGCGGAGGACAAGGTCAATAGCATCAGGACTTAACTTAGTTACAGCAGTTAGTCAATAAATTGTTATTGCAGCAAATTGCTAGTAAATATATATCACAACATTGTTTGTTGTCCGATTACCGGGGGTTCGCGTTGATTTTTTCGTGACTCGAGGGGTACTTGACAGAAAAAAAGGTTGAGAACCCCCGGTATAGACAGTCAAGATGAGACAAACTAAATTTTTGCATTCCTATTTTTTTATTTTAAACTGACTCTACAATTATTATGATATTTATTTTAGCAGCACACATAGCAACAAATATATATACTTGCTATTTCATGAAAATAGAATGAGTGGTTCTTATTCATCAATCACGATATCAATTACTAGTTGGTCTCTTTGTTAAAGTATCAAAGAAGAGTGTTAGTAGTGATAGTGCTGGGCACCCTTGACACCTCGACTGGTCGCATAATAAAAAAATGATTGATGTTCATCCTATAAAGCTATCAATATATTTTGGTGTTTGCTAAAAGTGTATAAACATCTGTTCTTACTGTCGCAGGTAGGTATTCGATTCCATTGACTGCTTTCTAAACAGGTGGCTTCTTCGCTTCCATCAAGAACAAAACCTACATTGCATGTAAATTTTAAAGAACTTCCTATCGAGTAGTTATTGCCAATTACGTTGCCATTCTTTAGTGTAACGATTGCATCGCAGGCTTTTTCTGTAGAAAAAATGAATAATTTTATTTTAGCGTTGAATGCAATTTTTATTTTGAAACAAGAAGCGAATGAAGATAAATACCTTTACAAACTGGGAATGGTCCCCACTTGCCGAGATTGCTACATACAGAAAAATGCCTCCCAATTAAATTGTAACCTGGATTGCATCCGAAGACCAAAACACCTCCTGTATCTAATCGATTCCCAACAATTTTTCCGTTTATAAGGGTGCCGGGCTTTGGACATGACATATTTTGAGCTGTAAAAGAATTTATATGACTACATCATTTTTTCTCAGTAGAGCTAAGAAGTGTCGTGACTCGATCGTAGGTAATCTACTTAATATTCTAATACCAATAACATGAAGATTACTAGCTTTTCTATATCGCATACATTGGGAAATATTACCTTTTTTGAGATGGATTTGTCAAAATACTATATATACTATCTATTAATAATGGTTCGAATTTCACGGCGACTTTTCACGAAGTTAGAGAAGATCCTTCACCAATCAGTCAAGGGATCGTAATAAGAAAACCTTTTGGTATTTACCTTCACATATTCGGCTACCATTCCATTCGCCTTTTTCATTGCACACAGATATAGAATTCCCTCGCAGTATGTATCCACTATTGCATTGATAAACTATTTGACTCATATATTTGAAGTTATCTGATTTAAAGACCTTTCCATGTTCAAGAGCTTCGGGCTCAGGACAAATAATTTCTGCATAAAAATTATACTATATAGATATATATATATATACAAGTATTTTTTAACTCAGACTGCTACGCTATAAATGTTTATATTGACGAAATAATATAAATATTGCGTTTTAACTAAGCAAAAACAAACCCTTTTCGCAAATGATAGCCGTGTTCCAAATATGCGTTGCTAGTTAGGATTTAAGGTCAACATTGGTCAGATTATAACGGATTAAACGATGGAATGATACACAAAACTTTAAACAATTCTATTATCTTTTAATCCACAGTGCAATGTGGATCTCTTATTTACAAGCCTTAAGCAGAAAATGAAATTGGCCTGTGACAGGAAAATGATGAACATGAGTCAGGACCCCACGATCGAGTGATTGAATGAAAGATATCAAGTATTTCTTCAACAGTAATAAATTTTACCTTTGCACGTCCAAATACTTTCTGTCCATTTACCGTTGCTGCCGCACGTCGAGCTGCTAATTCCGTGAAGTATAAAACCATCGTTGCATTCGAAAAGCACTCGACTTCCAGATGTGAAAACATCACCGACGATTTTTCCATTATCGGGAACAATAGGTTGTGGACACATAATTTCTGAATTACATATTTTTCACGCAAATAAGGTTATATAGAAGCAAAAATAAACATGTTGTGGATTTATATTCGATGAATGATGTTAGACCACTGCCCAGCTAAACAATTTGCAACATGAGGTTATTATATACATAAGCAAAAGTTTGATTGAATTATCGAGTCTCATAGAAATCACTGACAATTGATACAAATTGAATTTAAAAGCTGTTTAGTAACTTCTAATAACTGGTAATTACTGAAATTCGGTTGATTCATTACTTGTGGATAAAACTTACTTCAACAATGACAGCAATAAGAATTTTGCAAAACCTCCCACACTTACACTATATGTGAAATAAATATTTTTAACTCTAATACAGGTACATATTTCTGTCATATTTCTTACCTTCACATATTGGAGCTGTACCCCATTTAGCATTTGGACCGCATACCACTGTACTGTTACCAGACAGCATAAAATCATTGTCACAAGAATACTTTATCACACTTCCAATTGCACGTTCTGTGTTGAATTCTCTAACTTGTCCATTCTCTATCTTAAATGGTTTTGGACAATTTGCTTTTGGCAATGATCTACCCCTAGTATCAATATCCTCTTCGTGTACAAGAGTCGCAGCGATTGAGGTCGGTTTCGATGAAGCAGCTGGAATGGGAAAAATACTAGAATAAAGTAGATTGCGAATTGTGTGTTTTTATAGTATTAGCATTATTTTGATAGTTTTGTAACTGCGCATGCTAGTTGTATGTAATTTATTCCACAATTCTCAAGATAAAACTTGATTCAACGCTCTCATTATGTTGTGAAAAATTATGGTATAATTTAAAGTATTGATTAGAAAATCGTATTGACTAACAAGACGAAAGTCTTTCATATATATAACTATGTTCAGTTGCCCCAGCTGCCACTTGTTTGCTCCAAGATCTCAAACTGAAGGCGGATAAAATAAAAATAAAAACAGGTTCGCGGTTTATAATGACATTTCAAGACCGGGTTTGCGTGAACTCCCTGAACCTCACCACTTGAAAAAATATTTCAAATTCAAAACTCCATCCCGATTACTCAATGAGACAAAATATAGTAAATATAGAATCCTTCTACTTACAAAGTCCAATCTTTTCTGCAATCCATCCCATCAAAACAGCCACGTTTGTGTAATATCCCGGCAGGACCGTACCATTTGTGCTGTTAGAGGCACATCCCAATCCCCAACTAACAATGCCAATCTGAGTCCAGCATACTTCATCTATCGAAAACCTTGTCTGAATAAATATTACATGCAATGTAAGAAAATTCTATCGAGTGGGGTGGTAATTTTCTTGCTTCGGCTAACCTACAGAATTTTTCGGAAGTATAAATTTTGCCGTGATATTAAACAAAATAAAAATCAATGAATAGAAAGAGTAGTCACAAATTACCATTATTAATCAAGCTTAAGTATACTTTAATTTGACTTGAAAAATAAAGCTTATACCAAATCAAATAAATGTTATTTATGCATTTATTCAAAATACCATTCTAACGAGCGGGCCACCACTGTCTCCTTGGCAAGCATCTGAAATGTTCCTCGCACCTGCGGCACACAACATTTGTTTCGTATATGTAGCAACGACCTTGTGTCCGACAGAATTATAAATCTCGTTTATCATCTTGACAGCATCATCGCAACTATGGTGAAAATGTACAATAGGATTATTGTAATTATTACTAGCTTAACCAAACTCAAAAGTTGTTTTTAAGTTGTGCCTTAACAGAGTTTTCAAGCAGCCATAAAGAACTGGACAATGAAAGTATTAAAATAAATTTTTTCTTGGTTCTACATTACTGTGTACTGCATAATTTTATTCATTTTTTGTAAGATTGATGGTTTGAGATAAACAATTTGTCTAACCAGTGCTGAACCTGGCGTTACTTTCATGTGATGATAAAACATAGATTAACAAACATGATATTTTTTCATTGTTACCTTGGATTTGCTTGTTGCTTTCAGGTGTACGTTGATAATATATTATGTTATGTTAGATTGAATTTAGAAATCTTTTGTTGAAAACAGGCTATTTATTATATTGTGATCCAAATGATGAAAAAATGTGAGTTTTGTTTTATATCCACCGACAATTACAGAATATGGTTCGTTACCTTTCGTCATCAAAAACTGCAAGTTCTGCCTGCTGTAGAGATTTCGGATATTGATAATTTGTCGACATAGGATCACGAGCAACAACTGATCCGAATCCAGTTACGAAAGACTGGGCTGTTGAACTTTTTGATCTTTCGGCTATAACCGTATTTTTTTCTGACAGAATAAATTTCGAAATACTTCATAAATAGACATGTTGACATCATTAGTTTTTTTTTTGCAAGTGCGAGTATGAATTCAAGAAAATGAATAAAATTATTTTTATGGTCTGAAAACTAATAAAATTATATCTCACCAAATCTATCACAAAGTTCTGGAGAAAATTTATTATTATTTTCTTCTGTCGTACCGCAAGCATTGTAGCATGGCAAACAAACCGGTCGTACGTCTCCATCAAAAGGAATCTCTATTAAAGTTGTAAGAGGCACTAAACGCCGTCTTACTTCATGGAGAGCTTTTCCAAATTTTATCTATGAAGACAATTTTGAAGACAATGAGCTGAAAATACTACAAATCCAGTTTTTGACATTTTTTCGGCAAACACTATTCCACCTCCAAACCAATGACAACAACAAAGCATTTACGGCATGCGATGTTTACAGCTTTTATAACAATAAATTATATTAATGATATATTGTCAAGAGATCACGAAATTTATTCTATACAACCAATTGTATTTACTATGTTTTTTCGAAACGAGTCACAAAAAGTGTCCCCTCTGGAAACTCGGAAAAAATATCAGTTTTTTCAATATCTCTCAACACGTGTAATCTTTTATACCGATCTGATAATCATTTCTGAACAACATTATTAAGATTGTTAATCAAGACGGAATATCTCCGATCGACTTACTAAAGCAACATCATATTCATAAGTTGATGGTTTGTATTTATCATGACGGATCACCATCTCAGGTTCAAATAAAACGGTTTCTTTAGCGAGTGATTGAACTCTTTCTGGATATTTTGTCATGCCTGGTAAAAAAAAAATAATAACACAAATGACCACGTAACGCCTATTGTTTTCACTTTTTACAAAATATATTTTGAAAGTCATTTCGCTCATTAAACCATGTGTATCAGATAAAACTTATGTGAATATAAATAATTTTTCTGCAGATTTGCTAATAAGCGATCATGCGAAATGTGGATTTCGATTATCACGTAAAGAGCAAATTATATATAGCACGCAAGGCACAAAAAATGGCGATCCAGAAGTGTATACCAATATGGAGGTAACTAATTTTGTTCGCCTACTTAGATAGGCCACAACCTTAGCCCATGGTGGAAATTAGCAAATGATACTCAACATAAGTTGTTGATTTTTGAAATTATAAATTGCTAAGCTAATAAATATTCACCCAAAATTACAAGAAACCCTTTCCAGTCGTTTGTAACGAGCGACTTTGCAAACGGTCCATCAAACACATGACCAGCAGTCAATACCCATTTGCTGTTTATAACCGAACCGCCACCGAACATATTTCGAGGACGAATCTAAACAAGCATAAAAATGTAAGTTTCTCAATTTAGTTGCTCTGACAAAAAATGTCGAAGCTTTCATTCGATTACACCAGTGGTTCTCAACCTTTTACTGACCGCGTACCACTTTACTGTTTTTTACTCTGGCCGCGTACCTGTTTGGCGTAGGGAACAATGGCACAAGACACGCACTATGGGAGTATTTTATAACGTGGCACTACGTCCTTAGTGACCTAATTCGCAAGACGGACGAAAACATGCCCATCACGATTCGTTTGTGGGAAATAGTAGGCGAGGGCGATCTCTAAAGGCTGGACTGGTCCATAAGACGTTTCTCTGACCCTTGACCCCAGAAAAATTCTTTCTATGCTTTACTATTGCAACAAATTTTGTAAACCCTTATTTTTATTAAAATTATTCAACCATGTGCCGCTTACAGACACTGATAGCTTAGTTTAGATTAGTCTATCGCAGCATTTGCGAGACTCGTTTTTAATCAAATAACAAAATTACTTCTCCTTTGAAGACATAATACCAATTAAGATATTTAATTCCCAACTATTTTGTTGAAACGCAACTGAAAACTGACAAATAACACGCAAAACTACAAAAACGAGGCAATGTTCACTGATTGTTGCTGGTTACGTAAATAAACAAGAAAATTGATGCACGGGGAAACATTCAGGGAAGGCCGTTCAGCGAAAACATACAGTATGGAAGATAAATCGTTGTCGGCATATTTTGGCCAACTCAAAAGTTAATTGTTGCAATAATTCAAGGCTGCCCTCGTACCACTTGATCCGCGTGCCACCAGTGGTACGCGTACCACAGGTTGAGAACCACTGGATTACACGGACCTTGTAACGAGACTGAGATCAGAGTAATTCAATTCTAACGTAAATCGACTCCAGTTTGGCACTTTAATGTATCACTGCATTTAAAGATAATTAATCAAACTTTCCCAAAGTATTCTGTCAACATTAATAAGGATTTGTTCATCCCTTTGAGCAAGCATCTCAATTTAGAAAACTCAAATTAACAAATTATCGCCCAGACAAGTTGCAGTTTCTCAGTGAGTAAAGTTACAATGTTTTGAGAATACTCTATTACAGACGTATTTATGAAACACGTCTTCCTAGTACAAATTGGATCGAAAATAATTATAGCATTAACCTGTGATACCAGTCGGTGAGGATTTTTTACGAACACTGCTTGCCATGGCCAGTCTCCTTCTTTTGCTTCTTTCCCTCCGACCACTCTAGACGAAACGATCTTATTCAGACTCCTACCGCATGTTGTACTGGCGACTAAGAAGTTAGATAATTCAGTAGAGTCATTTTTGTCGTTTGTTAATAAAATTATTATGACATTGAGACCACATACCTACCTTTGTCAAGATGAAGTAGCGTGTAGGACAAAATGTAGCAGACCAATAAACGGAATATCATAATAGTATAGTTCTATTTCTATCAACTAGAGTAAGAAGATAAAATATGCCTACTTAAATTAGAAATTTGCTTTTGTACATATTTTTATCCTTCATTTACCATCAGATATATTCTAACAATTCCTATTCTGAAATACTTGAAAAAAAAATTATTTTTTCTTGTGGATCATTAAGCGTCCTCTGTTAATGTAAAATGTAGGCTACTTGAAACACTACCTGCGCTGAAAATCTAACAGAGCTAAATTTTTAATTCTAAATGTAGTTTCAATATATCATGATTCAGGATATTGCAAGCATGCATCATTGCATACAAACGCCACGAATAAATATATGAAATAAAGGTATATACCTCCTGCAATGCTAAATAACATTTTAAGTAATAATATAATACACTTTTGTGAACTAAATATTCTATTATATTAAAGTAAATCCGACTATCTCTAAAAAAGAATGGTAATAGAATATTACTCATGAATAGTTCAGGTTTGCTGCATTGCTGTGCAAAATTATTCATGTTGGCTGAAACATACTTGTATAGACTTCACTGTAAGTCAACTAAGCCTTTTCTAAGCCTATTTGTTATAAACAATTTCGAGAATTTCCTCCCTGAGGCATTTCAATATTAAGTGTTTTATAGTATCTATGTCAATGAGATGCTAGTACTTAGAATCTAAACACAGTTTGATTTATTGTCCCATTTATTATATTTAAATAATATCAAATTAGATTCAAGTTAATTAAGGAGGAGTATTTTAAATTTTGCGAATCACCGACACCATCCGCGGTAATAAAGTATTAGTATAGCCAAACGTTGACACAGACCTAACGAGCATACTGCTATCTCTATCATAGGGTAAGCTTTTGTATGTTTTGTTAATTTTAGAATACTTTTTCCACTTTGAGTCAACACCAGAAAAAAAGAAAATTCAGTTGATTGGTATTTTTTCGTAGAATTAAGTTATCTCTTTTCAAAACTTAATTACAAATATGTCCTTGGTGTACATACAGTATCTCTCATTTTTGTCGACAGTACGTATAATAAACTTCATTTATTTCGCGAAATTCCCGAAATGACCAGTGACGCTAAATTATCACCAAAAACGTGATGTTTGTAATCACAAAAGCATTTTTCATAAGTATATCATTCTAACATTTTAACGGCAAAAGCGAAACAAAACAACTTCGACCGTTTGCTTCATGAAATTGTCATGCTGAGTCAACAGATTACGCAATACTTTTTAAAGTAATTTAATTTTTTGTTATTAATAGTTTAAACATTGTTAAAGCTTGAGAACCCGCGATAGAATCGGTTTGCAACTTTCTCTTCCAAAGCTGTAATCTAAAAATATCGATATTTCTCGTTTTGTAACGATGAGGACGCAATTACAAGCCGCGCAATAGTATAGCACGTTTCTTGTAAAAGTTTTGTTTCAAATTTCAACAAATTACATAACTGTGTCTAAATTATTAAAGTTAACCCAATCCTTACCTCCTCCCCATTGGTACAACTTCGGGCGATGCAGAAGTGTGATACAAATATAGAGGTAACTAATTTTGTTCGCCTACTTTACGGTTCTGTGGAGGGACTGAAACCTAAATTTACTTGGCTAACACAGAGATTCCCTGAACTAGTAATAGAACTAACACAAGGAAAACCAGAATAAAAATATGACCTAACCCTAACTTGTTATACACACTACGGGAGTACCCAACTACGACCTTCATTAATGCTAAGGTCAAACTTTCAAGTTGGTCAATGCGATCACATCTCATTACCTTTGATCTTTAATTGGAAAAACATATCACACCTCATTTTAATGTATATATAATATTCATGTATAAATATATGTGTAGATAACAAGTGAAAGCAATTTACAAACGCAACACTGAAAGCGTAATTACAATATGATTACTTTTTGATATCTTCGTTGATTTTGCATCATCTTATGGCTATTCTCAATACTGATATTTGTATATAAATTGTTTTACAAAAATTGAGCCATGAATTTTATAGCTCTGCGTCTTCCGCATTTGCATGAATAGTTTCTGAGTTCATTTTGATACAGAATGTTTCCAGTGCTTAGATAATTACCAGTTCTGACAAAAATATAATCTACTTTGTATGTTCTCGTGTTTTATATTTATTTCAGAATAATACCTTTTTAAACTGAAATTAACTTATTTAAACAGTTCAAAGTCATGAGAAAAATGCATTATATTTTTTAGCTACAATAGGTTGAAATTTCTGTACTCCATTCTCTGTTCTTGGCACATTTTATTGCTTTAATTGTTGCTTTTCTGCCTTTAGCCACACAGCGTAAGTAAATTGTTTGTCCTACGCGGAAAAGAGTATTTTTGGTGATTTTTCCACTAAGATCAAAAGCAGTTACAGATGCTTGTAGTTCATCAAGTTTTATTTCACATCCGGGAACGTCTAAACCAAATAGGAAAGTATCATAAAATGATTCATGTGTATTTTTGTACTGGATAGAACTTGATGAAACTATAAGTTTTGACTTTGTTACTGCGAAGTTGTGCAAAGTTTCTATGATTGCTCATAAGTTCATTAATATTGCATGAACTAATATCTACTATTTTTAGTCGATTCCACCAATATCATAAAGTTAAGTTATTTCAGTGTATTATCTGTAATTTAACAGATGTTAGGTTGAACTGAAATATACAAGCTCAACTCGGTTTAAAACTATGACTATACGAATTTTAAATCCAAATTTCACATACATGAGCAAACAACAGATGAATACTATAAGTGGAAATGCTATTTGTGGGTATACCAACCATTGGATGGAAATTACAATTTTTTTTAAATTGCTATTTGATAACATCAACAATAAATGAATGAAAACGTGGAACAAAAAAATTAACTTACTTTGGCATTCACCAATTTCATTGCTCCAGTGGCCATTTTTGTTACACGTTATAATTTCCTCTCCCCATATCACAAATCCTGAATCACATATTAAAGTGGCCTTTGTTCCTGTTTTGAGTACATCCTCTTGAAATTTCGGATGTATTTCTAGTTTTCCATTTGAGGGTTCAGAAATCTTTTTACAAGGAAAGGTAAATTCTGAAAACAGACGAATACTTTTTATAAATTCATTTATTGACGTACTGAGTTGATGGGTATATTTTACACCATAAGTTATTAAATCAATTTAGAATTAGCAGACTCTTTGTAATCGCGTGTATACATGAATATAATTCCTAAAATGAATATGTTCTTATATACGACATAATACGACCTACGCAATATTTAGGAACCACGTTTGGTTATAATTTTTATGTAATTTTTTGCGAATGATTGAAGGTAACAATTTCAAGTTAAAACGACGTTAGACGAAGCAGCATCTCCGCAAATTTGTGAGAGCTCTCTTGCTGAACTACACCCAAGCTGAACCACACAAACAAACAAAAATATAACTAGGATCTCGAATGAATATTTGAATTTTTTATTTTACTAGATATACCCCAACTTTTGTAGTAAAAGCATGCTTTATCTATTCTATTCATCAAAATTACATAGACTTACCGCATTCGTCCGGCAATGTCACATCCCATCCATCTTCATCGCACGCTGCTAAAGGTTCTCCGACTATCCTCATCATCTTTGGGCATTCGAATACGAGTAGTACTCCCGGTGCAAATTCAGCACCGGGCAAGACTTCTTCGCCTTCGTGCTTTGCAACTATATTGGATCCAAGTTCCGGGAGCACACATGTGTTACCTGAAATTATATATATTTAATTTCTTTTTTAAGGTAAAGTTGATAAATATTATAGAATTGCGCAATATGCCTTTTACAAAATACACTGCGCGTGTGAGAGACAACGAGAAAGACATTTCAGCACAGGTTCGCCTATTTTACCATTTTCTTTCTTCTAGTTTTCCCCCCAAGTTTTTATATTAAATTAATTTGATCAATATGTAGGTAAAAAGTTGTACAATATTTACATGATTCACGACTCACGAGTGAAAAGAAAATTAGGTATACAAGAGAAATCATGAATTTAAATATGTATTATTAAAAATTCTTTTTAATTCTCATTGGAACCCAGAGTCAAAGGTTGACATACCACAATCTATAGCAGGTGATCGTTTAACGTTCCATGTATTCAAGCCAATGCATTTGAAGACTTGATTATCTATTGTAGCCTGCCCCTCTCTCTTGCATGTCATTTGAATTTCAACATCTTTCCATACATATGTATCATCAACGGGCAGCATTGTGGAAGCATACGAAACGTTGTACTTTCTGACCATTTCTTCAATATTGCACTGTAAAGCTGGAAGGTTGGCAACACAATAAGTCGTCGCTGCAGATACAGCTACAGTGGTTTAATTGATTGTGATGAACTAAATGTTAATCTACAAGTTACAAGACATTTCTACAATGTAGCTGTTATCACAAAGAGAGTATAAAGTTAAACGAAGACTGATGCAAGATTCGGAGCAGTTTAACAATTTTTTAGAAGAAGAAGGATAAATTTTCATAGATGTTTTCAATTTTTTTAAATTATTATGTGTGGTCTTTCAAAATCTTTATTTGGGATTTCTGTTTCGCAACCCAACTAAAACTGTGATAAAACTTTTTAAATAATATTTTCAACAAAGAAGAAGAATAATTACTGTAAGACATTTCTATAACTTTATCTTATTTTCATTTTCCACTAAATATATTATTGAATTTATATTAAATATATATTAAATACAAAAAAAACGAACCAGTTTCACAATTTTTTCCTTCAAAATGTTCACTACATGTACATTCATATTTCTCCCCGCCCAAATTTGTGCAGTTACCAGTATTGCAAGGATTGTGGTTGCAGGGTTTCCATTCTGTCAAAATGATTTTCAGTGAATATCATAAGAAAGTATATTGCATGAGAAACATTGCAAGTCATTTAAAACTTTATTAAAAGCCAAATTAAGAACGCGATGTAAAAAAGAATGTTATAAAATTTGCTTTCACCACGAACTCGATTAAATTATTACAAAATAAAATCACAACGTCTCAATACCTCTTTGGCAGACATATCCTGTTGCTTCATATGTTTTACAATCCTTTTTCATCCAACTTATTCCTGGTTCATTACAAATATGGCGCATGGTATGACACTCGCTATCTGGCACTATTTCAGACTTTTTAATGTCACTTACAGTGGAAGAGTTTAGATTTTGGTCTCTGCCAATATTTGATAGATTTCTATAAATTGCCCATAAGTTCCATTCGAAAAATGCTACACTGCTACCACAGTGAACATTAATAATTTGCGCATATATCGTTCGCAGTAAATCGATGCTATTGACTTTGGCCAATTTTCCACCAACATTCTCGCAATCTTCTTTAGCAATGAAGTTGGAGCTAGATTGGTGAACAATTTTATATTCAAGTCTGTCGCTTCGGAACCATTCGGATGTTGCTGAAATTCAAATTTTAATTTGGTAAAAATAATATTCGTCATCAGATTTCGCTATTTCATTTATTTTGCAAACTAAAAAACGAAATGCTCTTTGGCATTTTACGAATTTGATATTTCTCATGATGGAACAAACAATTGAATATAAGCATACGTGAGATACAGTCTTGTTCATTGCATTTCCTATTTTCTTCGCTAGGGCCATCGCATTCGTCTGAACTTAAAGGATCTTTGATACAAGTTCTATTTCTTGACTGTTCACCTGTACCACAAGGGCTTGAGCAATTACTCCACGGACTCCATCTTTGCCATCGAGCTGAAATTGATATTACATTAATGTTTTGTTTTAATGATAGAGGTTTTTTAGGAAGAAAATGATATTAATGAGCATAAAATACGCTTTTAAACTTGAAACTCACTTATAATGCATTGCTTTTGGCCGCATGTTTTGTTTTCCAAATACAAGCCTCTGCAGTCACCATGCCCACGTGCTCCACCAGGTTGTGCACAGTTTCTGGTTCGGAGAGAGTCGCCGCCACCACATGTCCGGGTGCATGGACTCCAATTTGTCCACTTTTCCCATTGGTCTTGATAGAGAACATACAATAATAGAATGTTATGTATTTGTACAATAGTCTGAGATAATTTCAAAATAAAAAAATTTAAAGTGTTGAGTATCAGTTAAACATCGACTGCCACAAGTCATTGATATATTGGGAAGTTGGTGTTATTATTATCTATATCATACAAGAGTCATTATTTGTGCAATATAAAATAGAGGAATCGAAATATTTTATAAAAAAAAACTAAAAGGGAATTTGACTCTTGAAATTAATTAACAGAAATCGAGAAAAACTCACTAAATTGATTAATTTAATTGGTAACAGCAGGTAAATGAACATAAACATATTGATTTTTTTACGAGATTAAAAATAACGATAATCGCCACAATTTTTCAATCCCAAGTTTGAAATATCAATTAAACAACCAATAGAACTAATTATGAGTAATAACAAATTAATAATGAGTTTGATTAAAATTAGAGTGGAAATTTCCTTTTTTTTATCGTACCATATGTTCTTACTTCAACCGAAATATTGGATCCTTCTAATTCCTGAAACATTGATCCCCTTAGCCATTGTTCATTAAAAAACTGAGGTAAAGTGTTATCTGTCATGACTTTAACAACATCTCTTTTAGGTATTGGACCTCCGACTTGTATGTCAAAGTCCCCGATCGTCCATCCTGAAATGTACAAAAATGTACAAACTGTAGGAATAAACAGTTTTATCTTATTACAGTTACACTTGTTACAGGTATATCTTGTATTGTTTGAAGAAATTAGGCCATGATCTAACAAAAGCTCACAAATATACTTACTATTTCGTTGAAAGAGATCATGTTTTTATTACTTTTCACTGTAAGGATAAAGTTACGAATATACCGATGGGTTGTTACTTACAAAATTTGGATCACCTAAGGTTAAGCTGGTCCGTGCTTACGGCGTTATCATCTTAATTTTGCGTTCAAAATTGGATACTGGACATTCACTTAATGGCTATTTAACTAAAATATCGTACCTGACCAGTCGTATCTTGTCCACCTGTACAAATATACAATCGGGGATGAATCTTTTTTATACACCAGACTATCCGCGTGTATAACGCCAATGAGGGGGCGGTAAACACCCACAACATCAGTCAATCTCTCGTTATTGGATGTAACAGATACTGCTGTTACCGACATTGGAAGAATTTCGCACATATATCTCCGACGCCACTCGCAAGTTGATACCGATATTTCAGAGCGTTGAATGTCTCCTAAAAATGTACCACATCTTGCTTCGTCGGTAACATTTTCCCTTGATTTGAAATTTCCTGAATATTCGCCGCTTTCAATCTTTACAAAACTTGCACCATTTGCCCATTTTATCGTTTTCTGTCCAATGTCATCCAATCCAATGTGATATAAGATATTACGAGAAAGCAGGTTAGCCAACGCTAATCGCTTAGCTTCACTCTGAATAGTAGTTAACTTCGCATCATTGATTGAACATTTCGACTGTGCAACGGCATATGTGGCAATTCGCTTATATTCTTTATAACAGATAGGCCCTCGTTTTCTATACTGCTTTGGACATTCTTCAAAATTAGCTTCCTTATCTATATGAAAATGACAATGACTTATAAGAAAACAATAATGCCATTTTATACAAATTTTGCGGTAGTCTAGATCAAGTTACTGTGTATTAAGCTTGTAACAGTATTTCCATTCATCTGTTACTTGGAACAATTCGATTCGATTGTGTGACTTTGAACTTTAGACGTTTTGTGGCAAAATATCACGAATTTATATTGACTATTTTAGGGGTTAGATTGTAGATATACATAAATATATGCTTAAGAATGAAACGCTCACTTAGGGACTTATAGTTACAGTGTAGAGGAAGTATAGAAATAGGCTTCAGGATTGGGAAATAAAGTTAGTCCATGATTTCCAATATGATTTTAGGCAAAAATATGTTGGGATTTCGATCGTTTTCTGTTCTACCACACACAAATCTGTCTGTGAATATAGATCTGACATTATTCACTCAAAATATGAAAACTAGTGACATTGAAAATATGAGCGGATCGGATACTAATTGATAATTTATACCTTTGCATGTTCCGCTATTTCCATCTGACCATTTCCCGTTTCTGAGACACACAATCGTCGTCGCAGAGCCTTCGAGATATTTATCAACAGGGCAAGTAAATCTGATGATGGTTCCAATACTCATCTTTGCATCATTCCCATCAACAGATTCAATTGTCATTAAACCACCTGACGGTCTTCCAACTCTCGGGCAAAGTATTTCTAGATGAAGAAAGAAGTCCTATGTTCAGTATTCGGTTTGTATATAGCAATGCAAATAAATCTTTTTGGTGACGGCATATGGCTCCCAGAAAAATCTAATATTCTAAGACTAAGCTTACTATTGTTACGAGATTTCAAACACTTTTATAGCCAATTTTGGCAGGAAATTCCCAATACGTTTGAGAACGCGCGCCCAGCACATGTCTATGTTATGTAAGATAATCACCAGACAGGCATTGTGACAAACAAGGGGATTCTGGAACATATATTGTGACATCACAAAGCGATAGAGTTTTAAAAACACTACGGAGATGCCTAAACGAAAAAGGGTGATGAGTACCGTAGATTTCAACTTGGGCTGCAAGTGAGCAACCGTTCAAGGCCCGCAGTGACTACATGCAGCATCAGAAATCACATTAAATGTATATTGACATTGTATGTGTTGACTTTTGAGTAAACATTTCAGACCTGATTGGGTCGCACGGATATGCAATTGAAAATATGTATATTTTATGGCTCTCTTGACCAAAAAGGTTCCCGACCCCTGAGTTAGACGGTGCAAAAAAAGAGTTGCATGAATTTTAAAACAAAATAAATAATAATTTTTCACTATATTTGTTTAACCATATGGCATCACAAGTCTCTTAAATTGATTAAAAAATAATCAGCTAATTCCAATTTTAAAAAGAATGTCAACATTACAAATTTATCCAATAGTTTATAATTTATATAATGAAACCTTTGATGGTACAACTCATGATACATTTGTAGCAAAACAATTTACCTTGGCAAACTGGATTTTTCTTGATTGACCAAGTTCCATCATTATTGCAAACAATCGACTTTGGACCACTCACATGCAGATAACCTTCGTTACAAGTATATCTGACCTTTGTCCCAACACTTAATTTATTTGGATCTGGACTGACCTTGGCTTTCCCAAAAGGTATTTCAGGTACTGGTGGGCATAATATTTCTGAATAGTACAATAAAGTATTATCACCATAAATAGTTAACAAGTAAAAAAATGACGTCTAATTTAACATCTTTTTCAAATATCCACGGAATTAATTAAGATAAATATGATAAAATTATTGGGCCGTTCGCAATTCCGCTATATTCCGCGGTAGGTTAAATTGTTTAAAACGTTAGGCATTGTACTGAAACAAAATATAATGGCCAAATGAACGATGTAATACATCGACGCTTAGGTGGCTCCGATAGAATATTCAAAAATACTATGAAAATGATTTCGTCAAGTACTAAAAAAGAAACTTTGGATTAGAACAACAATATTCTAAATAACATCAGTATAGCAAAATAATTTCTATTTGTATTCAATATTGAATCTATGAAAACGGCAAAGCAAGGAATGCAGGATTTAATTTAGGTAGCTATGAGATAAACAATTTAGTGGTTTCAGTGCATAAGCTTCGGCATTTCAAAAAAATATATGCAATAGAATATAATAGAGTGGATTAATACCTAAAGTTTACTTATTTAAAAGAAAAATAAGACCATACCTATCTCGCAATTGTCTCCTCTGTAATAACGAGTACAGATGCAAGTATATGTGCCAATACGATCGATGCAAACCCCATCGTGTAGACAGGTATCTCCTCCACAACTGCTTTCTGGGAACAAGTTTTTGTTGTAATCATTGCTTTAATATATCAATTTGATCCACACAATAATTTTCTACAAAATTTGCTGGTGATGTAGCTATTTTATTAATATTTTCGGCATACCGGTAAATAGTTATGTGATACTTATGAGGTATTTCATTCAGATGACTTGAGTCACACCGAGTACTTGACAAATGGTTACTCAAATCCATCTCAAATTGAGTCAATGCCTAAAGTCTCCAACACCCAGATTATGTTTACTGAGAAGTACAGGGGATATATGAATATTATTTTAGGAATGTCTTACCACATTTTCCATTGGCTAAAGAAAAATCATCCAAATCTATTTTTGTGTTTTTGCCTTTCAAGGTTATCTCGAATTGTACGGATTCAAAGAATTCATGAGGCATAACAGTAACTTGCTGATTCAGCCATCTATTCTTCTTCTCCTTTGGTCTTATCTTTGCAATGACGTCGCGTCTAAAGATCAGAATATATAATATTGTATATCTACCTACTGCAGATGAACAAAGTGAAATTTTAATTAGATAATGCAGACATTCATTTGAACTTCTTTCGTTTTTAAATATTTAACTGTAAAAAAATGTCGAAATAATTTTGGTAAGGTTGTGACAACGAGCAATGAAATAGGCCTATTTATTTTGTCTTTTATTGAATTTTCTAACGGTAACAATATATTAATGGAATTATATTGAAAATTGAGTTTTGAGGCAAACCGTTACCAAGTTACACTCGGGATAAACTAGAACGCTCAATCAGGATGTATCTAGTGTCATGCTAGGCCATGTTGGTGCCACAGTATTTGATGTAAAATACAGAATCCTCCATTAAAAATCAGTCATTGAATGCGTTTTGAGTGCGACTTGCCCCTCCGTTCCACGGCACTTAGACTGAAGGCATGACAAGCTAAACCGGGGCCCGGCGATCTACACTTCAATCAGAAAAATGCCTGTTTGAAAGGTTAACAAAACCCTAGAAAATCAAAATAGACACTCGAAAAAAGTACTTAAAAAGTTTATGATATGATATCCGTATTCCGCGCAAGCACATCCAACATTTCAACTAGCTTAGTATTGTTTTGTGAGTAATTTTCCTATATTTCAGATGATAATTAAAAAATATTTATATATTTTGATATTGATATGATATTATATATATTTGTAATATCAGGATTAGAATTACCTCGACGATATAACAAAGTTTCTGCTGTCCGTCAATTGTCGAATGTAATAATGAAACTTAAAGCAGTATGGATCTCCAGATAGGAGCGCAGGAGATAGAAGCACCGCCGGCTTTGATGTTGCTCGTAATACGTATGCTGAAATTAAACATATTTTTGTTGTGTTACCGTATATTTGAATATATATAATTTTTAATGTTGGACTTCAACTCAAATACTTTTGAATAATAGTAAATATAAATAGGTTGTTTGAATGTACTAAACCAGTGGTTCCTAACCTTTCTTCCCTGGCGGACCGGTAAAATTAAATAATATGTACTCGCGGACCGGCAAAAATTGAAATGAGTTGAACATCAAACAATAACATATATTTGCGTGATGTCGAACAAACACTATGCTTTTAGAAAAAAAAAGGCACACTTAAAACATTTCATATGAGGAAAAACTATCAAAAAATGGGCCGGCCAAAAATTCAAATGTGTGGAATGTAAAATAATAACATATATTTGCGTAATAAAATGCAGTGCTGCGATGGGCACCCATCATGCATAAAAAAGGCACACATCTCGCATAAAAACTTGTACATTCCAAATCATGTACAATCATGATTATCTCCAGCGAGAATTTTGCTTCTGTTTCGTTTCCAATACAGAATTGCAAACGAGGCATCAAACGGGGTTTTGTAACCCTTAGCTACGCAGCTGTTCATAGTTGATTTATTTACTTCGTTTTAATTGAAACTAGAAGTAACTGATTGAAAATTCGGACAACAGTTTGATTACTCGATAACTTAGCGATGGGTATTCATTATCAAGAGAGCTCAAGAATGAATCGTGACAGTGATTCCTTCATAATTCTGGAATGTAAAGTAAAGATTTAATCGGGTTCATCATATCAATTCTTCTGCAGTGGATCGACCCCCCAAACAAAATGAATTTATATTGCAGTTATAAAGTCATTGCTGACTTGCACCAGGCTCAAAATCCTGCTGTGCATCACTCAGAAAAGATCTCAGCGGCGGTTCCTTTAATTGTGCGTCTTGTGACCATCTGAATGGTCGCAAGAAGTTCCTATCTCAATGGGTGTCAAGGTGAAGCTCTGGAATATTATACTGTTCTTGACAGTTTTCTGGTTTAAACAAATAAATATTCATAACCTTTTTATTTGGATGGCAATATTAATCAAGAAAATCATGCAGAACGGGATAAGCACTAATGCTGATTTTCAGGATTCTGAATCTTGCGAGATTCGACGGAGCGCATTCGCGATGAATCGTAAACGAAAAGCAAAAAGTGTGATTACTTATCGCTATGACGTCGCGATATTGCGTAACAAACCAACGTAACTTCGTCTTATAAATCAAGAAAAGCAAAGCAGAAAGCACAGATGCTGATTTTCAGGGTTTCGTATTCTTGCGAGATTTGACGGAACGCTTTCGCGATGAATCGGAACAGGGAAGGCGAAAAGTGTGATTACACGGCGCCATGACGTCGACGGGCCGCACTTTTCAAACAGCAATATGACGACGGAAGATAAATTGCGTAACAAATCAACGCAACTTCATCTTTTTGGTATCAGTAAATCGATTGAGACGGCAGAAAAACAAACGACGAAATTCGTGGACCGGTGCCGGTCCGCGGACCGGCGGTTGGGAACCACTGTACTAAACTACTCAGGCTAATGATGATAACATTTCATCGAAATTCTCCAAATCGGACCCATAATGAGTTCCTGTAATTATAAGTTTATGCATATATATGTTTGCGTATATACAGTGTGGTCGATAGAAAAGCAGAAAATTTGAAAGTCAGATGAGATCACGAATAAAATGCGCATAGTTCGAATTGGAACGATATCCCAGAAGTAAATCTTTAAAACGCTACACGAGCTTGAACTTCTAGGCTGAGACAATGTTCTGAAGTGCACGGACGACATTTTGAGCATCTATGAGTGTAATATAACATATGCCTTTATGCCAAATTTCAATCGACCTGTTTTTCTATCGGCCAATATTTGATAGTTCAAGTCAATATTGTTATATAGTATATTTGATTATGTTGGATGTCTGGTGAGCGAATTTAAAAAGGAAATACCAGTGGTGGACTAATTCTGCCAAATCGAATATAAATCTGATGTGAACAAATTAATGCAACAAAAAACGATCGATACGGTTTGTATATTTTTGTTAGAATGAAGAATTGGTTCATTGTTTACAGGGTAAACTCCAAAGTATACAGAAACCAGTAACATTCTCTGGATACACTTCACTTCACATACAAAGGCAAAGCGTCCTACATTACTATAATGTTTTGGTTATAGTCATACAGAAAGTTCAAGTGCTAAATCAATTTGTGGTATTTATGAATTCTATTTATGATCTCACTGTATAAATAAATATATTGAATTCTTACATGGATACCCTGATAGAGTTTTTTCCTCAATAAAATGTCGCTCGAACATGCCCGTTCCTTCATTTGTATATCCACATAGAGCATTTGATAATCCGTCAAAATTGCAGTTCACGTCAACTAAGTCGAAAAACACGACACAATTTATTATTTATGCATTTGTAGTCCAAACGGCGCCGATAATGCCTATTTTGAATAAAATAAAAATCAAATACTAAGTAACAAACTACAATTATAGTAACAAACCCGTGCATGTTGGTACTGCTCCCCAATTACCATCTTCATTGCACTCTCCTTTTGAACTCCCAACTAATTCAAAACCCTGATCGCAATAATAATTTACAATTGAACGGAATTCGTATACTGCATCGTGGCTTGTGACAAATCCATTTTCAGGCTTTATTGGTGCCGGACATTTGATTTCTGTAAAAATAATTCCGATTCCCATTTTCAAACGTTTTCAAATAGTCCCATTTCGCTTATCAAAGATTTTGAAGGGTTGTGGCAAATGATGGACTAATTTCAGATGCAGACTATAAAATGTCATGTATTTATTGAATGTTGTAGGAAAGTTGTGTTAGATGAAAAACATAAACTTACTGCTGCAGGTTCTCGGTTCTGAAGACCACGTTCCAGTACTTGAGCAATATCGTCTTGTCTTTTGAGGATCATCAATGACAAATCCTGAAGTAAATTACATTTTATTTAACGTATGGTATCATATCATCATTTCGACTTGACTTAAGGAGTCTGTGTTAAATTTAACGACGGTAGGAGTTTTATTTCAAAAAAAAAAGTTTTGCTTTATATTAATTAAGATACCTTTTTCGCAATGATAAGTAATCCAAGATCCAAAAGTGGAGTCTGTTCCCTCTATATATCCATTAGCAGGAGTTGTGGGAGTTCCACAACTGAGTTTTATACAAGCAAAATCCGGCTCCGACCATTTGTAACTTTTTAGGCATTCAATTTCAGGATTACCTGAAATCTTGTATCCTGCAAAAATAACCTCATATTTTGAATTAAATTTGTAGTAAGAAGTGGATAAACAGGATCTTTATCTTTAGAACAAGATAGAATTAGAAGAGAAACGTATTTCAAGAAGTATACGTCTTAAAAAATTGTCATTTGTCCATTTTGGCCTTTTTTAGTCTAATTAGGCTTCCCGCTGCTTGTCAGCAGGGAAACTATTGTATTCCTGTGTTTTATTATTATTATTGTTTATTTATTATTATATATTTATTATTATTATTAGGCTTCCCGCTGCTTGTCAGCAGGGAACCTATTGTATTCCTGTGTTTTATTATTATTATTTATTTATTATTATTATTAGGCTTCCCGCTGCTTGTCAGCAGGGAACCTATTGTATTCCTGTGTTTTATTATTATTTATTTATTAGGCTTCCCGCTGCTTGTCAGCAGGGAACCTATTGTATTCCTGTGTTTTATTATTATTATTGTTTATTTATTATTATTTATTTATTATTATTATTAGGCTTCCCGCTGCTTGTCAGCAGGGAACCTATTGTATTCCTGTGTTTTATTATTATTATTATTTATTTATTAGGCTTCCCGCTGCTTGTCAGCAGGGAACCTATTGTATTCCTGTGTTATTATTATTTATTTATTATTATTATTAGGCTTCCCGCTGCTTGTCAGCAGGGAGCCTATTGTATTCCTGTGTTTTATTGTTATTAGGCTTCCCGCTGCTTGTCAGCAGGGAACCTATTGTATTCCTGTGTTTTATTATTATTATTTATTATTTATTATATTATTATTTTTTTTTTCAAATTGGTCCTACAAACTTGAAATTCACCTCAAATGTGCAGAAGTTCTCAGCTAGCAATAAAATGCAAATTTTATGCATGACTGACCACGCTTTCACGCTCCAGTGAGCAAAACGCGTATTCAGTTTTTTTGCGATTTCTCAAAATTGATACATGGTATTGGGTTGAAATTCATAACAATGATTAATGGACAAGTTCCGGATACAATATGTCAAGGATACGCATGAGTGACCTCGGCGATACGCTCCAGTGGGCAATATAGAATTTTACATTTTCATCTTCTTCTCGAGAACGACACTATTTAGAGACTCGAAATTTACATCACATGCAGACAATAAGTCCCCCATCATAATTTGCAAATTTTATGCATGACTGACCACGCTTTCACGCTCCAATGAGCAAAACGCGTCTTCAGTTTTTTTGCGATTTCTCAAAATTGATACATGCTATTGGGTTGAAATTCATAACAATGATTAATGGACATGTTCCGGATACAATATGTCAAGGATACGCATGAGTGACCTTGGCGATACGCTCCAGTGAGCAATATAGGATTTTACATTTTCATCTTCTTCTCGAGAACGACACTACTTAGAGACTTGAAATTTACATCACATGCAGATAATAAGTCCCCCATCATAAATTGCAAATTTTATGCATGACTGACCACGCTTTCACGCTCCAGTGAGCAAAACGCGTCTTCAGTTTTTTTTACGCGGGAAGCCTGTTAAAGCTGCACGCAGCTCTAGTTATTATTATTATTATTTATTTTTATTATTTTTTTTTTCAAATTGGTCCTACAGACTTGAAATTCACCTCAAATGTGCAGAAGTTCTCAGCTAGCAATAAAATGCAAATTTTATGCATGACTGACCACGCTTTCACGCTCCAGTGAGCAAAACGCGTTTTCAGTTTTTTTGCGATTTCTCAAAATTGATACATGTTATTTGGTTGCAATTCATAACAATTATTAATGGACATGTTCCGGATACGATATGTCAAGGATACGCATGAGTGACCGCGGCGATACGCTCCAGTGAGCAATATAGGATTTTACATTTTCATCTTCTTCTCGAGAACGACACTACTTAGAGACTTGAAATTTACATCACATGCAGATAATAAGTCCCCCATCATAAATTGCAAGTTTTATGCATGACTGACCACGCTTTCACGCTCCAGTGAACAAAACGCGTTTTCAGTTTTTTCGCGATTTCTCAAAATTGATACATGCTATTGGGTTGAAATTCATAACAATGATTAATGGACATGTTCCGGATACGACATATCAAGGATACGCATGAGTGACCTCGGCGATACGCTCCAGTGAGCAATATAGGATTTTACATTTTCATCTTCTCCTCGAGAACGACACTACTTAGAGACTTGAAATTTACATCACATGCAGATAATAATTCCCTCATCATAAATTGCAAATTTCATGCATGACTGACCACGCTTTCACGCTCCAGTGAGCAAAACGCGTCTTTTTTACGCGGGAAGCCTGTTAAAGCTGCGCGCAGCTCTAGTTATTAGGCTTCCCGCTGCTTGTCAGCAGGGAACCTATTGTATTCCTGTGTTTTATTATTATTTATTATTATTATTATATTATTATTATATTTTTTTTTTTCAAATTGGTCCTACAAACTTTAAATTCACCTCAAATGTGCAGAAGTTCTCAGCTAGCAATAAAATGCAAATTTTATGCATGACTGACCACGCTTTCACGCTCCAGTGAGCAAAACGCGTTTTCAGTTTTTTTGCAATTTCTCAAAATTGATACTTGGTATTGGGTTGAAATTCATAACAATGATTAATGAACATGTTCCGGATACAATATGTCAAGGATACGCATGAGTGACCTCGGCGATACGCTCCAGTGAGCAATATAGGATTTTACATTTTCATCTTCTTCTCAAGAACGACACTACTTACAGACTTGAAATTTACATCACTTGCAGATAATAAGTCCCCCATCATAATTGCAAATTTTATGCATGACTGACCACGCTTTCACGCTCCAGTGAGCAAAACGCGTCTTTAGTTTTTTTGCGATTTCTCAATACAATATGTCAAGGATACGCATGAGTGACCTCGGCGATACGCTCCAGTGAGCAATATAGGATTTTACATTTTCATCTTCTCCTCGAGAACGACACTACTTAGAGACTTGAAATTTACATCACATGCAGATAATGAGTCCCCCATCATAAATTGCAAATTTTATGCATGACTGAGCACGCTTTCACGCTCCAGTGCACATAGCATAATTTTAAGTTTTTTTCGCATTTCTCAATTACTATTGAATATTAAGAACTCAAACTTGGTATTTGAGGTCGGTTGATCCACCACAACTTATGTTAGCCTTTTGGGGTAGCACTCCCGGTCACGTGACTAAGTCATGCATGAGTGATTTTTTCATATTTCACGTTATTTATTAATATTTTTATTTATTATTTTTTTTCAAATTGGTCCTACAAACTTGAAATTCACCTCAAATGTGTAGAGATACTCAACTAACAACAAAATGCAAATTTTATGCATGAGACCACGGTTTCACGCTCTAGTGAGCGTGTTTTTTTTTGTGGTTTCTCAAAATTGATGAACGGTTTTGGGTTGGAATTTATAACAATTATTAATGGACATGTTCCTCATATAAAATGTCAAAGACAGAACTCAAACTTGGTATTTGAGATCAGTTGGTCCACCACTACTTGTGTTCGCCTGTTGGGGCTGCACTTCCGGTCACGTGACTAAATCGTGCATGAGTCATTTTGTCCTATTTCTCGTTAAAATAGTTTCTTGCTGCATCAAAGCATGTCACGAGGAGTCATGCTGTCGAAACATGGTATATGAGTATCTCTAACTTGGAATGTGAATTCATAGGGTCTACCTTTGTAAATTATTTCCAAAGAATATCAACTATTCACTACGTGTGTATTTTGTACGTTTCTCACAAAAATAGATTAATCACAACTTGCGTTTTTTGAATGTATTTAGGGTGAAACGGGGACTGGGACGAAACTCAAAGCTATTCGAATACCATTATGGTAGCTATAATACGTCGGCAATGATTCTACAGTTACTTTACATGTTTTCATTTTTATGTACACGTGATCCAAAAGAGTACACCCGTCTGTGGTGTAAGAGTGAACAACCTGAGTAAAGCCAGCAATGCTGAACATCTGCTCGATACATTTATTGTCAGCCAACAGATCTTCATTGAAATCGCCCATTATGAGACAGTCCATATCCAGATTTGCAAGTTCTTTTAACAAAATCTTTAACGCATTGCTAAATTTCGACAAGGATAAGATGGCGGCCTGTAAATACTCACTAATACGGTATCTTTTTCGACGAGCAGAAGGCATAAAAATTCCAGGTTAAGAACTTCAATGTCCATCACCCTCACTTTCAATTCGCTTCGAAGCAAAAATCCAACTCCCCCTTGCTTTTTTGTTTTAAATTGTCCGAAAAAATCATCGTTTTTATCATAGCATTCACTTCTGTTTCGAATTACGATATTAAAAACAGAAGATTGAAGTGAGCAGATTCCGTGCGTTTCAGTCAAGCAAATAACGTCGCATTCTGTAAACCGGGAATCACTCATCAAGTCTTCCCAATGTGCACGTAATCCTTGAATATTTATCAAACTATTTTCAATATAATATCGATATTATCAAATATTTTGCATTTTTCAGGTAAAAATCGAGACATATTTGACATGGCACTTTCAATTCCTTCGTCGCAATATATGCGCTTTCCCTTTAATTTTCTATGATGAGATTCTGAACACATCTCACCCTACTGAGCGCGACATACATTTGACCAGCTCTAAAGGCTTTTTTGAAGTCAACGAGAGCTGCGTCCACTGTAACACCTTGCATTTTATGAATAGTGCATCCCCACGACAGTTTAAGGGGAAACTGTTTGTAACTGCCGCGGCCTGAAAATGAATCTTCGACTTTTGTGATAGGAACGCCGTCCTCATATCTGCATTTTGATCTCATTCTCAATGCGGCGCCAACACGATGGTCGTCAAATCGGACATGGATGACATCCACTTCAATTGTACCTTCTGCGCGGTGAATGCTCACAATGGTACCAATTACACCGTTAACAAGTCCATCGGTTGCATCAATGTTGCGTAGCAACATCACCCTAGCCTCAACAGAAAATTTCAAAGTCTTTTGCAATTGACCCATTGGTA